TAATGAAGAAAATGCCCTACAGGTGTACATACAGCCCAGTCTTATAGATTTACATTCTTAGTTGAGGTTCCCTTCTCTCAGATGATTCTAGCTTGTGTCAAGTGTGATATAATTATCCAACACACACACATACACACACACACACATTCATTCACATCCTCACATTCTTTCACCCATTCTCACACATATTCATTCACATCCACACACTCACAGACACTTTCATCATATGTGTTCATTCGCACACACTCTTCACCCATGACCAACCTCCTTCAAACACTTTCCTCTGTGTTCTCAGCCCAAAGGAACCTTGCCTTGTTGTCCTTATCCACTGTCCACAATCTTATTCTCCCTCCTGGGGTATCTGTTACCTCTTTGCCTAGTTCTCCTCAAATCTTCCCTCATCCCTGGCTCCTTAACTCATGCTTCCAACTAATGCTTCTCAAACACTCCAAATCAAACAGGCAGGACACCATTGTCCCCATTGCTGGCTGCCCTAGAGATCTGCAGAAGAGGAATGGGGACAACTTCAGGCTGGGGATGTATAGAGTTGCAGTGAATCTTACCCAAGACTGGGAGATTGTCATCTGTCCATATAAAAGAACAAGAGCATTATAGATTTAAGGAGAAATCTGGATCTAGGGAAATGCCCAGACTTCTACAAGGATGAAGGGAGAGGCTACCTTTAATGCCCTTCCACGATAATGAGATTGATTACTACCTTATATGCCATTCTAGAGTCTTCATCTAGGAGCTGATAGAAACAGAAGCAGACACCCACAGCTAGACACTAGCTGAACTCCTGGAATCCAGTTACACAGAGGGGGGAGTGATGAGCAAAGGGGTCAAGACCAGGCTGGAGAAACCCACAGAATCAGCTGACCTGAACAAGGGGGAGTTCATGCACCCCAGTCTTATAGCTGGGAAACCAGCATAGGACCAACCCAGACCCCCTGAATGTGGGTGTTAGTTAGGAGGATGGGGCAGTCTATGGGGCCTCTAGTAATGGATCAGTATTTATCCATAGAACATGAATGGACTTTGGGAGCCCATTCCATATAGAGGGATACTCTCTCAGCCTAGCCACATGGGAGAGGGCCTAGGCCCTGCTCCAAATGATATGACAGACTTTGAAGACTCCCCATGGAAGGCCTCACCCTCCCTGGGAAGCAGAAAGGGGATGAGCTGGGGTTTGATGGGGGTGATGGGGAGGATGGGGGTGGCGGTGAGGGAACTGGGATTGACAAGTAAAACACCCTTGTTTCAAATTTAAATAATAATAATAATAATAAAAAGATCAAGAGCTGGAATAGCTCAGTGCTTGGCCTGTGTGTGGCCCTAGGTTCAGACTCCAGCAGAGACTGAAGTTAAGCCTGGTGGTGATGACCTATTATAGCGTTGAGGCAAGACTGTAAGTCTGGGTTGTTTAGCGAGCTGCTGATTCAAGGAACAAGCAAACCGAAGGCAGTTGATTTAATCCTCCCTGCTGTGGACCCCTTGGAGGTCGCCCTTTCTCCACAGCCTGATTCTGGCCATGGGGTCTTAGATCCTTGCTTATTTCACCTCCTAGCCCTAATCTACCCAACTCCTTCCTGGAACCAGTCTTTTTAGGGGAAGGTGGTTGCTAGCCTTTATTTACTGTGTGAATGACATCTGTCTGGTTAGCATCTGTGAGCTCAAGCACTTGCCCTCCGTTGGCCCTGTGGCCTGCCTCATCTCAGATTGGTCCCTCTAGTCACTTCCCCTCAGTGGGTCACTCTGCTGCCCGACCATTGGCAATCATTGGTAATCCTATAACCCATCCAGGTATCCAGCTTTACCAGTGATTTACACCCCAGGCACAAAATCCAGCCCTGTGGCTGCATTCTGAATTCATCTTCTTCCTCCTTTTAGTTAGGCAGTCCATCACTGCCACCTGGGTGAGCTCTTTCACACTCTTCCTCCCATCCTCCCTCTGCCACCACTGGTTTAGGAATATGTTCCCTCCTCCCTACCTCTATTCTCCCCAACCTTGAATTTCAACCTGTTTCTCCAACACCTTTGGCTTAATCCTAAACACACCCCCCCAACCTGCCTCCACTTACCTTCCAGCTCTACTCGATATCCTACTACTCACCCTTTAGATTTCCAGCACAGCAGACCATTCACCCACTTCGCAGCCTTAGGAAATGTATTTGAAGAATATGACTGAATATTACTAGAGGCAAAGTGGTCCTTTTGCCCATTCTCACTCATGCAGACATCCTGTCTGGGATCCCAGGTTTGGCAATGAGCAAAGGGAAAATAAGGCCCATGTTACAGACATTAATAACTACATTTGAAACCGCCTTGTTTGGGGAGTAAATTCTTTTGAAGCTTGCTGGGTGTCTCCTCTATGTCCCCTGAGCCACTGGGTCGCTGATTATCTCAGGAACAAATGATGCCTGTGTGGCTGGAATCCCTGGGACCTTGGTGCTTGGCTTTCTTGTTTGCACTGTGTGTAGCGAAGAGCACCATTGCATTAATTTGTGTTAGCTCAAGCAATTTGCCCACTTGAGTCTAGAGCCACAGCTGATGACTTGGTGTTGATCTTCTCTGAATGGCTGGGAGGCTGTGTTCATATGTGGGAATTTTAATAGTTCAAGAGAAGTGCTAGAAGTGGACAGGATGAGTTTTCTTTTTGAGAAGAACAACCTACCAATAAGTCAGGAGCTGGAAAGGAAGCCATGATATAATTACAGAGGGTTTTAAAACTCTGGCTAAGAACTTTGACCTTTAGTAGATGATTAGGACCTAGTAGAGTCATCAAAATGATACTAGTGTGGCTTTTTTATGAGTAGGAAGGTGACATGGACTAGAGTGGAAGAGAAATTAAATTAGGAAAAGTGATAGAAAGAATGACAGTGCAGATAGGCAGAGATACACAGATAGACAGACAGACAGACAGACACACACACACACCTACCTCCTTACTCTAGGTGGCCATATGTTTAAACAATAGCAGTAGAGAGCCTTCTTTCTTTCTTTCCTTCCTTCCTTCCTTCCTTCCTTCCTTCCTTCCTCTCTCCTTCCCTCCCCTTTTAATCTATCGTCCTTCATTCCTGCTTCCCTTCCCCCCTTCTTCTTTCCCATGACCACATACATTCCAGGTCACCTTGCTGGACCTAACCAGCATACACTAAACAGTTTCTAATGAGATGATGAGTATATAATACTTTCAAAACATTGAACCTGGATTTGGTGACTCATTCTTTCAATCCCAGAAGTTAGGAGGCAGAGGCAGGTGGATCCCTATGAGTTTGAGGCCTATCTTATCTACTTAAGAGTGTTCCAGGACATCCATAGCTCCATAGTGAGACCTTGTCTCAAAAGAGAGTTAGGGCCTAAAATATACACAAAAACGTATTATTAGTAATGAAAAGTAATTGGTGCCAGGCATGGTGCCAATCTCAGCACTCAGGAGGCTGAGGCAGGAGGATGGGGAGTTAGAGGCTGTTCCAGACTATCTCAAGGGGGTGGGGATGACTGGGCAAATGGAAAGTGAAGACCTGACGTAATGTAGTGTCATGTATGGTCTGGAAGGAGGAAAGTCAGAGCCGAAGCCAAGCCATGGAGTGTGGTCAAGATGAAGATGCTTGGAAGGCCAGGCGCCTCAGAGGCTGAATGTCTTCCAGGACCAGCAGTGGGCACACCCTAGACAGGCTTCCCCGTGTCCTAGCTTTCTCATCTGTTAAACAGGAATACAAATGAAGGTAGTGGCTCTCCAAATCAGCTCAGAACAGGGAATGGGCCGTGCTTAGACTCAAAGGGGCACACCTGGAGCACTTGTTAAAGACCAACAGTACCAACTCTGGACGTCCAGGAACCTTAGAGAGCTCTGTAGTTGTTGGCACCTAACTCAGACCTCTGCTCAGTGGGCTGCACACTGCCTCATGTGGTTGTTCATCTGTGAAGACGGCAAAAGGTCCGGGTCACCTTCGATAAGTTCCAGGGCATTACCCAGTGTCAAAACACAGCAGACTCTCTCCATAGGTGATTAACTAGGTTATTGTAAAACTATCCTGATCCAACAGTACCATAGGCCTGGATTCTTTGTGGTCTGCTGTACAGAGTCACCTCCCAGTGGCTAAAGCAGAGATATGGTCTGAATGACAGGTAGACTCACCAGGGGACCGCTGAGGGGACAGTCCTGGCTTGCAGTTAATGAAGTTAAAGAAAAGTTATTGCTCCTGGCTAAGAAGAGACAGGGGTCAGTTTGAAACAACACAACAAGAACAACCCTGCTTTATTTATTCAGAGTAGAAACCAAATACCTTCTTATTAACCAATACCTTTAAAAGACAAAAGCTGGGGCCAGGCCTTTAATCCCAGTGATTGGGAGGCAGAGGCAGGCAGATTTTGTGAATTCAAGGTCAGTCCTGTCTGCGTACGGCCAGTCATGGCTATGTAGAGTGACATCGTCCTACAAAAAAAGAAAGGCAAAAGGAAAGAAAGAAATGAAAAAGCAATGTAAAATTAAGAACAATCCTAAGGATCTTCTCAAATGAGGCAATGGTAATGGAAAAAAAAAATGAGGAAGGCAATGAAAATAAGAGTAGGAAAATTTTTAAGAAGGAAAAATTGTAAAAAGCCAGTCCAAGAAGTGTTAGAAACAGCAAGTTGACTAAAAACATAGTAGAATTTATATGTAAGCTGTCACAAAAATCCAACATTATCTACAGATGGCTAGAGAATCACAATAAAGTATACTGGCTGACAAACTGTCAACTGAAATTAACACAGAACTGACAGAAAAGAGGAATTTTATGACCAAGTATGCGCCAAGGCAGGAGCTTAAGGAAGATGGATTCCAGAGCACCAGGCCTTTCCTGGTGGTGCCCTTGCTCTGGGTGACTGCAAATTCAGATTCCCAGGCTCTGCCTGGGAAGTAGTGGGTTTGGACAAGACCCAGGAGGTTTCCATGGGGCCTGGGTTGGCTGTGTTCAGGGTCCCTGCAGGCCTCTAACATGACAAATACATCTCAGCTTGCTACAGGAGGGACATTGGAGGATCCAGAGCGAAGCTGGGGAAGGGAAGGCCTAAGAGAAGCCCCATTCAAGGCATGTCTGAGGAACAGCAGGAAGGTGAGTCCTAGCCAGACAATGCCTGTGGCCTGCAGAAGGAGGGCCAAGGGAGTAAGAGTACCTTGAGATGGAAGGACACTGAAACCCTGGGATGGGCAGTCCACACATGGTAGGATGAGCCACCCATCCCCAGACATAAACATAACCCGAGTTTCTTTGTGCCTAACAAGACAGAGATTGCCAGAGTCTTCTCTGCCTTCATGGTTCTTGCCCATTCGTGACAGAGTGTCCTTAAATGCTGGAGTACATGGGGATCACTCAAGGACTTGTTAAGAACATGTTGAACATGCAAAGTCTGTACCCCAACATTCATGTTTAACAAGCTTTCTCAGAGATGGGAATAGGGCGTGTCTGAGGGCCACACTTTGGAGTTCTGTTCTGTGGTGACTGGAATTCTCCCCACTGTCACAGCTTTCCCTCAACAGTTCTGGAAATGTAGAACAGTCCTCACTTATCTAATTGCTGGCTCATAGAATGGAGGTAATAAAAATGGCTCCTAAGTACCCCGCGCAGGTCAGGCACTCCAACTGTGTTTGCCTTATGATCCCCCTTCAAGGTATACACTGCTTTCTTTTACAGACAAAGAAAAGAGAATCTAAGTGGCCTACATATACTGATTGCATAGCTAGTGATTGGCCAAGTCAAACCCTGCCTTTGGTGGTTTTCTATCCACCATCTCAGCAAAGCTTGCTGCCCCTGAGAACATTGGGACAGCCAGCAGGCTGCTGCTCAGCAAAGTGCTGGCAGGTAAAAATGTGAGTGCCAAGCGGCAGTGGAGGGCAGCCCTGCCCTGTCTCTGTGCAGCAGAATGCACTCTCCAATCATTTGCCTTTGCCCAGCACCCCTGACCCAACACCTCAGGGCGCAGTGGAAATGACTCAAGAATCCAAGTTCTTAGACTGAACTATCAAGCGGCCAGAGTTGGACAGTTTCTGTCTTCTTAGATGAAGAGTTTCTGGCTGGAGTAGGTGGTGGCTGGGGCACGGAATGAAAAGGGGACTGGAAAGAATGAAGCAAAGCCTTGTGGCTTCCCATCACAGCAGGGCTTGAACCTCTTTATGCCAGATGAGGATCTAGGGAGATCTGTGGAGTCCCACTCTGGTCCTCATTAGTTAGTGCTCTGATACCAGAAGGCTGTTGCTACTGTCATCTTTTCCTCCCCAGGGACAATAGTATCCTATATGGTATCTGAGAACCTTACAAAGATGTATGGGGGTTAACCATGTGCTGGGAAGAAAGGAGGTACTCCCGGGAAGTTGGTGGGGAAGGTCGACTCTACTCCAACACTCAGGTGGGGGTGGGGACTACCTTTCTCCCAAAGACTGGCTTCCTGTGCAGCTCGTGGAAGGTTCTAACAGGTGTTCTGGCCGAGTGGAGGTGTATTTTGAAGGCGTGTGGGGCACAGTGTGCGATGATCTGTGGGACGAGAAGGAAGCACAGGTCGTGTGCCAGCAGCTGGGCTGCGGGGCTGCCGTGTCCAGCCTGGGAGAGGCCTACTTTGGCCAGGGCTCTGGCCCCATTCTTCTGGATGATGTGCAGTGCTCTGGGACCGAGGTCTCCCTGGGGCAGTGTTCTCACGCTGGCTGGTTCATCCACAACTGTGGGCACGAGGAAGACACTGGTGTCGTCTGCTCCGGTAAATCACTTTCTGTCTTTTCCAAGAGTTGATTTCTCTCTTTATCCAATCATTCTCCTTTCTCTCTGACCCAAAGGAAACTTTTGTAGCATATTGTCCTGTGGGATCAAAAGCCTTGTCTGCACATGGTTCCAGGCACCTTCCAGAATGACACTTGTGTGGAGCCTCTCCTTCATGGGGTTTTGGGAGCATCTGAATGTGGACCTCTTATTCTACCCCAGTCCTCCTGCATCCACTTAGGTGGCCAACAGTAGCACTAGAGTGACAGACTGGAAATGAAAATACTCAGGCCAGCTGCAAGATTACATGATTTGTGGGTCCTAGGGTGAGAGCTGTGAGAAATTTCTAGACAGAGACAGCAGTGCCCCATAGGGTGGGCCCCTTCTAATTGTGGGCCCTGTGGGATTGCGGGGAGGTACCCTTGGGTAACCCTCTGTCCTCTCCCCACACTCATCTCTCTGTGCTTGGTGTGGCATTGCATTATCTTTTAGCTTTTTCTAATTAAATGGGAGCGATCATTGTGATGGTAATCATTGTGACCCAGTGCCCTGCCCTGTATCCTGCAAGCTGGGCTGCTGATAACACGATCCCTGAAATTCTTCTTTTGGGGGAGTCAAGCTCCTAGAGAAGGAGCAGTTCTGGGCCTGATGAGCTAGCAGTGGACCATAGAGCAAGGTACAGAGTTGAGTAGAAGAGAGAAGAATGGGCCCTCCTCAATCCCCAGCTGCTAAGTGGTAAATCAGGGACCCCTTTCTCAGAAGCCTCTGCTCGTATTTCAAGGTTCAACCTTCAAGGAAGCAAGAGCTAAGTCTTCATTCACTGGCTAAGAGCTAAGTACTCTCCTAACAAGCATTTTCTGTGGAAGGCTTGGGCGGTCGAGCAGTGACCAAAATGACTCTGTCTCCACAGGATGGACTAATGGCCTCCGTGCATGTTCCCATGGCCATTCTTGGTGACTGCAGGTGTCATGAGCCCTGCCCTGGCCAGGGTCTTCCCCGCTGCAGGGAGTATCGAGAGTCTTGGCCTATGAAACTGCCGTTTCTAAGGTGACTCTGCAGCCTGCAGGAGAAAGCTCCTGTGGTTATGGTTACTCTGAGACCTGCTTTAAGGTTGAACTGGGAGACCCCCTTCTGAAAGCTCTTCCTGTGAGCCCTCAGCCCTGCCACTATGGGGCAGAATTCACACTGGTCCCATTGGGGTGTTCTGAGCAGCTCACATGGGCAGAGAGAGGACTTTGTTGCTCTCTGAGGCTGCACATTCTTGGACCTGGTATCCTGAGAGGGAGGGGCTGAGAGTGGTTTAGTTAGCAAATTAGCGCAAGTATAAACCTTGCTTTGGGGGATTTAAAACCCCTTCTCAAGTGTATCTTTCCATGACGGGTCTCAACTGGAGTTGATTTTGTGACCTAGGAAGCATTTGGATGTTTTTGATTGTCACACTTGGGGATGTCCCTGCTGTCTGTGGTAGCACCCAGGGGTGCTGTTAAACTTCATACAGTGCACAGGATGGCCCTCTGCTGCAAAGACTGTTCCAGTACCAGATGAAAATAGCACAGAAGCTTTAGAATCAATCATGTGCTGTGGAGACACGGACATCAGTAACCAGTCATGAGTTAATAGTGTGTTGACAGTTGATTAATAGTTATTTTCATAGTGACAGGAAATCATCTACGACTCCGTATCCAAGGGGCAGTTTTGGCTGAGCACTTCCCAATAATTTCATCTGATTTTCTTTTCTTTCTTTTAAGATTTATTAATTACGCATAGTGTTCTGCCTGCACATATGCCTGTGTGCCAGAAGAGGGCACCAGATCTCATTATCATAGATGGCTGTGAGTCACCATGTGGTTGCTGGGTATTGAGCAGCTCTTAACCTCTGAGCCATCTCACCAGCGCCATCTGCTTTTCTTTTCTATTGATTGAAGTTGATTAAATCTGTCCTGTAATTTTTTGTAAATATGCTATTTTGTTGGGTTTATTGAAATAGAGTTTGAATCATAGCATGCCTAGTGTGCTAAGAGACTGTCTCAAAGCATAAATCCTATCTGCTCATGGGGCACTTTGCAGTTCTGTAAGCACTTTGCATCCATTTCCCATTCCATCCTTATCACTCAGGTGAGTTTGTTTTATTGTTCTTGTTTTAAAAATAAAGAAACCAAAATTAAAGGACAAAATTAAGTCAAGGTTAAGACGAATGCCTTCTTGACCAAGGTCAGCCAGCATGCATTGGACCTGAGGCAGCCATATCTAATGTCTCGTTCCCCCACCAAATATGCCTACAATTTGGAAGAGCTGCCTTGAATCTTAGCCATTCTCAGTTGTCGGTGTTGCTCTGCTAGTAGTCTCATCCATAGCAGCTGCTTAGTCACCCACTCCCAGAACATGCACATACTTTTGGCAAGATTCCCCAGGTACAGGGAGGGTCTTCCCCCGCTACTGAGTTGTACTGGTTTATCTAAAGCAAAGCCTTCATCATCAGATTTCCCCCATTCCAACTCCCTAAGAGCCTGCCTTTCCTGACACAGGCAGAAAGGCAAAGGGTGCTAATTGGGAAGATGAGTAGCTGATTTGTCAGTGAGAGAATCAGTTACTTCCTCAAATAGCACAACCCAGGGTTGCCTGCCCTCAGCAGACACTCTGAAATCCCATTCACTTTCAAAGTCTAAATGATACCAAAGTTGCATTTATTTTAATATGAACAACATTTGAAAACACTCAATACCTGGCAGCATAAATCCCTTAAAAAAACAAAACAAAACAAAACAAAAAAACAAAAACAAAAAACCCCCGCCCTATTTAGCCTGTGGCCATGCAGCTCTGATCTCAAGCTGAGAAGCTTGGCAAACCACCCCTCCTTGAAAGACCTGGGTAAACCCTGTGTACAATTCACACTAACATCCCCACAAATACTGAACAAAAGCGAATGAACACTCCTTCCTAGATGGCATTGGCCTTTCTGAGCTAGTCCCGTGTAACCAATTCTAGGCTGAGCTTTCCACTGGGGACAGGGTACCAGGGCAACATCGAACAATTCAGCGAGGTAGAACACTGCAGATTTTATCCTCTTCCGTAGACTCACCTTGCATTCTACCTTCTTTTCTTCTTCACAGAATCTGAACACTTTCTCACAGAAAATGAGACTTCGAGAGATTTTGGTAAGAGCAAAGACTGCGCTTAGCACGTCTTTAATAGAGCACCCACAAGTTCCCCTAGTCACCTGGTTGTATTTGCTACTGTAACCCACGTGGGAGGCAGGGGAGAGCAGAAGACAAACATGGCTTTCATTATAAGGACCCACCAAAAGAAAGAAAAAAAATGAGAAGGTGACTTCCTTGGCTTTAACCACACAGGTAATATTCCATCTCCAAAGTTCTCTGGGCCTGTTGCCCAAACTATTCTAGAGAATTCTGGAAGAGATAATGGCTCTGGGTGGGCAAAATTATAATTCAAAGGTGCAATTGAACTCAGATTGACTAAGGAGAGTCCTGACTTCGCACATATGAAGATGGAGAGGGGAGTCCCAGGACAACATGTACCTTAGGTTCCTTGTCATATGCTAATGGAGGAAAGAGGAGAGGAAAGCCTTGGCTTGTCTCTTGATGGCCTATTTTGTGCTTACCACAGGAGAACTTTTTTTTTCCTGTAAGCCTTGGACCTTGCTGCCTTCAGAAAGTTGATGATGTATTTGTTCGTACAATCCAGTTTGTAAATGACTCTGAGCTACCTGAACTCACTGGCCAGATCCTACTGAATACACGCCCCTTCCCACCACATTCATGGTGCCCCCTGATACCTACTCCATGAGCCACCACACATACAGTGCACTCTGGTGGACTTTTTTCATGATAATGACTCCTGGTTTATTTATCTTTGTTCTTAGATGCTGGAATCTTAACACCATTTCCTGGTGGTGAGTCGAGCTTTCCTAACTCCCTGTGTGATGCGATTGGCAGGTATTTCTAACTAGTGGGTCGATCTTTAGCCTTACACACCTTACTGAATAGAATGATGTCACCAGGGAATCCCTGTGCACTCAGCCCACTCACAACACTCTATGGACTTTGTTTACACTGTTTTGTTTTTCTTACTGTGTGGAAGAAAGCTCTACCCTCTTCCTAGGTGTTCTTGGTCCAAGTAACTCCTTCTTACTCCTCTCCAAGCCTGAGCCCACTGTCACTTAGAAAAGACAACCCCACCCCTACTGTTCATTACCCACCATTGCCGCCTTTGCTTCTTGGCACTCCGCATGCTTGCAGATCTCCTTTAATTCTATATTAAAAGGACTCACTTTAGAAAAGTCATAGTTATTGCCAGTGGGACTCACCTTAAAGATTAAATGTGCCAGATGCTTCTCACAGCTCTTCCTGTGAATCCCAGCTTTGTTGGTAGATTCTGACCTTTGTGACAAGAAGGATCAGGTCCTCCTGTCAATGATAGGATCCCCTATGCTGTCTGCTCAGATGTGTCCTATAGTGAATTCTTGGTGTGGTTAGTCAAGTTGATCCAAGTCAAGTAGCTTCCTTCCAGCAGTACTTTTGTACCTTTAAGACTGGCCACAGTTGCAGCTCACAAACGGGTCAGGACGATGCTCCGGGAGAGTAGAAGTTTTCTATCACGGCCAGTGGGGCAGGGTCTGCGATGACCAATGGGACCTGCATGAAGCCACCGTAGTGTGTCGACAGCTGAACTGTGGGCGTGCCCTGGAAGCCCCAGTCCAGGCACGATTTGGTGATGGCCCAGGGGAGTTTCTGCTAGATGAGATGGACTGTACTGGGACAGAGAGTTTTTTGGGACTGTGCCCTCATGCTGGCTGGCGTCTACATAACTGTGGTCCTGGAGAAGATGCCAGTGTCATCTGTGAAGGTAAGAGCCACCTCTCCCTCCAACAGTGCATATCATCTTATCAAGACTGCATCAACATCAATCATTTTGGAATCTTTGTATCCACATCTGCAATCACAAATTGACACTGCTGCTTGGGTAGGCCATGCATAAAGAGACGTGGGCAATTTAAGAGCTTAGGAATTTTAGACACTAGATGTTGAAATGGATTTTACACAGAAAACATAGTGACAGACATAAGCATTTCCATTGTAAGGATTCCAAGACATCTCATAAAGAGAAAACATGACCTACTAGTGAGGTGGTTCATTCAAGGGCATTGTGATGAATGAAGATAAAATTTTCTACTTAATATTCACAGTCCAGGGGCTGAAGAGATGGTTCAGTGGTTAAGAGCACTGGCTGCTCTTCCAGAGGACCTGGCTTCAATTCCCAGTTCCTACACAGCAGCTCACAACTGTCCCAGTTCCAGGGAATCTGATACTTTAATACCAATACACATAAAACACATTTTAATAAATTATATTTTAAAAATACTCACAGTCCAAACAAAACATAGCACTGCAGCAGCTGAGGTAGAAAGATAGTGGAAAATTTAAAGCCGTTCCACATTCCTTAGTGAGTTCCAGGCTAGCTTAGTTCACAGAGGGGAGATCTTGCCACAAAACAAACAAACAAACAAAAACAAACAAACAAAAAGAAACAAAACAACCAAAAACCATAGAAGGAGCTGGTGAAACAGCTCAGTTGGTAAAGAGACTGCCATGTAAGCATGCAGACTTAAGCTGGATCCCAAGATGATAAGTAAAAAAAACCAGGAGTAGTGGCATGTGCTCACTGACCAGATCCTGACCTAAAAAACAACATGGATGTTGGCTGACCTCTATCCCCAACACAAGTGCACTTATACACTCATGTATGCAAATAGAACTATGACCTGGAATAGCTTTAGTTTATCCTGTTGATTTCAAATTCATGGTAAGTTGAGAAAGTAGAGTATTGAGACTCGTGTGGGACTGGGCTCCTCCTCCCAGCACTGTGGATGTTTGGGGTCAGTTTTGGTGGTGGATGGGCTGCCCTGTGCTTTGGGGCTATTTTTTTTTAGCATGTCTAGTCTCTATTTACCAACAACTGTAGTACCCTTAACGTGGTTGTAACAGCCAAAATGTCTTCTAATATGTCCCTTTGCACTGGTCTAAGGATACAAACATAACTCTAGATTTCACCAATCACAGGACTAATTTTCAGCACATTATCAATGCCAAGATACATTTTTACATCAAATGGGAGGGAATGCTGATTTAATGTTAAAGGGTTAAGTGGGAATGGCTGTCTGTTGGTTGTATCCCAGTGGTCACAATGTCTGTATTTAAGATATTACCCAGAGCTCAGGAGTTAAGAACATGTACTGTTCTTACAGAGATCCAAGTTTATTTCCCAGCACCCATGTTAGGAGGCTCACAAAGGTATACAAGTCCAGGTCCAGGGGATCTAGCTCTCTCTTCTGGCCTCCATGGACACTGCACCTACATGCATACACACACACACACACACACACACACACACACACACACACAAAGACACAAACAAAATATAAGAACTGGAAAGATAGCTCAGTTGTTAAAAGCACTTGCTGCCTTTGCAGAGGACTTGGATTCTGTTCCTAGCACACACGTGACAGCTTACAACCATCTAATTCCAGAAGATCCTGCACTCTCTTCAGACCTCTTGTGGGCACCAGGCATTCATGCAGTGCACATACATACATGCAGACAAATCACTCATACACATAAAATAAAAATAAATAAATATTTTAAAAATAAAATTGAAAAATATACTTTAAGATTTTTTTTATGTTAAGTAGAAACAGCTTTTGCTCACTTTATTCCTTCTAAATAATTGGTTTCATTTTTGTTTCAATTATTCAAATTTGAGTTATTCTGTAATGTTCCCGTTTTCATTTTCCCCAAGGGAATTGCTATTAAAGCAAAATTCATTCCCCTCCTGCTATTAAGAAAGTGGGGTAAATTCTCTGGATAGTACATAGAATCGTTTAGTGAATGTTCTTCTGAACTGTGTGAAAAAGGAATCTGAGCTAACTACCATTAGCTCCAACAACCACTTAATTCTCAATTCCTCTCCTTCCAGGGAATGACCAGGAGCTGGTGGAGAGGCCCCAAGGTAGGAGGTGTTTTCACGCTGAAGCTCTTCTTATCGTCCGCACTTGATGCTGACTTCTTAACACTTACGGAGCCAAATTTGGAGAGAATGTGTTGCACATTCTGCACTTAGTCACCCCTCTCTGGGGAGTCTGGCAGCAAAAGGTTTAGGTTCCATTTCTGCCACTTCATTCGTGTTAGTGATCATAACAAGTTATTATGTCTTTCTGAAGAGGAGACAAAACACCTACCTCACAGTAGGATGTCTCCATTGAAGGTCAGAGACTTGGAATGGTGACATGTACCAATGCCACTCAAGTGTGTGACAGTTTTGGGTGGGAGCTTTAACCACAGAGTCACTATTTATTTGAGTCTTTAGCTCAGAGGTCAGTACCCTTCTGGGAACATTTAAGTTTCACAGGCTAGATGGTGTCATGGTATTGGCTAAACAACTGGGGACAACAAGAAACCAGCCTCAGGCAGTCATGAAACCATGGGCCTGTCTGTTTCCACATAAAATTTCTCTTGCACAATCAGGTTCTGGAGCTGGGTGACGACAGTTCAGTTGGTAAAAATTCCTCCTGCACATGAGGATCTAGCACCTACATAAATGCTGGGCTTGGTAGTGGGTACCTGGAACCCTAGTGCAGAGACAGGCAGATCTCTGGAGCTCATTGGCTAGAGTCAGCCTAGCTGAATTGATTAGCTCCAGGTTCAGTGAGAGAGACCCTGTCTCAAAAACAAAAAGTTGTAGAGTTGTGGATGATGGTGAAGACACTGGTGTTAATATCACACACAGACACAGACACAGACACAGACACACACACACACACACACACACACACACACACACACACGGTGGGGTTGGGGGATGGCCACTAGCTGTGAGGTAGGATGGAGCCATAGGTTCCCAACTTCAGTACTAAATGATTTAATGCTAAATACTTTCTATGCATGACTTAATTAATTTTCATAAGAAATGTATGAGTCAGGTACTTCTTAAATTTCAATTTAATTGATGATAAAACAGTGGGAAAATAAATCAAATTGCAGAACTGTGCTAGCCAGTTGAGTAGTAACATGCCTAGTTTGGCTTTGGTAGACAGCTGATGCTACAGGCAACCTCATTCTTTTTGCTCAGTTAGTGTCTCTAAGCAGGAGAAACTGGAGACATTCCTTGTTTCTCCTTCTTCACTCTACGTAACTAATACACCGGAAAAAAAATCTGTCTCTACTTTCAAAATATATGCTAAACTCTTTAGCATCTCCCAGCCCCAAGAATGCCATCTTCCATAGTCTGGCCCTCTGTTACCTCCCCTACCCCCTGCCCCATAGTTGTAAACTGGATCACACCTCTGCACTCAAAACCTCCCAAAGTTTGCTTCATTGGTGCTGTCTCTGTCTCTCTGTTTCTCTCTCCTTCCCTCCCTCCTCCCTGCCTTCCTTCCCACACCCCATGTGTGTATCTACTATGTGAACAGTCAGGCTGGCCTGTAACTGAAAGTGAAAGCTAAACTCACGATCTTCCATGTGCTGGGATTAGTTTAAAGTATGTACCACTCAAAGGCTCCACTCAATGACATGTCTCTGACCACTGAGGAAACTCCCCATCTACCCTTTGCCCAGCCATTGAAACAGACAAGGTCATCTCCAGTTAGGACCTGTCCCAGTCCTTCTTTCAGTCCCAAATTCTCCTTATCATCAGGTCTCAGATAAAACACCGCACTCCCACAGAGAGAATTCCTTTGAATGCACGATGCAAACAGGCTTCCTCTCAGTCACTTTGTATGTGATCCATCTGTTCTCCCATCTAGGATGGTCTTTGTCATTTTGCTTTAATCCCTTGCCCATCCTCCATCTCCATCCTCCTTCCTCTCTCTCCCCAGGGTGGGGAGTTAGTGAGAGAGGACTGTCTATCTAAGAGCCAAGAGCAGTTCTGGTCAGTAGCAGCTTCTAAATAGATACTGGGATGAAAGATAGGCATATGTGTAGCATTCTAATTTGAGTCATTAATCAATGAACAATGATGGCAACTTGGCAACTTCCTCTCAGCAAAACCCACTTACTTCCCACAGAAGCACAGAACATTCCATTGTGCATGATTCCCATCATCCTTCTAAGCCCAGGAGGCTCGGGCTTTAAAAAAACAATCAATTTCAGTAATTATCTAAGTGTCATTTGGTTGTGTTTTAGTTTTTCCATTCATTTCCCTACCACTCATGTGGTCACTACCCTTGTTTCTAGTTTTGCTATATATCTATATATCACAGATATATGTTTTACTCTCAGCCTTTTGAAATATGTAGCACTGTGTGTGTGTGTGTGTATTTGTTGCCTTGACATGACTTTTTTAACTAACTTCATGATTGTAAGAAAGCAATATGCATTTAACAGAAACCATACTTTGGTGCTTTGTATTTTGAGTTTTATCTTTTCTCAGGACAGTAACATGCAATAAAAATTATTTTTTCCTTTTACTGGGGAGCCACAGTGAATCACAACAACCAAACATCTTAGAAAACAACCAGTATCTACTGGGCTCTGTGTTGCTAAAGTTGGATGCTTGGTAGATTATTTGTATTTTATTTATTTGCCATATTTTGTGGAGGTATGTGCATGTTCTCATGTATGGCACTCACACATACGTGTGTATGTGTGTGTGTTGTGTGTGTGCATGTAGAGAACAACCCTAGGTGTCCTTTGTCGGGATCTTTTATTGGTTTGGAGTTCCTCTAGCAGGCTAGGCTAGCTGGCCAGCAAACCTCACAGGCCTGCCTATCTCTGCTTCCCCAGAGCTAGATGACAAGTACACAACACCACACAAGGTTTCCACTTAGGATATTTTAACCCAAGTTAGTTTGACTTATGGTTTTTTTTCAGGACACAACTGTATCATAAGTCAACATTAGTATATAATGTTGATATACTATATCTGATATAGACAATAATATACTGATATAGACAATAATTATAATACATTATATATCATCTTCTACATTATGTTATAATATGTGATATAATTTAATGACATTCTATGGAATGATTAATAATATATAGAAAAATTAATGGAGTTGGCCACCTAGGGTCCACTCAACTCTGAGGGAAGCATGAATTGAGATTATATCTCAGTTTTGGACATCATCTTGCTCTGTGCCTAGCTGTGAACAACTACCCAGGACAGACAAGTGGCCCTGAGTTCCTATGGTGACCTGCTTACTCTCAGTTTCCAAAGAGCCATGTGTAAAGGCTTTACCTAGAAAACCTTCAAAGAAATCTACTCATTAAATATTTCCTGGACTCTGTTAATCCAAAGAGCCTGTATTTCATCAAGAATTGATTTCTTGTTTTGTATTTCAGACTTATCATATTAGATTAATAAATATGCCAAGTAGAAGTTACTCAATTGGATTTAATAAGAAATATCTTGATTTATTTGTACCACTAGGTGATGGAAATCCTGCAACCATATTGTCAGGTAAGTGATTTATTATTATCATCATCTTTGTTGTTGCTGTTTTCCTTGGGCATGCATATTTTACCCATGTAAATCTAGGAGAGAAGATGAATAAGTAGATGTTCTGTTGTGCCTGAGAGATGTGTCTTAACCTGTCCTGGATATTGAATTTGAGTGCAAATGATCTCCAGAGCCTAAAAAAAGAGCTCATAGTACTTTTATTTTTAGAGAACATTAGAAAATGTTTTGATTATATGAGTTTCATAACCAGTTGTTCAGCGCAGTTTGACCAGCTGTTCTGGGAGTTCATAAACTCCCTCAATTTTGGTAAAGGATGTGTTTTAAATTTTCTTTGGAGGAAGACTCATTTGCTCACATATGATGCTAGCCTATTGTATGAGTTTGAGTCTGCCATGGCATCTATATCAAACTGTCATAATTTAATGGTTTAAATGATGTAGATTTTTTCTTTTTTCTTTCTCTTTTTTTTCCCGCCTTGTAGCTCTAGAATTCCTAAATCTAAAATGAGTTGTGCTTAGCCAAAGGCAAGCTGTAATCCAGGTCTTGGAAGATCTGTTTCTGGGTTATTGTTATTATGGTTGTGACAGAATACCTCACAGAAGCAACTTAAAGGATAAGGGGTTTAGAGATATAGCTCATCATGGTGGAAAAGATTCTTAATTTCTTTTCTGTTGCTGTGGTAAAATACTCTGACAAAAGCAATCTAAGGGAGAAAGGGTTATTTAGCTCACAGTTCACAATGTAGTTTGTCATGGTGTGGTAATCAAGGCAGCAGGAGCTTGAAGCAGCTGGTTATATCACATCAGTAACCAGGAAGCAGAGTGAGTGCTCAGCTCCCTTTCATCACTTACACAGTTCAGAGTCCCAGCCTAGGGAATGGCACCACCCAGAGTGGGCAGGTCTTCCATCTCAGTTAATGCAATTATGATAACATCTCACAGGCATGGTCATAGGTCCGTGTTCCAGGACCTATACCTACACACTAGTACAAACCTAGAGACAACAAGACACCTATAGATAGACTGACAACCATAGATATTAGTACAGCACCTACAGGCAGTATGATGCCTACAGATAGTATAATACCTACTAACAAAAACTCACTCTAGTAATGAAACACTGAATAACATAAGCATAAGAATCAAACAAGGAATCTTGAGGGTTCGTATCACCAAACCGATTAGGGAGAATATAACTATCATTAAAGGACATATAATACCTGCATTTGGACTTAAAGCCTGGTAGGACAGGATAGGGAACAATGATTGAGTCTGGGGGTTGGAGGATTAGTGGCTAAGTAGTGGGTTTGCATTCCTATCACTTATGTGATGGGCCCTTCAGAGGTGAGGCAACACTATACCATGTGAAGTCACAGGGAGCCCTGAATGCCATACTGTCCTTGAATCACCATGAACAATTACTGTTAAATATTTTTTTTATTCCAGTTCTGCCTGCTGCCATCTCAGCTCAGCCATCTTCTAAACTTGTCTCAAGTTCCACTGCATCAGGTAGGACCCCATCAGCACCATCACTGAATTAACTGTAGCTTTATTAACTTGTCTACATTGGTGAGCACAGGTTATGCGACTGCTAGTTAATAATGCTTCCTCTGAGATCGTGTGACTCGAGGGGAAGGGACCGAGGTAGTCTGGACTCAGCACTGGCCAGCTTCTCTTTGTGTTTGACTGTCTGTAATTACTGTCAAAGAACACTGGGACTCAAGTGTCCATGTGTCACAACTGAAAAGTATGACATGAAAGGACACACCTGTGCTAGAGAAAGAGAAATTACCAGAGGGTCCCTTCACACCCTTTGAACTTAAAAAACAAAATAGAGCACCTGGCTAATGCCGAGGAAGAGTGTGAAATAGGAAATTTTAATTTCCCTCACACCGGTGAGTCACAGATTTTCTAGTTGTTGGGAGCAGGAGTCACCATTACAGCCCAGCCTCACTTATCATTGTGGCAGTTTTGATGCTGTCTCATCATCTGTAGCAACCACCACTTCAGTAATTCAGATGTGAGTTGTGTAATCCACAGTGTGACAAGGCTGGTGAAAAGCCGGGCCTTCCCTCTGCAGCGTTTGGGCGGCTATCAAGTACTGGAAAATGCAACTAGTGGGACTGAGACAGGCTGTGTACATCAAGTCAAAAGACGCCCTGGGTCTTCTGAAGGCTTAGGATGTGGGACACTGCTGTGCAGCATGCATGATGCTTCTGTAGCAACACGAAAGAACTCTGCAGAGCTACGGGATGTTAACACAGTGCTGTGTGCTTGAACTTTTGTGAAGGGAGCAGCTCTTGTTAAGCATTCTTGCCGCACACATACATGGGACTTGGGGAAAGCTGGAGGTGGGAGATAGAGCCATTCCCTTAATTATAGCAATGCTTACACAGATGTATTCTGGCTCCAGATTCGTCAATCTGCATACATTGAAAAACACAGAACACCAATTATACCTCAATGAAGTTGTTTTCTGAAATTTTACTTAGGGTCTGGGGGGGGGGGTGGCTCAGTAGGCAGGAGCACTTTTTTTGTAAGCATCTGGAACTGAATTCAGATCCCCAGCATCCACATAAATATCCAGGCATAGTTACACACGACTATATGGCCCCAGTACCTTGGGGTGGAGGGAAGGGAGAGTGACAGGAGGATTCCTGGACTTGCTAACCGATGCTTTAGCTCCAAGTACAGTGGGAGATCTGATCTCAAAGGAATAAGGCAGAGTGGTAAAGAAGGGCACAGATGTCCTTCTCTGGCCTCTTTATACATATATGTGCATACATCACACACACACACATACACATGTGCACACATCACACACATACACAAACATGTATACACACACACTATTTTTTTAAAAGATCACAATAAATATATATTAATTACATATTTAAATTATATTTTAGATATGCAGAATTATATAAGATTACTAAAAAATATTAATTGTACCCATATCTTTTCTTTGTCAACTGTGGCTGCTAAAAATTTTGACCTGGATTTGTGGCTCCTGCCTAGTTCTGCTAAGTGGTGTCACTACCTTTTCATCCACTGTGTCAAAGTTTCCTGTGGGTTTTCTTCTCTGAGTCTCCTTACAGCCATATGGGAGGCCTCTTTACTCTCACTCCCAGATGTGTAGACTCATGCTCAAATAGGTTTCATATTGTCCCCAAGTCCCATGAGATGATAACAGCAACAACCTGACTGTGGAGTCCGAAGGCTTTGATCCCCAAAGCACCATAGGCACAAACCCCATGAGTGTTCTGTTAACTGCTTGAGATGGACCAGGCACACTGGCTGTTCAGCCACAGAGAGGATACTTTGGGTCAAGGGGTTCATCATCACTCAGCTGAGCCTGAATTTTCTCAATGTGGCCCTTCAGAGTCACATGCTCATCACCTATGATGGCTGCAGACCCTCACTATTAGCTCTTATTCCTCCAACAACCAGTAAGGATCCAGTTATTTTCCTGATGACATTTCTTGGGTGCAGAACATTAATCTTTTTTCATTTTTGCTACATACACCCCCCCCCACACACACACACACACAGAGAGAGAGAGAGAGAGAGAGAGAGAGAGAGATTACAAACCAAAGAACCAGAGTGGCCTAGATTGCCAAATATATGTGAAGTTTGTTACACAAGTTAGCAAGTAGGACTTCAGGGTTATAAGGAAAGAAAGCAGCCCCTTCTAGAGCAGTGGTTCTTAACCTTCCTAATGCTGTGGCCCTTTACACAGTTCCTCATGTTGTGGTGATCCACAACCACAAAATTATTTTTATTGCTACTTAATAACTGTGATTCTGTTACTGTTATGAATCCTAATGTAGATATTTGTGTTTTCTGATGGGCTTAGGTGAATCCTGTGAAAGGGTCATTCAATCACTGACCCCCATATGTTCCCTGGCCCACAGGTTGAGAACTGCTGTTCTAGATGAAGCTGGGGAGGGGAGGTAAGGCAGGGCAGAGAGGAAGGCACCTGCTATAGGAGATGCAGTAGAAGAAGCAGCTATGGCTGCGTACATGGCCTTTTAAAGTTTATAATGATGGCCCAGAGAGTGGGGAGGCGATGAGACCCGGCCAAAGCGACTGTGACCAGGGCTGGCACACAGGGCAGATACCTCAGGAAGAGTCTGGGCTGTGGGGTTAAAAGACATGTAGGGGTCAAAATTGAGCATGATCCTCCAAAACCACCTGGGAGCTCCAGGCTCAGGAGGTAGGGTACCCCAGATACCCTGAATAGTAAATGAGGAATCTTCCCTGCCTTGGAGATGCCCCAAATCCTTCATTTTCCATGAGTCCTGGTGACAAGATGCTCCACGGTCGACAGCGCTGACACTGAAGATGGATGTGCAAGTTCACCCCAGAGTCATAGCCTGACGCTAAAACACCACAAGACGAGTGATTAAAAATAGGGAAGTTATTTCTCGTGGCTCCGGAGTCCAGGAGACCCAAGCTTAATTCAGCATAAGTGAGGACGTCCTTCCTGTTTCACAGGAGACAGCACTTCTCGATGATTCTCACAGCTGCAAGAGTGAGGGTTCTTTCCTAAGGATGCAAGTTCCCCAGGTCCTTGTCATCTCCCTAAGGACGCATCTGAGTGGAGACCAGGATCTCTACAAGTTCTTCCCCACAGAACCCTCGCCCGGCATCTTTCTTTCTGTTTGTATTTGGGGGTGCTCAGGTTATTCAGGTCCCCCAGCAGCAGGCACCTAGCCATGCCCTGCTCTTGAGAAGAAAGGAATCAAAGTTCATGGACCTAGTAAGCCTGAGCTCTCCATAAGAAATGCAAGAGGAGATGTGAAGCTGGGCAAGGATGGTGCCCCAAACGGGTACCATCCATGAGGGATTTGTCAGTACATAATGGACTCTCAAAAGATTCCTGGGTAGGGCAGGAAACACAGGTCTGAGCCCTGCACCAATAATCTCTATGAGACATTAGCAAACTATAACCCATCATCTGCTTATTATGAATAAAGTTTCATTGGAACAGGGAGTTATGCATCATCTATGGCAGCTTTTGCAATGTAAGAGCAGAGCCATTGACCATCTAACCCTTTACAGGTAGGTTTCCAACCCTGTGATTTAAGCATTCAGAGGATTCAGCTTCCTTATCTATGATATTTGCTTACAAGGTTAATAAATATAGTATTTCTATAAGAAATAAAAAAAGCCCCATAGAGACTGGTGATACAGACCAGTTGGGAGAGCAATTGCCTAGCATGCATGATAACCATTCTCCAGCACCCCGCAGCAAAAACACCAGATACATAGATAAGCAAATTCTGTAATGAGTGCAGACCCTTAGCTGTTCACAGTTTACATTTGTATGTCGACTTCCAAACAAAAGAAAGAAGACATATTAAAATTATTTTTAAAATAATATAACAAAACAAAATACAATAAAATGAAACAAACAAACAAAAGAGCCCAAAAGAAGGCACGAGAATCAGAGACTCACTTGTTCACACACTCAGGAGCCCCCTAAAAACACTAAACTGGAAGCTATAACAGATACAGAGGACCTGGTGCTGACCTGTGCAGGCCCTGCGCTTACTGCCTCAGTCCCTGTGAGTTCATGTGAGCTGTCACCATGGTGATTTAGAGGAACTTGTTCTCTGGTGCCTTGTTCCTGTGCTTCTTACACTCTTTCCAACCCCGCTTCTGGGGTTCCCTGAGCCCTGAGTTGAGGGGTTTGATAGACACATCTCATTTAGGGCTGAGCGTTCCAAGGTCCCTCAGTCTCTGCATAGCATCTGGCTGTGGGTCTCTGTTATTGCTCCCATCTGCTGCAGGAGGAAGCGTCTCTGCTGATGGGCTGAGCAAGACACTGGTTATATTTGTCTTTCTGGGCAAAACTACCACATACATAAATGATTAGATTCTGCAATAAATTCAGACTCCTTAGCTGTTCACAGTTTACACATGTATGTTCACTCCCAACCAGAGAGAGAGAGAGAGGGAGAGAGAAGCTGCATTAAAATTCCTGACTCTCATCTCAGTGAGTGACTAGGAGTACATCAGGAAGGGAAGCGCTGTGCCTGTTCAGCCAGTATCAATCTGCTCAGAGCCGACTCTGAACACTGGGTTTTGACCTAACTCGCTGCTGCCTTGGGCCCCCATGGGCCTCACCAGGTTTTGTTGTTTCTTTATACTTCACTTATTTCCTCTGAAAAGTGGGACAACCACTTCTTTCGAGGAGCCGCTAGAAGGACTAAGTAGGGGCATCTTCAGAGACTTAGCAGAGAACCTGGAGCACGTCTGGTGCCCAATGGCATGGCCTGGTTTAATGGTGTGCCACTGCTCTGAGGCAGATGAGCGGTTGAAGTACCATTCCCTGCTACTGGCTGAAGCCACCTGTCCCTCCTCTCTACACCACTGCCATTCACCCACTTTCTTTCTTTCTCAATGTGTTTATTTGCCTACTTTGGATATTGAACCATGGGAAACCCAATATCAAGAAAGACTGTGTGGTCCCTTTAAAAATTTTTGAATGGTAAGGTAATAAATCATTTTCCAGCAAACCTGAGGCAGCAAACAATCCTCCTCATTCTATTCCATATTAAACACCCCAAGTCAGTTTCTTATGCTGTTTGTTTCTCCAGTAGCTCTCCCAATTTCCCACACTCCAGAAGACATGTCCCACCCACCTGCACCACCAGGTAGGTCAAGGAGCCATGAAGGAAAACAACAAAACTTGGGTGTGGTACGTAGCACATTCCATGCCTCGCATTGTAGGCCTGTAGAACAGATGGGCTGATCGTCAGAGATGAGGCAGACACACTGCTAAAGGATACAAGGAGAATGTGTGATACTCAATGTCATGGGCAGTGCCACACTTTAACCCACCAGGAGAGGTCTCCAACTGTTCTGTTTATTATCTTTTTGTCCCTGCACAGTGCTTGCCACACGTTAGACACATAAACAGCATTTATTGAACAAATAAAATGTGCAAGAAATAGGCAGGCTTTTGACCTCTCTTGTAGCTCCCTGGATTTTTGGCCCCCTGTGGGACACAGAAGCAAATCACTTTGTAAAATGCTAGTAACTTCATTCATACACTTCTTTCTTCAGGGAGTGCTGTTAATGTTTCACATGTGAGCAAATGAATGAAGAAATTTGCTTCTGACACATGTTTTGTGTGTGTTTTAGGATCATTGGATGGTGAGAAGTTACCAAGTGTCCTATCAGGTAAGAGCAGCACCTCCATCATCAGCCCTGCCACACGCAGCCTCAGCATCTAGATGGATGGTGGAGCAGACAAGTCACTAGATTATGTATTGTCCTCTGGGGTCAACGAAGACAACCAGTGTCTTCATGAATACCTTGACTTTTATAACATTGGTCCAGTTTTTCAGTGACTGCCCTTATAAACACCAAGGATGCTCACGTGGAACTTGGAGTCTATACATGGTGAGGAGGAGGGAAGCACTTAGGACAGGGTCTTGCTGGGTATCTTTCTGTCAGCCTTCTGAACTTGGCTCAGGTTTCACTGAAAACCAAGCAGTTTGTGAGTCCAGGCGATGGGTTAAGGTTAAGGTGAGACCAAGTTGCTGCTCCTTGCCAGATGAGATGCTAGTTGAGCCCTTTTCTGACATATCTGTGCTTGTCTTAGGAAAAGACCTTCAGTTCTCACCTCTATTTCCATATCATTCCAGTTCTACCTGTGGTTGACTCTGCACCTGCTAGTCGAAGAGCATATGTGCCCAGGCTCAGCCTCCAAGGTGAGAGAGGATCTGTATCTGGGGATCTCCAGAAGGAGCTCAAGCAGGAGTGCAGGGCAGCTGTGGGTTGCTGAAGTACAGGAAGGAGCATCACAGTGAGAGAGGACTCACCATCCTCCACTCGTGGCCAATTAGTTGATTCCCACAGAGGAATTTGGCAGCTGTTATCTCTATAGTCTTGCTCATCTAGGGAAATGTAAACTTCAGAACATAATCACATGGTCATACACACACACACACACACACACACACACACACACACACCCAAACAGACCCCCCAACACACAAAAACCCTGTGCCATACCTATGTTTTGTCTTTCTGGTTTCCAATCTTACCAGAAATGGTCAGTTAAAGGCAAAGCTTCTATCCCCCATCCCCGTTGGCTAGCTTTTATAGTTCTGAAAGGTGCTCTTGCTTGCTAATAACAGAGAAAAGTAATCAAAAGTCATCATATATAGCTGCAAATTCTGTGATCTACAATAAGAACAGGCCTGGCAAGATGTGCCAGGTATAGTAGTGGCAAAAAGGTTATGTGATTAACCCACCACTTTCTGATTAGACTAAAAGCCCACCCTGCAAGATGGAACTCATGCCTAATAGCATTAATAAATAAAAAATAAAATAAAATAAAAAGCACATGACTATAGGTCATAGACTCTAGGTAAAAAACTACTACTACTATAGTATTATTATTATTATTACATACAAATAAACTGTCCCCTAAGTTCTTATCTTTATACATGTATTTTAGTATATCTTTCAATCCTCACCAGAGAAGCTTCCTTTTTCGGAAGGTAGCGATACAGAGGCCCACAACTAGTCAATGTGCATACAATAAGAGACTATGGGGTTCCCGGCTCTAAATGCAACAGCTATATCACCTCCTGCCCACAGGACACTGGTAATTGTAGAAGAGGGGATGGAATGTTTGTAAATTACAGAGGTGGTAGATAACAGCAAAACAGTATTTGTTCGCCGTGACAGTGTTATTGCAAACATGGGCTCAGTGGCTTTGAATGCTTACCTGCATAACATTAAGCCAGATACAATCCCAGTATGGATGTGGGAGGGGCTTGTGGAGTTCCACCTCTGTCTGAGTAGCTGCTGGTATCTGGTGGCTAATGGGGGTGGGGGCACAGATTTTGAAACCTCAAAGCCCACTCCCAGTGATATACTTCCTCCAATAAAGCCAAACCTGTTTCAATAATGTCACCTCCTAATTCTCAAATAGTGTCTAATCCCCTGGTGGCTAAGCATTCAAATACATGAGCATATTGGGGCCATTCTCATTCAGAGAACCACAGTTTGCCTACCTGACATGTTTAGGATGTTTATGATATTGCTCTGGGGGCTATACTTTGAAAACCACTGTCTTAAAATATAATCAAAAAGGAATATTTTTTATCCTTACAAATAGAAACAGAAATATCACCCTCGTCATTGTCATCTTCATCACTATTGTCATCAGAGTTATCATCGCCATCATCACCTTCATCGTTGCCATCACCATCATCATCACCATCATCAAAAATGAGTCTCCCTAGTAGGTCAAATTGTGTGATTGACTTCCCTCTCTCATTGTACATGTTTATGGCTATGCATATGCAGTGCTTACCTGGCAGCTAGTGGTTGAACACTTTCTTGTTGCATGATGAAGTGACTGAGAAAACAAGCTAAGGGAGGAAGGCTTATTTCACTCAAAGTTTCAGAAGTGGATGGGACCTGCAGTAAGGGTCAGGATATCATGGTGGAAGGATGTACTATTAATTCTTTATTATTCTAAATTCATGCCTTCTTATTTCTAAGCCCTACTTCATTGTATTGGCATGCCAAAATTTATCTACTCATACTTTATGGATGTTGAGTTTGTTATTGATTTCCATTGGTATGAATTAAGCCACTATAAACATTCAAGAATTTGCAAACCATTTTCCAGCATGGCTGCACCCTTTTGAGTTGCTATCAGGAATGTATGAGAGTTACATTTGTTCTGAATCCTTGTCCACATGTACTGTCTGTATTTTAAGTTTGGCCTTTATGGCATTTCCACAGTGCACTCTAAGCAGACACAAATGTGTTGGCTCTTGCTTCTGCTCCTACTCAGAGTCTGGGGTTGCAACATCATCACACACATTCCTGATGTGGTTCAATTATTGTATTGTTTACATTAGGTAAACTTCCCCTTCTAAAACTCATTTTGCAGAATCACAGTAGATCTCCTAGGCTAGGAGAGTAAAGTACATGTTATTTAGAGTCAAAGCGATGTATCCATGGCAGGACTGGAGATTATCTAAGTAGAGAATGGGATATTCAGGCAATGGGATGCTTATTGCATCAAGTGAGTTCTATCAAGAGCTCACTATTGTTATCTTCTATGAGAGCTGTTTAGGAAATATCAATCATCTCCAAATAATTTATGAGCTATAATCTAGTCATGAAGGACATGCATTGTCTGAAGTGGTGTGCGGCTGTGATTTTCCCCAGACGTCAATGCTGTTTCATCTTTTCAGAAATATTTAGCATCTATTTCATAAGCTATTGCAATCACAATGTAAACATTGCTCTAGACCTTAATCTTGATTTCCGTTACTCAGAAGGTGCAGACAGTTCACCAGACTCCACTCCAGTTCAAGACGCCGAGTCACACAAACCATCAGGTTGGTTGTTTTCCTTCCTCCTGAGAATGTCCCTTTCATAAGTGAGAGGAAGAAGATCTTTGTGTTCTAGTTTCTTTTCTGTTGCTATGATAAAACATTCTGACCAAAAGCAGCTTAGAGGAAAATGGGTTTATTTCCATTTATAGGTTATGGTCTATCCCTGGGGAAAGTCTGGGCTTGTTGCCTTGATCAGGTTCATGTTTAGGTTGCTTTCTTATATAGCCCAAGGCCACTTCCTCAGAGAATGGTTCCTCCCACCTTTATGCCTTCAACATTCTCTCTCTCCATTCATTTCACCTATAATCAATTTCTCCCCTCCTAAAAGCATCATTCCATCCACTACCTCCTAACTTCCTTCCTGATTTCCACATGAATTCCAGGATAAACTCATAAAACACATGATTTGAAGCTAGCACTTGCATGTGAATGAGAACACATAACATTTGTCTTTTGGGGGCCTTGGTGACCCCACTAAGTGTAATTTTTTCCCATTCCATCTATATATACTTGCAATGTTCATGTTTTTATAGAAGAGTCACATCCAATTGTGTAAATGTAATACTATTCATTATCCATCAATCAATGCATATCTAGGTTGATTTCCATTCCCTAGCTGTTGTGAATAAAATGGCAATGAACATGGATGTGCAAGTGTTTCTGTAGCAAGATATATAAAGGTCTCCAAAGAAGGAATAGGAATCCATGTGGCCAGTAAATACTTCAAAAAGTATGCAACATCTTGGCTACCAGGGAAATGCCAATTAAAGCTACTTCAAGATTCCACCTCACCCCAGTCAGAATGGCCATCATCAGGAACACAAATGACAACAAATACTGGCATGGATGTGGTAAAGGGGGACCCTTATAATACACAGTTACACTGCTGGTGAGAGTGTAAACTAGTACAAATACTTTGGAAATCACTTGGGAAATTTCAAAAAAAAAAAAAAAAAAAAAAAAAAAGGGGGGGGGGAAGGAAGGAAGAAAGAGAAGAAAGAAAAAAGAGAAAGAATTACCATATGACCCAGCTACACCACTTCTACTTTTCCTCTTTTTCTTTTCTTTCTTTCTTTCTTTTTTTTTTAAGACAAGGTCTAACACTGTAGCCCAGACTAGCCGGAAACTCATGGTAAGGCCCCACCTGCCTTAGCCTCCCAAGGATTGAGATTACAGGTGTGCGCCCTTACTGTGGATAAATAAGAATCTGTGAAAACAAATAGGCTGATGGATGCTTATTCAGGGAAAAATCACTTACACCAGAAACAGATGACTGCCAGCAGGTTCTGATCCCAAGGATGTCTCTGGATGCTCTCTGTCTCCGACCAAGAAGCAAGAGAGAGTGCTGGGATCTGGGACCTCAGACCTAGTTCTCCCAGGTCATGCCAGCATCTGTTCCCACGCCCTAATGGACATGGTCAGTGAAACAGGTGCAGGCAGGGTGATATCTCACCACACACCCTCATGCCAGGTTCTCAGTCTCTACCCTAAGACACTTCTCTATTGACTTGCCTTTCTGTATGACTTATGGCTCCCCACGGGGGAAGTTTCTGCCCCTGTATCATACAACTCTCTTTCTGATTCCAAATTTCCAAATAGAATCTGTGCACTGGTTATTCTTAAGTCAATGTGAACCCTAACCAGGCAGACTTCATTCCTGGATGTGTGACCTTGACCCAGGTCTTTGGCTATTTATAGAGCAGGTTTTCTAAAAATGGAATATGGATGGAGAAATGTTTAGGTTACTTATTACCATGTAAAGCCACCCCCAAAACACAGAGGTATGAAATAACCCCTCCCTTTTAAAAATTTCTTTAAAATTACAAGTTAGCTGGGCAGTTCTGTTGTTCTAGGTCAGGCTTGCTGACTGTGGCTTAGGTTCACTCATGCATTTGGCTCACTGGGAAGTCAGCTAAAGAGGCCTATCTAGGATCGGCTCCCTTATATTCCTGAAAGCAATATAGCTGTCATCAGAAGTGAGTGAAATGGCAAGCTACATGTCCTTCATCACTCAGTGTGCTTGCCTGTGCTTATTCACACAATGCTCCAGGGTGCCCAGGGAGTAAGCTACATCTGCAGGCTCCCACAGTCAAGATGAACCAAAGGACCCAAGCACAATGTCAATAGGAGAAGAAAGAAGCCCAGCCTCTAACTAGGAGCATCTCATTGTACATTGTGTCGCAGTGCAAAGAGAATATTGAAAGAGAATAATGGCTATTTCTGTAAATGATTCATCACAGTGAAACTGTCTCGAAACAGGATGTACATAATGAAAACACCATAGGTTCTATGAAGCAGACACAGTGGGGTAATGGCATAGGCTGCTTTGGGTAGTCAAGGAAGATAAGAACAGAGACTGGGTTGTAAACAATAGCCATCTGTGGGCCAAGAAGGCCACTATCACCTCCCTGACTCCTTTTTCTTCCTAGGAGGCTGGATCCCCGTGCGGCTGGCAGGCAACCATGGGAGATGTGCAGGCCGTGTAGAACTCTTCTTCCAGGGAGTCTGGGGGACTGTGTGTGATGACCTCTGGGACCTCCCAGAAGCAAACATCATCTGCAGGCAGCTGGGGTGTGGCTGGGCTGTTTCAGCCCTGAGTGAAGCTTACTTTGGGGAAGGTTCTGGGAAGATTCTCCTTGACAACGTGCATTGCAAGGGACATGAGAAACATCTGGAGGAGTGCTCCCACATTGGCTGGTTCTCCCACAACTGTGATCACAGTGAAGATGCTGGTGTCATCTGTTCAGGTAAAGTCCAATGTCCTTTAGAGCCTAGCCTCAGCCTTCCCAAGAGAACACCCTTCACTCCTATATTAGTGCTAGTCTCTCTGCTGTAATAAAATACTAACTAAAGCAGAAGGGAGGAAGGGTGTGTTTTGACTCACAATTTTGGGATAAAGTCTACCATTGTGGTGGAAGTGTAAATGAGCTTATCCCATTGCACTTGCTGTCAAAAAGCAGACTGGGGGGTGCTTTAAACTTTTATCCCTTTTATTCAGCCTGGGACCCCTCACCCATAAGATTATAGCCTTCCCTCCTCAGCAAAACCTTTCTGGAAACACCCTTGTAGACATGTCCAGAGGTGACTCCAAAGTGGTTCCAAATCTAGTTAAGTTGACAATGAAGATGAGTTTGTTATCCCAAGATGTGTAAAAAATAACCACTGAATAAGTGCTAGCATGCCACTCACTCACAGAAGTTTTTTTTTCATGTCTCACTTTTGTAGATGCTGAATATGTAGCAAGGATACAACCAGGTAGGGAAGATTATATTTATGTGTGTGGTTCACTGGAGGCTTGGGGAAGAGGTTCTGCTGGAAACTGGGCTTATCTTATTCTCCAAGGCAGTGGAGTAGCAGAGTCAAGCCATGCAATCACCTGTTGTCCAAGAGGAGAGTAGACAGTGCCTTCAAAGTCATCTGCTCTGGATCCACTACCCTTCAGATCCTCTACTGTGCATCTTACGTGCATGATAATTGATTCCTCAGACTTCTGTAGAATACTTTGTTCAGTTGTTTTGAGGTGTACATAGAGACTAACTATGGATAGGTAGAACATGGTTGAAATGTGAGATATGGCCAAGACATTTCCTTCCAAATAGAAAAAGGCTAGACACAAATACCATACCGGTGAGGCAATTCCCATGTCCATTCCATGTCTCTGCCTTGTTCCTGGTACAGCCCTGGCCCCAGAAAACTCCCATCGATGTTGGCATTCCCTCATCATCCCTGGAGTGTCCCACACTCGGTGTCCCCACTTCTCATCAGACCTGAGGTCTCTTGGTGTCATGTGCTCAGATAATTCTCAGTCAGAGAGTGAATTAAGAATAAAGCTGTGTATCCTAAGGTCTGGAAAAGTTTCATTTACTTCCTCCATTATCTGTCAACCATGCCAGGTGGAAATGAATTGATCCAGAAGGATCATCTGCAATGGATGATACTGAGCTGAAAGTTTCTAGAGGGGAGACATTGGGAGCCTGGAGGAGCCCCTGCATCTTTGAGCTCTGACTCAGTATCTCTTAGCAACGCTAAATCAAAGGAGAGCTCTCTCTCTCTGTCTCTGTCTCTCTGTATCTCTCTCTCCCTCTGTGTGTGTGTGTATGTGTGTTCTTTTGTATGTGAGTGCACATGCACATACACGTTTTTGTCTGTGAGTGTGTATCCAAGGACAACCTCAAGGCACTGTCTGTCTTAGTTTTTGAGACAAAGACTCTCATTGTTCAGGAACTCACTGGTTAGGCTAGAGTGCCTGGCCAGTGAGCCCTTGGGACCCACCTGTGTATGCTTCCTTGACACTAGGATTGCAAGTGTGTGTCATTATGCTCAGATTCTATACATGGGCTCTGGAGATTGAACTCTGGGTCCTAGAATGCAAGGCAAGTGCTCCACCATGGGAGCCATCACACTGGCCCCTGAAGGGTCATGCTTCTCATTTCCTCATCCTAAGCTTACAGCCCTCAAACTCTTGGTTACCGAGACCTTAGGACCTAGATTTTCATGTCTTTGGTTTTTACTTTAAACCCTTGTGTTTTTATGTATAAGAGAGTAATACATCGAAGTCTAAGAGAGATCTCGTCAGCTCTTCGGCAATGCTTGAGTATTGTATGACACAGCCCTTCAGTGCTCAGGTCCCTCTTCTAGAGACTGATACAGGAGTCCTGGAGGGCTGAGACACTGTTTGCCATGAGTGCTTCCTGATTCTTGAATACAGACAGTTGTGCAGACCCATGTCAACTGTTGGTTCACATGCTCTTCTTGTGTTTGGCAGAAGCCCCATTCGTTGTCATGGATGAAACAATGGTCTCAGGTGAGAACTCAATGTCCTCTTTCTTATTGCTCAAGCCTTGAAGGGATTCTTCAAGGGAACTGTGCCGGAATGCTACTGCCTACTCTAGGCCACCCTACTGAAAAGTCCTCACAGAAAGAGCAGTATACTTAGGGATGTGATTTTATTTCCAGCCAGTCAAAGGAGTTCCAAACAAAGAGAGGTGGCAGTTTTTGTTTTCTCCCAGCCAGAGCACCATGAGTGAAGGTTTGACATGTGCCATTCATGTAACGATGTGGCCTGTCTGTACCCATAGCCATCACTTCAGAAGAGGTCCACTATGGGGAGTCCTTGCCTTTTCTGCCCTTGCCCAATCCTCACACCCTCCTTCTCCATACTTTCTTTTTCATATGCTCTTTTTCTAGTTTTGACTATGTTCCTGGGTTCTCAAATCTGCAGTTGGCATAGCATAGACTTAGCACCATTTGATGGGAAACAAACAAGCAAACAAATAAAAAACTAAAATGATGATGATGCCTGAAGTGTCTTGATGGTCAGAGCCAGTCCCCACACAGCCACATAATCTAACCTGACAGCCAGTTGTTTACACTGCCATTGCACTAAGTGTTGGAACAGACATGCAGACAACCAGGTGAAAACATAGATAGGTGGGCAGTGGATATAAAGTGCTATCATTAATAGAAGGGTAGATGACTTAGGCCATTTTTTCTATCTAATATTATATGTTTAATAGCATCATTTTAAGAAATGATGTTTGGTGGTAGGCCAGCCACTGTCATCATCACATATGTAAACATCCAACACAGGTTCAGTCTTAATCGGAACAACCAAAGCAGTACTTTTCTCATCCTTCCTATGAGATCATGAGAGTTGCATGGGCAGACATGACTGACAAAAGGAATGGAACCCACAGTTAAGGAATAATGACAAAGAAAGGTCTGATCAATGTGTGTCTTCTCAGAAGGGAACTAGAAGTCTCAACGTAGATGAGAAATATTTCAAATTTCAGACAGATGTATGTCAATAGCTTAAGTATTGAAGATATTTTAGACCAGTTTATAACTTTAATAATCCTAAGACACACCCACATAGTGTTGAGCAGTAAAACCTCTTTTTGGGAAAAGTGTAAATTATAAAATTAGTAAACTGAACAATGAACCCTAGAGATTTAAAGCAACCTCTTCTTAGAATTTCATACGAGTATGGCATGATTGCATCATATCCAGCCTACCCTCACCCTTCTAACTCCTCAATTGATATCAAATCCCCTCCAAGATTTATGCTATTTATGCTGTATATATATATATATATACACATATATAATATATCTTCTATCTAACACACACATGTATGTATGTATGTATGTATGTATGTATGTATGTATGTCTGGGTCTAGTTAATGTTGCCCATCTGTACAAGGGGTTAGGGCTGATCACTTGAGAAGAGCAACCTATCAGGGGCCTCATGAGTAAATAAAACTGATTCTCCCTCAGGAGCTGTTGACTGCCTGTCACTCACTCTTCAGCAAAGGGTGGGGCCTTGTGAATCTTTCTTCCTACCATGTTGGCATGTTGACTGGTATGGTCTTGTGCAGTTTTTATTGTCATACCCGTTTCTTCTTTTAGAAAGATCTCGCTGTGGTGGTGTTATTACCAAGGCACCTGGAAAAATTAAGAACCCCCCAATGAATGAAATGCAGGACAACATAACCTGTGTGTGGGAAATCAGAGCAAACCCCTCTGATCGCGTAAGGCTGGCATTCCCATCTCTTGAGTAAGTGACACATACTATGTAAGTATATTTTGCACTTGTAATCATTCATCCCTATGCTGATTCTCACATTCAAAAGAGTCCTTCATGAGTTTTAAGCATTTTTATTTTGAAATAACTGTGAACACAGAGGAAATTGCAAATGTAGTATGAATCCCTGTGTACCCCTCTCACACATCTCCAAGTAGCAGAGCATTATCAAAGCCAACAAATTGATATTGATGTACTATTAACTGGACCAAACACTCTATTCAATTTTCAAAAACTTTAACATGCAGTTATTTGTGTGAGGATGGGGGTGGATGTTCTGCACAGTTTAATCCTGTGGGTGGATGCACAAAATCACTTCTCCATTCCAGGCACATTATACAAAGGAACTACCCTTTCACCTTTTGTATCCCCAGATCTCCCCATTTCTGTCCCTTACTGTGGTTTATTCTCCACCTCTATATGTTGTCATTTCAAGAACATCCTGTGAATGGAATCATATAGCATATAGTTTGGTAGGGACTTGACTTTTTCACTCAGCACAGTGCCCCTAAGATCTGTTCAGTTTGCCACAGTGCCTAGCGGCTGTTGCTCCTCACGGTGGAAAAGGGTTTCATTAATGTGGTTGAGCCAGCGTTGGTTAATCCTTTCCCCTCTGAGAAACATCTGGCTTGTTACTAGTCTTCAATGATTCAAGTAAAACTTCTTGGAACATAAGGAAAGATGTTTATGTCAATGTAAGTTCATTCATTAGGGATGAATGTTTAAGAATGTGACCAGTACATTGTATGCTAAGTACATGGTATATTTGGACAGGGAGACCCAGCAGCCACACATGTGACCCAGCCTCACCTTGCCCTAGGTAGTATGAGGGATTTTATATACCCCTTAGTATTCAAGCTTGTGTGTGTAGATAATACTATCTTTTTGCAGCTGTTGGAATGATTGTGAATTACATTGTTTTTTCACATTTTCATTATATATGTAAAGAAATAGGATTGCTTTCTTGTATGCTTGTAAATTTTTCCAAGACATGTAGCTTTAGTTTTTGAGAATTTCATACATGTAACAATATATTTTGATCATTCATGCTCCCATACATTTTTAATTAAAAAGAAATTCACCATACAGGCTTTGGGTAGGAGAAAAAAAACAGAGAGGAACACACATACACAGATGCTTCATGTGTTCTGGTTATCTGGTGAAAGATACATAATCTGAGGAAATTTTAGGTCTTAATATTATAAATCAGAAAAATGAAGTCATTCACAGATTTAAAATATACTTAAATTAACCCCAAGAAAACGCCATATCATCTATGCATCTTGAATTGTGCTTAATTTAAAGATGGTTTGACATACATGCTGTTGGGCTGGTGATGTGGGAATAGTTGTGTCTAGCACTAGTGACAGCCACACAGAAATTCACAGAGAAACACAGCTGCTCACAAAGCCAGATGGCTTCAATAAATCCAGTGGAGCATATCTGTAGCCCACTTCCCTCTAGCTATCAAAGCTTGTCTTTTAGGGTTGGGGCGGATTTGAACCTGGAGCATATTCTGAAAAATCAACCACCGATATCCCTCATTTTAGACTCTTCCTCTCAAACATACTTAGTGAAATGACCTTGATTAGCTATTGGCCTAAGATGGTGAAGCTCCCTGTGGTCAGAGCAGCTTCCATTCCTAATCAGGGGTCTTCCACTAGAGCCGGTCTTCTTTCTCTTCCATCAGCTAAAAATCCCATTGCTGTCACACAGTATTTTTCAAAGGAAAAATACGCGATAGAAGGATCATACTGTGTCTACATCACAGACAGGTTTGAGTTCGTTCCCAGGATTCTTACTCCTATAAAATACAGGAGCACTCACAATATACCTCACAACTTCCCGATGAGGAGATCAAGAGACATTCATAATATTTGCTTCCCCAGCCTTGACTGCACCAATGAGTATTTTGAAATCCTGGATGGCCCTCCAACCTCCACAGAGTCCCTGGGGAAACCCTGCAGTGGGTTGCATATCACCTTTGCATCCCACTCCAGCTCCATGACCCTTGTGTACTTCCGAGGCATGAACAACATTGGAAAAAACTTCATGGCTTATTATTATTTTGAGGCCAAAGGTAAGAAGATGGCATGAAGCTCTGAATTTTCTGCTGATGTGCCATCGTGTGCTCTGTGACCTTGAGCAAGTCACTTGACTGATGAGGAATCTGTTGGCTTCACACAACACAAGCTGGATTATTAAGCAGTCATTTCTGATAACATTCTGACTCTAGCCCCAGACAGGTGTTTTAGATTGTAAAGAGGAAAGAATATGTTCCCTCTAGGTCCTCTCTCATATTTGTACACAAACTGTAAGGAGTTCAAGATTAATATACAAGACACAATTAAAAGGTAAATGGAATATACTACATTAAGGAAAGCCAATAAAATAGTGTGTGTAATATAATGTGCTACACAGACCCATCTATACATATAAAAGGGGGAGTTAGAAAAGACAGGAGCACTATAAGCCGAAACACCAAGGAAAGCATCAGGGGGATAAATTTTGGATTTGCCTGTGATATTGGGTTGGTGGTTCATAGAGAATCAGCAAGAATAAGATCAATACTGGAAATGAGATGAAGTGCATGTTGGGAAGGCAGAAGCTAAGCTAAGGGTCTCTGTTAAAGCACAGTGTACACAAGTTAACAAGATCAATTAAAACAATTGTGAGCCAAATACAATAACTGATGACATTAACTGATTATTCATTGGCCATCAGTTTAAGTTCCTTGCATATATAATGCTTACATCCCTTTTTACAGAAAGGGAAACTGAGGCCTCAGAGGTTACATAATTACATGGGGTTCTGCACTACTCTCTACCTAAAAATGCCAGGTAGGCCTCTTATCTGTTTTGTTAAGAATAGTCCCCAGGCCTTCAGTAAGTGTTGGGCTATCTCAACCAGACATGCTGGTGACACATGCTGAAAAACAAAGGAGATGGCACCAAAGAATGGTTCAAATAAATCTCCATAGCTGGCATCAAACATCTATTGACCATAGCTTCCTTGTTTTTGCAGAGATGACATCGAAGGCCCCATATCTGATCAGTGAGTCAACTCTCATTACTTCATCATCATTTTTAGGCAGGATCTTACTATGTATCCCTGGGTCTCCTTAAAAATCACTCTGTAGAACAGGCTGGTCTCAAACTCACAGAGATCCACTTGCCTCTGCCTCCTGAGTACACCATCATGCCCAGCCTTCCTGTTTTTACTGTCAGCCTTTGCTCTCACTCTCCAATTTTCTAATTCCTAGAACAAGTCTTCGACAACAGAGAGATTCTGTCTGCAGGGTTTCTGCATAAATGTAATACCTGGTCACATTGGAACTAAGTTACATTTAACCAACCATCAGATCACTTTGTGCTCACAATTGTCTATTTGATTTTCTAATTCCTTGTTTTTAACAAAGGTAACAAGACATATTTAATTAGATATTCCACATCCAAAAGTTAACACAGCAGAAACATATTAGTTACTTTTCTTGTGGATGTGATAAAAATATCTGACAAGAGCAACTTAAGGAAGGTCCATTTTTATCTCACATTTCGAGGTATGTACAGTCCATCATGGCTGGAAAGGCATGGCAGCTATGTCACATTGCATCCACAATCAGGAAGTAAGAGATGTGGGTACAGGATATGTTCCCCTTTTTATTCAGTCTGGGACCATGGTCTACGAAAAGGCCATGCCTACATCTAGGATGCATCTTTGCAGTTCAGTTAAACCTCTATGGCAATGACCTCACAGATACTCCCAGGACTTAGTCTCCTGGAAATAATAAAAATTGTGAGCCAAAATTGATAAAATTAGAAACAAAGAAAACAATCCAAAGAATCAACGAAGCTAAGAGCTGGCTCTTTAGGTACCAGACTCAATTAACAACAGACCTGGATTCAAGTGGCCAAAAGAAAGGACATGGAACCATGATGACTTATGCCAAGATAAAAACTTAGGTAAAAGACAAGATAGAATTATCAAAGGAATGAACAACTTTCTATATTCTTCCAAATCACCAAAGTTAAACCAAGAAGAGAAACCTAACCTGCAAAGACCCATAAGAAATAAGGAAATTGAAACAGTAATTTAAAAAAGGAGGGCTCAAAAATGCCAGACAGATTATCAGAAGAATTCTAACAAACTGTCTAAGGAGACCTATATTATTCAAAAAACTAGAAATAGAAGGATCACTCCAGAACTCCTTCTATGAAGCCAGTGTTACTCTAATAACAAAATCAGGAAGAAAAAAAAGAAAACTACAGGCCAGTATCCCCAATGAACAAATGAACATAGATGTAAAAATATTCAATAAAATACTAGCAAACTGAATAGGTTATATATCTGAAAGATCATCTACCACGATAAAGTTGGCTTTGCTTTAGAGATGCAGGGATGGTTCAGCAAGTCAGATATAAATGTAATAAATCATATAAATGGAATTTTAGACAAAAATAACATGATCATCTCAACAAATGTAGGAAAGATATTTGATGAAATTTAGTATGCCCTCATGATAAAAGTCCCAGAAACAGTAAGACAGAATACTGTAAAATAATAGAGGGTATATATGACAAACCCATAGCCAACATCATTCTAAATGGAGAAAAACTTAAAGTAATTCTAATAAAATCAGGAATGAAACAGGGATATCCACTATTCCCTTTTTGAAACACTAGCTAGAACAATAAGACAAGAGAAGGGAATTACAGGAATACAAATAGGAATAGAAGAGATCAAATTATCTCTATTTGCAGGTGATTTGACATCATACATGAGATCCCAAGATTGCCAACAAAAAACTCCTAGAAATGATCAAGACTTTTAGTGAAATAACACATAAAAATCAACTAATGAAAATCTCATATATATATATATATATATATATATATATATATATATATATATCAAACATACTAAGAAAGAGATCATGGAAACAATCCCATTGATAATAGCTTCTAAAAATATAATCCAGAAATAAAGTTAGTTGGTGAGGTGGAAAGATCTTTACAAGGAAAACAGTTGAAATTAGGACTAACCATCACAAGAAGAAAGTAAAGTGGGGGGCTCCTCCCAAAAAAGATATAGTCTATGAATGTTTGCATCCTAGCATAAATTATGCAGTTATATTTTTGATGAGGAGGCAGAGGGGTGTGTCATGTCATTGACTTCCATACCTGTGAGCAACATAAGATCTGTGGGAAGAGAGGATGTGACTTAGGACATTCCTTATTATATAATTGATGAGGTGAGAGAATCAGTGGGGACCTGGGTGTTTAATGAAGATTGATCAGAGTGAGCATGCTCCCCTTGGATTCCCAAATCCTCCCTTCAAGATCTCATCTTGTCTCCACAGCCATCCCCACAGCAACTTCCAAGATGGTAACAGAGAGACCAAGTAAGTCCCAGAATGCACTCATTTGAGTACCAAGTGTCCCTTTCTTTCAGCGCCCATGCCTACACTTGCTTTATACGTGGGTACTAGAACTACACACAGTCCATGTGTTTGCAAATGGACCAATTGACTCTACCCTAGGATTCAGGACCATTCCAAACCCCTAGAATCTTCTGGCTCTCACTACCTGAATCAACATGTTTTTTTTTTGTTGTTGTTTGGTTTTGCTTTTGTGTCCTTCAGAGCTCTCAAGTCCTGCACAGCCTACAGATATTTCCAGTGGGAGCCTCTCACTTCCTCCCAAGCCTGACCCAGGTACAGTTCACTTTGCCTCCCATATAAATCACTAATTGATTTTTTCAAAATAGGTAGAGGCTCAGAGACATTCCACAGGCAATGAACTAGAACAAGAGAAAAAAGGCACTTCAGAAGCAGAGGGTGGAGAGGGTATTGAGTAGATGGACCTGTTGGTTGCTATGAGTCAAGTCCTTTTGAGTTTTCTACTTTCAGTCCTTCACAGATAATGCTGGCATGCCAACATCCTGTTGCATAACCTTGAGCTACCATAAAAGTGACACTTGAAAGCTCCTCACAAAAATCACAGAGTTTTGTGCAAGTCTCATATTTTTTCTGTATTTAGCTGAAATATATTTGTGCATGCTTCTGATATAACAGATAACAATTAGTGGATTTTGTATGAGCTAGATGCTATTGACAATCTTTATGGTTTATTATACTTCAGTTGGGGTTGACTAGTTGGCTGACTCTAGTAGGCTTTCTTTATCTAATAGAATGTAGGAGAGGGCAGCTCAACTACCTCATGGAAAGGTATCATGCTCCCAGATGACAACAGTTACCCAGGTCTCTGTCTGCAGGGGACTGGCCAGAGCTGCGGCTGGTGGGTGGCTCCAATCGATGCTCAGGGCGTGTGGAGATCCTTCACCAGGGAGTCTGGGGCACTGTGTGTGATGACCTGTGGGACCTGAATGAAGCTGAGGTCGTATGCAGACAGCTGGGGTGTGGTCAGGGTGTGTCTGCCCTTGGCAAGGCCTACTTTGGCCCTGGTACGGGAGATATCTTCCTAGACAATTTCCAGTGTGCTGGGGTGGAGCACTTCCTGGGCCAGTGTGCCCATTCGGGCTGGTCGGACCACAACTGTGACCACCACGAGGATGCTGGTGTCATCTGCTCAGGTACACTTCCTAATTTTCTCCTTTGGCAGTAATCATTAGCAGTGTGTGCTTTGCTGAGAATGTGTCTGAATACAGGAAGTGTTTGGAAGCTGAAATCACAGTGTTCAATAAAAGAGGCAGTCTGCTGCTCAGAGGCCAGGGCAGCATGGGGCTGGCTCTCAGAGCTGCAGTGAGCTTCCAGACTGCACCTGCACAGAATCTAAATTTACAGAGCCTCTGTCTGAACTAGGAGATTGACTGCTCTCTTGCAGCAAAGATGTTTTTACAAAACTCTAGCTTGGTACCTGATGAAGAGTGGCACACCTCATCATTTTCCTTAGTTGTAGCTGTAGCATGGAGGAAAGTGTGTGTGTGTGTGTGTATGTGTGTGTGTGTGTGTGTGTGTGTGTGTGTGATTTTAATTGCCTGTGGCATTTAAAAAATACCCCGATTTATACATGTACTGTGTACCAACATGTAATTGTGATTAAATAGTTTCCCTCTGGAATGTCTACTGACACCCTGTCTGACAATGTGATACCTTTAAGCAAACAGCTGCAGTCTCAGATGTGACTTGAATCAGTCACTGTTGTCAGAATGCAAGTGCTGTCCACAAAGCTGCCTGTGTGGAATAATATATCTTACTAATGTATATATTTCACCAGTAAATAGACTCAGACTCCTGGAAGCAGGCACCATTCAAAACTCAACCTTTTACATCTGTCCATCTTTTCTCATTGCTACAACAAACTGATACCCCAGAAAGAAGCTTAATTTAGACTTATTGATAAATTTTGCTTTCCTGGTACCGTGTTCTTTAAAGGGGTTGATAATAGATTAATAAATTTATGTGAGAGTATAGTGAAACTTCATCCTCTGTTATTAACACCTAGAGTTCTTCCAAATATTGACTTATTTGTTTTTCTTACTTACAGATGCTGAAAAACCTCTGTTGGACATTCCAGGTCAGTGGTGCCTTTGATAGGGGACAGTTAAATATCAGTCTCCCTTGGTTTTATCCTTGAGCTGTTTGACCTTTCACTAGGAAGTATGGCTGAAATTTTGTATTTGTTTGTTTGTTTTTTTCTTTTCTTTTTTTTTTACATGTGCTGTGTTGCATGTATATTTTTGTGCATTCACATGTGTATCCATCATTTTATGTTTTTTCATGCCTTTCGTAAAACATATTACCTGATTAATGGGCTACATGTTTGACCATTTCCCTCACTATCATAGCACCACGGGAAAAGTTACATGCAGAAGTGACATGGTTAAGTAGGGCTCCTAGCCTGGGCTCTTCAATCTGATCCAAAGGATCTTCCTTGGCTCTTCCACCGATCAGTTCCTTCTCACACTTTAAAGAGTTCTCTCCCAGACTCTTCCTTTCTGTCATCATTATCCTCTATCATTACCGTGTGGAATGATGCATTGTACTGATGTATATATTTCACTAGTGAATAGACAGCTTCCTAAGGGTCTATGTTCTTACCATCAGTACATAATATGGGAAGCAAAATAATTCTGTTGAAACAAAATTTGATGCAACCCCCACAAATTGCAACTCAGCAACCTCATGGTAAACATGAGGATAAATGCCTGAGACCCCACCCTAACTGTGCTAGGAGCCTTTTACTGACAGACTCCAGGTGAGGGCATGTGGTGGGGACTCATACCACATTTCTGTCTACAGGAGACTGGCCAGAGATTCGCCTGGTGGGTGGCTCCAGCCGGTGCTCAGGACGAGTGGAGATTCTTCACCAGGGAGTCTGGGGCACGGTGTGTGATGACTTGTGGGGCTCAAATGAAGCTGAGGTTGTGTGCCGCCAGCTAGAGTGTGGTCAGGCTATTTCTAGTCTTGGTGAGGCCTACTTTGGCCCGGGCTCTGGAGACATCTTCCTGGACAACCTTCAGTGTTCTGGGATGGAGCATTACCTTGGCCAGTGTCCACATTCAGGATGGTCGGAACACAACTGTGGCCACCATGAGGATGCTGGTGTTATTTGCTCAGGTATTCATCTTATTCCTATGCATATGAAGACATTTTGAAACTATCTTTGCTGGATTGCATTTTCCATCCCTCCATTTGATTCTTTAAGCAACCCTTCAGGACTAGGTCCTGGGTCAGGCACCTATTCTGTCATGAGTAGCTCCCGGTGGCATATGGGAAGTCTAGGATATCTATGAGCATTACGCTGGGGCATTACAGTAAAGACTCTGTACCTCTCCTAAGAGACTATACCTGAGCAGGTTTGGAAAGGACCTCAGGAGTCTGCACTTTTAACAAGAGTCCCAGGAATTCTGTATAGGAGTATCATGAGTAAACTAGCCCTGCCCACCATGAGACACAGCTGACCTGATGGCTATACTAAGTTTTCTAAGCCAAGGACTTCCCTAGATGAGAGTGCCCAACTAACTGTTAGTAGCTGGTTTCTGAAGAAAGGTCATAGCCTGTCTGTCCCTTTTATTCACCATCTACCTCTTGTCACCTTACTCTTTGAACTCATCAAAGACAGTAACATGTTGCTTTTCTGTGTATGCAGATTCAGATGCCCCCCCTCCACCCATGCCTCCAGGTATGTTAACTGCACTCCTAGTTGAAGGGACTTCCCATCCAGGAAGAACAACCATGGTAACAGTACCTATTGCAGCCTGGGAGGCCAGCTCCCAGAACTGCATACAGGGCAGCAAAATGAAAGCCTCCTCAGCAGCGGGAAACATAGGAAATATTTCTTTTCTATACAAGTGGTCTTTTGGAGAGCCTGCACCAAGGCTGCCTCCAGGATATAAAAAAAAAATAGCAAGGACCAGACTTTTCTATATGAGGGATAAATAAGGAAATACTTTCTGATGGTAAAAACAAAGAAAAAAGGAACAAGCACACACTTTCCTTATGGTAACCTTCTCTTTTACTTCATTTTGTATATATAATCTCTCTTTCTTGACAATTTCTCTATACAGTTACATCTCTTTGTATATAGTTACATATCTCTTTACATACATTTATCTCCTGCACAGCCATGCATCTCTACACACAGTTACATCTCTCTCCCCAACTACAGCTATCCTCTACACAGGTACATGCCTTTATACACAGTTACACCGATTTTCACACAGTTATATTCTCCACACAGCTACATATTTTCTTCTTATTCTTTACATAGCCACATCTGTTTGCACACAATTATAGTATCCACACAGTCTTAAACTTCATCCTTCACATACATCTCTCCTACATACACATCTCTCTTCTACACACTATGTCTTCCATATTTCTCTACCCACTCAGCTACATCTCTTCACACTTGTCTTCCCCTCTGTGTACATTCGCCTACATATTCCTTAGCGCATACACACAAACACACATACATACACACATACACACACACACACATACACACACACACCTCACATCTCTCTCCTAATACCCACACACACACATACACACACACACACACACACACACACACACACATCTCTTCTGCTTCTTATCACAGCAAAAGCCTCTGGACAAACATGAATTATATTTCCAAGGTCACTCAGCACTTCTTGAGCAAACAATAAGAAGAAAAGCCAAACTGATCACATAGTTTCTCTCAGACTAGGGAGGTCGTGCTGACTGGCCAGTGAATAAAGTAAGTACATAGCTCTGAGTGGTCAGGATTCCTAGACAGAAAGTGACACTGAATTAGTTGGTTGGACCTTGAGGTTGTGGAGTTCGTGTAGAAAGTCCATTGCTGAGAAAGTTATGTCTACTAAAGTTGCTTCCTGCTCTAACCTTGAATCAATAATAAACACCTGGGAAATGGACATGTTGTATTTGTCTCTAGGAGCAACCAGATGATTTGTCTTCAGGGGCAACCAGTTTGTTTTGAATTTGTTCTGAAGCCTAAAGTTAGCTGTCTTAGTGACCGAGAATATTATTACTTTTTTATGTCTGAGTAATGAAAAATATCCTAGTGTTATGTCTATTCGTCAGAATTATACAATTATGGAGAAGTCATCTTCTTGACCATCCATGGCTTTATGTGTGCCTGGTAGATGGAATATTTTCATCAAATAAACACACAAGCAGTGGGAATAATTCCCTTAGCTGTTATTAATGGCACATGAGAAAAATTACAGAGACCAACAGTTATCTACAGCCAGTGACCCCATGGCCTTTCCAAGTGGGGCACCCCATCAGAGAATCAGTCATCTGGTAGGTCAGCCTGTTGATTACTAGTTGTCATCTGCTGTATACTCCCATGGCCTCTGACAAGTAACACATACTTTTAAAGAAAATGCTGAGTCTAGAATTACTTTGAATTCTTCATACATGTACAGATGGACATAGGACAAATCTTCATAAGTTAGGGACTCCCTCCAACTCTTTTAATTCCCCTTAGGAAGATATTTTGATTATTTACATTTCCCAAATAAACAGACACACAGAAAGTTAGTAGGGAGCTCTTGGATATCCAGGGGATTTGGGTCGACTGCCAGTGCACTTGACCCGTGGTCTCATTCACCATACCCACCTTGGCCCAGTAGACACCTAGATCAGACAAAGCTATAGCAAAGATGGGGAGATGGTGTGCTCAAGTTATTGCTCATCACAAAGACAATTCTTCAAAAAATACACATGCTATGTTTTCAGAAGAAATATTTAAGAAAGATTAAACAATTTTGATGATTAAGCAAATTAATGGGTAACCAAATTTTACACTAATAGACATATATGCATATATAGTCATATATAGTACATATATATACATACATATATATAGTCAGATATTAGAAAACTCAGACTAATTTGTATACTTTATATTCTGGAATGATTCTGGAAATGAATGAGAACATATTTCTTTTCATTGCAACATCTGCCCAAAACATTGGTAGATATAATTCAAGGGCCCCGATACAGTAATTACTTAATCCTCATGGTTGAGGATAAGGGAGATCCAAAACCTACCTCCACTAATTTATTAGGGGAAGCTTTAAGAATGGGCCCCCTTCCTTTTCATGTCCAAGGACCTCTTTACATCGTCTCTCCAGCCAGGGTGGTCAGACATCTTGTAATATTTACTAGCTTGAAGGAAAACTGGAACTTAACTTTTGAATGTACCTGGATTATCCCCTTCCACTATAGAGAAGACATAAATCATAGGTCATTAAAAGAAGCATCTCTCATGGCATTTACCTAGAGGAGATTTTGTTAAGTGCTGGCTGGGTGTCCCAAGGAAAGGCCAGCTTATGTGTTGGGGTCATGAGTAACAGAAATGCTATTTAAAGCTAAAAGCCCATGGTTAAGGTCAAGAATATTAGTTTCTTTTTAATTGTTCAGACTGGAGGGCTGAGCTCAGTCATGCAAGCATTCTACCACTAAGCTAAACCCCCAACTCCAACAGTAGCTATTCAAATGAAGGCTTCTTCCTGTAATTTGCTCATTTCATGTAAATTGTATGGGTGATATAGAAATGAAGAAGGAGTCATCCTGATTTTCCATTGCTGTCCCAAAATTTAGCATTCTAAGACAGCTACATTTAGATACATGCCATGATTTTGTGGGTCAGTAATTGGAACAGGGCCCAGCTTGGGATTCTTCTGCTCCTCAGAATATCAAGGTATGGTGTCCATGTCATTTACCTGAGTGCTGGCTTGGAGAGCTCTGGATAGCTTCGCTTACATGATTGGTGCCTTCGTAGGTGCAGCTGGGAAATGGGTCATCTTCCCATTCAGGAAGTCTCAGGTCCTCTTCATACAGTCTCTTCAGTAGGCAAAACAGTGTGAAGCTGTATGAGTAAGCATCATCCTCAGAACAGGAAGTAGACACAGCATAGCTTCTGCTATATCCTATTGTTGAAAGCAGTTGCAGAGCCCATCAGGATCAAGGGAGGGCACATAGTTCTCATCTGGTGATAAGAGGCATGTCCAAGTACTGGCTGGTTTTGATCGGCCATAGAACCATAGTAAATGTTCACTCAGCAGCTCCAGACTCTTCTAAATTTGCACCAAATACATTGATGTTTCCCAAAAAACCTTCACCGTGCAGTAAGTTGTAGATGTGACTAAAGATTTCCCTCTGGATGTCATTGTTATCTTCTTTTTTTTCCCTTCCAGGTCCTCCTCCATCTTCTCAGGATCCACTAACAGGTAGTCACTTTGGGTTTTGTTTGTTTTTGCTTGAAATGGTAGCCCCATGTCAGCAGATTCTAGGCAATGGATGTAGCGCAAATGAGCCACTGGCATATGTGGGTGAGAGGCTTACTCCTCTGCTGCCACTGTAAATGCTGACTGTTTATTAGGAGTAGCATGTGAGAAAGGAAGACTATCGGTCTTCCCAGGACAAAGTAGATAACAGATCAACAAGATGACAGAATGTAGTTCAATAGTCTATCTGACCCACACTTAGCCTGTCTTGTTTAGGCACATCCCTGTACTGGACGCTCATACACACCTGTTTTTTTCTCCTTTGCCATGCATTTGTGTCTTGACCCTGGTATTATAACTTATAGATGCAATCAATAGAGTATGAAATTATCAGTGGAGTATGGTGACATACATCTGTTATCTCCTCATTTGAGAGGTACAGACAGGAGAGTTTTGAGTTCAAAGCCATCCTTGGCTACATAATGAAACTTTGTCTCCACAAAAGGGACTTGGGAATTGGCTCTGTGGCAAAGAGCATTTGCACAACACTCTGGATTTTGTCCCTGCTTCATCTCAAACTGGAGTATGATTAGTGACAGAAATGTAAGATATCTGGAAGCAATGCCCAGCATCCATCTTAGGCAAGATTAGGAAGCCATGGGACCTAGGAGGATTACAAGATGGTCCTAGTGATGAAAAGAGGGAAAATTGATCAACTCAATAATATTTAGGTATAAAATCAATGAAGTGCATGGTGCTTTCAAGAACCTCCAATATAATTTGATAATATCAAGTTATCTACTCAATTAGGCAACATTCTGTATACCTGTGTAGATCTGTTTCTAGTCATGCTAAGATGATGATGATGACAATGATGGAAGAACTGGATCTTTGTCTTCTTGTTTAACTTTTATAAGTCCCCAAATATTTAAGTTCCAGTCTGAATGCACTGAGTTACAGGAAACAAACCCGATCCAGCAAGTGATGACAATGTGCTAAGAGAACATCCCACTCATAAGCTCCCAACTCTGCCCAATGTCCCTTCCCATACTTGCTTTATCAGACTTTGGTTGTTCTACAGCCTCTTGATCCACAAACCTCCTCAAAGTATTCCCTCTTACACAAGACAGACAGCCTATCTCTCTGCCCCTCCTTCCTAGTCTGTCGTAATGTAGATCCTTGTGTTACTCCCAGAAAACTAAGATTCTTTCCACTTTAGAAAGGAGAGATGCAGTAAGCACAGAGTATGTGTGACTTCTCCTTGCAGATGGCGGGAGCAGAGGGAAAGATCTCAAACAGTGTTGCTGTTGAGTCATTACAAGTAGATCAAATAGCTTCCCAAGTGATACTTAACTATCAGCTCACACAGGTCTAATGCCACCTGGCCACACTTGGCTTTTCCTTCTAGACCACATTGTCTGTGAACTGGTCATTTCTAAGATCATTAATAATACCATGTGGCTCCAACCTGACATCCTTTTTCATGTTTCAGGAGGAAGTAACTCTTGTGGAGGGGTCATTTCCAGTCTCTCTGGTTCATTTTCCAGTCCACGGTACCCAGAAAACTATCCAACAGACATCCAATGTGTTTGGGAAATCCATGTAGAGAAAAACTTCCGCATAGAACTCATGATTCCAAATTTGAAGTAAGAAACCATTTTTAAGGAGAAAGTTCAGTTTAGTAAAAATACCAATTTGTTGAGCTCTGGTAAAGACATTTCCTTTGGTGAGAACAAAACATAGGAGCAAAAACACTACACAGTCTCCAAATTCAAGTCTGAGTTATTTTTGTAGTGGTGTTCAGTAGGTATTTTCTAACTAGAAAAATGCAGGTAAGCCATCCGTCAACATATTTTACACCGCTCTGCTTTGATGGTTTGTCTTTTGATTTTTTTTCTAAAAATACTTCCTTGCTCTTCAAGAGAAGATCTCTCATTGACCTTGAACTCCTGAAGTAAGGTAAACCACCGCAACCAGAATTTCTGTTTTGGTTCTGGGGATTAAAGTCAGGTCTCCTAACAAGCACTTTACCAACTGAGTTATTGCTGCAACCCCTGGGCTAGAGGCTTCTCGGATCTGCCATGTTTTGGCATCATTATAACATACAAATGTCTTACCTCATTAGAGATGAGGAAAATGAGGTTGTGGAGAGTAACTAACTTTCCAATTGACAGGAATGCAGGTCTGTCTGATGTCAAAGCCCCCGTTCCTCACCAAAGGTTTTCTCCCAGCAAAATCTTCACAAGGCCTTTCTTCTTCCACATGGCACACAACATGCAGCAATAGAGTCCATGATGAGCCAGTCTCAGCCATGCACTGAATCATGATTCAGTCATGGCTGTGTCTAGGATCTCAATTCAGACTTGCTTTAAACTCAAACAAACAGCAATCACAGATCCTAAGCTATATTATCTTTGAGTCTGGTCAGAACCACTACGGTTTTAAAACTCATGACAAAGCCGTAACAATAAGCTTATACTCCCCAGGCAAAGAAAGTAGAGTCCTGATACAGCATTTTGGAAAGCTAACAAATACTTCATGTTCTGAGACAGTCACAGATGGGGAAAGTGATACTAAAGATGTTGAAAATGTGCCACTAATTCCCAGCTTTTATTTCCCCAGCCTGGAAGATATCCTTGGATGTCCCTATGACTCAATTGAGATCTTTGATGGACCCAGAATTGCATCACTCTCCATGGGGAAGTTCTGTGCCCCATCAGCTGTGGTATTTTTTTCCTCCTCAGACATCTTGACAGTGGTGTTCCGAAGTGATTATATGACAACAAATACCGGTTTTTATGCTTTTTTCAATGCAATTTCACAAGATGGAAGGGAGTCAGGTAAGGAGCTCAGGTATCTTTGGAGGTATAATAGAGAATAATTTCTAGCTTCACTCTCCTATTTACAGAGGCCTGGTTCCATTTTATACCCCCCCAACATACACACACACACACACACACACACACACACACACACACACACACCACCCCTGCTTCACGAAGGGCTAGATTTTCTCACAAAGATAGCAAGTAACAGTAATTTGGTAAGGTAGTTGCTGGAAAACAAAACAAAACAAAACAAACAAACAAAAAACTGCAAAGGATAGTTGTAAAAGGCCAGGCAGCTACCAAGGAGAGCCATGCTCCCTGAAGGGTCTGCTATCATAAGCATTTAGAGAACTGTCCAGAGTTCTGAAGTGAGGAGCTCAGTTCTGGAGATTCCACTCCCTCACCTATTGATCTCACACTCAGCATGCCCTAAATCATAGACTCACCCCAACTAGAGGCTTGGAGACTCCATTTAGCCCTGGTCCTATAGCCAGTCATTGCAGAGGAATACTACCTGTCAGTTGTGGGATTTTTTTGATGTTCAGGTTCCCCTTGCAGGAAGTCCAATAATTCTTTGTGGTTGCCAGAAAGCCAGATAATTAGAAAGTTCCTTCTGAAGTTTTGAGTTTGTTTGTCTCTGAGGAAAGAAATTCCTTTCTGGATATGTTCTGTGTGTCTTATATGTGTACTCTCACTGATGCATCCCAAGGGCTTCTTAGATAAACTCTTGTTAGATTCCTCACTTTACAAACAACAAACAGTTCAGAGAGATGAAGTAATTGTCAAGAAAGGGACAGCAGTAGAATGAGATTCTACCCCAGTTTCTGTCGTACTCTATCATCCTTGGGCTTCATATGGAATCAAGACAACCACAAGGGTTTGTGTTGTGCTAGCCTTGGCCATGGCAAACTTCTAGGAGTCACTTCCTACACAAACCTTCCCATGCTCAAAAATTAATCTTCTTCTGTTTAGAAGACAGACTAGTGCTGCGGCTGTCAGGCAGCTCTGGACAGTGCTCAGGACGTGTTGAGGTCCTTCATCAGGGGGCCTGGGGCACGGTGTGTGACGACTTGTGGGACATGAATGAAGCTGAGGTCGTGTGCAGACAGCTGGGGTGCGGCCATGCCGTTGCTGCTCCTGGAAGTGCCTACTTTGGCCCAGGCTCTGGAAACATCCTCCTGGATGACATTCAGTGTTCAGGAAAGGAGAACCACTTTGGCCAGTGTCCCAGCTCTGCCTGGTTAGACCACAACTGTGGCCACCATGAGGATGCAGGAGTTATATGCTCAGGTACTGTGCCTCCCATAACGAGTCCTTTCAGTGGGGCAGCTTAGTGATGGACAGAAGCCATGGGCATAGCAGGGATAGGACTCTATTGAAAATGACCATATTGGTTAAGTTTTTTATAGTGTAAAAAAATGCCTGACAGTAGCAACTTATAGAAGGAAGGGTTGGTTTTGGCTCATGGTTCAGGTGCAGCCCACACTGAGGGAGAAGTCATGGATGATGGAGCTTGAGGCAGCTGTCATATTGTATTGAAGCCAGGAAGCAGAGAGAGATGAATGCTGGTACTGAATGCTGAATGCTGGAGTGCAGCCCATGCAATACTGCTGCTCACATTTAGAGTGGGTCTTTTCACCTCGATAAACCTAATCTAGAAATTTCTTAAACAAGCCTAGAGGTTTGTTTCTCCTGGGTGAGTCTAGAACTCGTAAATTTACAGGAGGAACACCCCTTCAATAGAAGGGGATGCTGAGTTCTGAAGACAGACACTCAGGGACACCTAGTTGGTTTTTCCTTTTGTCAGCACCTGCACCTTCCCCAAAGGTGAAGCTACTTTCCCAGGAAAAAAATATATATCTGTATGCTTGCATATGTAGCATGAAGCCTGTTGGCCTGAGACATGCCCACATTAGAAAGATTAACATTTGTCTCTATAGAATTTAATTTAAATTCCCTATACTCATTTATTTCCTGTTCATGCAGATGCAGAGGCAACTCCTTCACCCCCAGGTAAGTCCAACACCGTAAATTCAATCTCTTCAAGGTTAAGAAATCTGTGTACTGACTTAGACATTGGTGGACAGAGATGAAAGCAGTGATTTCTAATTCTGGCTGCACACTAGAGCCCCCCCCCCCAGGGAACTTCTGAGATTCGCAGTACATCAGCTGTTCCCAAGACTGGTGCAATCAGAACCTTGAGGGCAACTCATAGTCACCAATAATAGTCAAGCACTCATGACATTCTAACATGGAGCAGAAATAAAAAAAAAGTGCATTTCTGAAGATGCCAACCACAAGTCTCTCATCTGCTTTCACAGAAGGAAGTAGCTCTTGTGGAGGAGTAATTTCAAGTCTCTCTGGGTCCTTCTCCAGTCCCTGGTACCCTACAAACTACCCCACTGACATGGAATGCATCTGGGAGATACATGTAGCTGAGAAGTTCAACATAGAGCTGACAATCCCAAGCCTGAAGTAAGCAGTATTGCCTTTTTCTACTTAATGGCTGAACTAAATTTGAATCTGTGATTTCCCAAATGGAATGCCTTTCTATGGGGGGATCCTTTCACCTTTTAGGTGACTACTGGTAGTCTTTATTGTGGGTGTCTTTTTGTCAATTATCCCAGTATCCTATTCCTTGAGGTAATAATACCAGTGAGCACACAGACATGGAGGTATAGAACTCTAGCTGGTTGCTCACACCTGAAGACCTCGCCCCTGTTCTACCACATATAAGTTTCTTCCTTCTGTGAAATGCATATCTTGTCTTCCACATCTCATTGTCTGGCCATCCTTTCTTAGATACTATGTGAAGTAAGTCTAGTTGCTTTTCCCTTCAAGAGTTTCTAACAGGTCCCTTCTAGGAAACTTTCTTCAATAAATTAAACTTTTATTTATTTCTCCCATCAAGAACCTTGTGCTCTCCACCTCTTTCTCCAACCATCATCCATTTGAAAAATCATATTTTAATGTGTATTTACATGTACATATTTACACACATACATTTTACATATCTTATATACAGTTGTCCCTTGGTATTCATGAATTGGCTCCAACATCCCTATCAGCTACCACAGAAGTCTAAATATTCTATATAAACTATTATAGAATTTGGTTGTAACACTTGTACATTTTCCTGTGTGCTTTATATCATCTCATGTTAGACACCCAAGAAGTACAATGTAAATGTGCAATAAATCATTGTTACACTGTATTGTTTCTGAAACAGTGACAAGTCAGAATCTGCATATGTTCAGCACAGAGTTTTATGTCAATATTTTTGAGTCACACTCAGTTTAATCTGTACACACAGAAGGCCAACTGCATATACATGCATAAATCCATACAGGTAATTTTTGATAAGAAAATGACAACAAACAAACCTTTCCAAATACTTTGAAACCATGGATTCATTTTTCTATGCTGTCACATCAGAGTTACTCTCTCTTCCTGACTTTGTCTCTCAGAATGTCCCAGACCTCTGCATTTCTTTCTACCTGCATTCATTAGCCAAAGCAGTCAACAATCTGAATATTACCTTTATAGGTGTATAAAGTGTGGGCAGTGACGTGGACCATGCCACACGCTCACTATTCCAAGCAGTTGTAATCTCCAAATCTCCTGTAAGCTACATAATTATTACAACATAAATTCCTCCTATAGTTTTAAAGCACATTGATTATGGAATAGTTTAATATATTACCAAGAACAGGGAGAAAGTTGATGATTTTTAGAGTTTGGTAGTTTTGAGTCTTAATATATTGTTATTTACATCTTGTTTCTTGGGCTATACATTTTTTTTTCTTAGAAAGGGCTTCTCAAGTAAAGGCGATTAACGTGCCTACAGGATATTTCTCTAGGTCTGAGATCTTTTTTTTTTTTTGAGTGTCATAATTGGGGGAGGGGGCACTGACATCCGGTGGATGTTGGTCAAGGCTGCTAAATGTCTTTTGACAATCTACACAACTCTCTCCATTCCTTCCAAGAGAGGCATTTCCCAGCACCATCATGAGCACAGTTGTGAGACTAAAATCAAGAAACCCTGATTTATGTTGAGGCTTATTTGTTTTTCTTTCACAATTCCTATGGAACTTTGCTTCACATTTAAGTGGTAAAATTATGTGTTTATATGGTGGCTGGAGAGATAGCTCAGTCAGTAACGTGCTTGCCTGGCAAGCAAGAGGATCTGAGTTCAACCCTTAGAAACCATATAAAAATGCTTAGTGAGGTAATGTGCACCTGTAACCCCTTTGCTGGGAGGTAGAGACAGGCTGTCCTCAGTGTAGGAAAACCTATCTCTTCTTGAGCTCTAGGCCAACAAGAGACTTCTCTCAAAAGAGATAGATGCTATTTTGGAATTATACCATATTTAAATTTTGCCATTTTATTCTCACCAAGTGTTCCTCTCTTCTGAAGTAATTATTTTTCAGACTGAGAAAAATGTAAGACCTAGGGCACAGTGGTATTTTTAGTTGACTTGGAAAACAAGGAGTCTTGAATCAGGTAGCTAATAAGAACTAATTCTGGTGCTACCCCAAGGAACTGCAGAGGAAAGCCTCCCTGGGCACACAGAAGTAAAGCTAAGAGAATGAATGCTCCCTTGGCTGGAGCTGTAGAATTGCCTCATTTGGTCTACCCCATTGGGAAGTGCCTAGTTATGTAATTGTGTTGGCTACTTCTGATTAAGCTTGAATTGTCTTTCTTTAACTCAGAAATAGGCATTTATTTTTTCACTTTTGAGCCAGTGGGGATTAAACCCAAGACTCCAGGGATGCCGTACAAACACTATACCACTGAGCTAGTCTCAGTCCCCATGCAGTCATTTACAAGACAGAACTCAAATTCAGCTAGTTAAGTTGCAAATCAAAGCCAAGGTCCCTTGGGGCTTACTTGGCTTGTCTGCACGGGAATGCTTTGGCCAAGGCATCCATTTCTTTTCAATACCTGTTAATTCCATTCTGTTGTACTATGCACATAAATTGTATCACTGCTTTTTTTCTTTAGAAATGGGTTCTTTTCTCACTGGGCATAGTGCCTTTAATCCCAGCATTTATTAGACAGTGACAGGAGGATCTCTATATCCAGGGCAGCCTGATGACCATAATGAACTTCAGGACAGACAGCTCTATAGAGAAACCCTGTCTCAAAAATGAAACAAAACAAAAATGTGTTAGTTTTAGGTGTTTGCTTTTTAGTTCACTGGGATAGATATACAGTGGCAGATTTAAAAATCTAGTACTAAATTTGAGCATAACGTGTCCATTGGGTATGTGGATGTACATATATCCATGTGTGTGTGTTTGCAATGAGAATTTACAATGGAGGCACAGATGACTACTTGCTATAGTTCAGAAATTACACACGTCATGGCACATGCTATGTAATATCTATTATGTTAGATAAGCACCAATGTGCTTTTCTGATGTATTGATTGTTCCCACTCTGCATGATTTCCTATCTAGGACTGAACCAAACAAGGTAGATAAGATGTGAGCTTACATCTAGATGGAAAGACAAACAGTTCTGAAAGAAACCATTAACTCAGTGGAAATTTTCAGATAGTGATAAGTTGATATTTGCTATGAAGTCAAAGCAATCAATATCTGTAAAACTAGGCTAGGGTCAAGGCAGAAGACAGCATGTGGGGTGCTTGGAAAATGTGGGTCATTTGGAGACTTGGTAGGATGAGTCTTCCTACTTGGCCCCTTTACAATGTCATTATCTCCCCCAGTCAGGGTCTTCCTAAGCTTTTCCTCTGTGAGCTTCTGATGGACACTGACTACCACCCAAAACAGGGCTTGAATTAAAAGGTCAAAAATATCAAAGAGATATATATGGTAAAGGGGATGAGGGGCAGAGATGCTTCCAGATGGAGGACACCAAAATAGACCAGATGAGAACAGAAATCTCTGGCAGATCAGGATAGTCGGCAGGAGGGGGGCGCTGGGGGAGGGAAATATTCAAGGGGACTCTTAAAGGTGATGAGTGGGGTTGGGAGGAGTAGGCAGATCTGACTGATTTGGGGAGACTAACACTGCCTTTATCCACTCAGGCTAGAAGACATCTATGGGTGCCCTTATGACTTTGTTGAAGTGTTCGATGGAAAGCAAGTTGCCTCACTGTCCATGGGCAAAGTTTGTGCTGGAGCAGAACTCACATTTCTCTCCTCTTCAAATTCCATGACAGTGGTGTTTAAAAGTGATGCCATGATCACCAACACAGGGTTCTATGCTCTGTACAACACTGTTCACCAAGATGAAAGGCAGAATGGTGGGTATCCTGACACATATCTTGCCGGAAGTACCTCTGGTAGTGTCTTGTTCCATTTAGAGAGAAGATGTTTCTAAAATCTAACCCAAACTATACCACACCTGATGTATTCACCTCTGTTGCTGAGTGGCATCCACACTGCCAGTCATAGCCCTTACCCCTGCTCTGCCACCCACAGTCACTGTAGTCTATGAAAGCATCTAGAAACATATGACTAAGACATCCTATGCCGATAGAGAATCTCACTGAGAACTTCTTCTCACAAAGGAAGGAGTAAAGTAATATGAAAGATTATTCTGGAGCTGTCACAAAGCAGAATTGCCAGTCTACCTTCTTCTGACTGAATTCAACCATGCCATCCAGAACACTTGTGGGCCTCTCAAGTCCCACAACAGGGAGCAGGAACATTTGAGAGTTCTCTGTGTTTAGTGTACATTACCCAACTGGGATACTTTTGGGAGCTGATGAGACTCTAAAATACTGGGCTTGGAGATGGCTCATTGGGTAAAGAACCTGGTATCAAGACCCCAGAACCCACAAAGCTGGGTGTAGTAGCACATGTCTTTAGTCCCTGTAAAATGGAAGGCAGAGACAGCCGAATTCCAAGAAACTCACAAGCCCACTAGTCTGGTGTGGTGAAGAAGATGTCTGTGTCAAACCAGACGAGGCCCAACAATCAAAGGTGTCCCATGACCTCTACACACACACACAAACACACACACACACACACGAAGGGGGATTTTAAAATATCAACAGGCATCAATTGCTTTTATGCAGTCATAAAGCAAGACTATTTTAGGGAATCAAGTCAGAGGGTCACTCCTAGGGTCCAACACAGAGGACTTTTTTCCATCCTTCAGATGATCCTAGAATATGAGGACAATGTCACATCTCAGAAGCACCTATTTTCCCATTCCTAGGTATGGCCTTGAGACTGGTGAATGGCAGCCACAGGTGTGAAGGCCGAGTAGAGATCTCTTACAATGGTACCTGGGGCACAGTGTGTGATGACAGCTGGGACCTAACAGATGCCAAGGTGGTATGCCAGCAGCTTGGCTGTGGTAAGGCCCTGTCAGCCCCAGCTGAGAGCTACTTTGATGGAGGCATGGGCCATATCATGCTGGATGATGTGCAGTGCATGGGGGAGGAAGCCAAGGTGTGGCAATGCACGCACCACGGATGGTTCTCTCACAACTGTGGGCACCATGAGGATGCCAGCGTGGTCTGCTCAGGTGAGTGGCATGGCTTGCATCACATTTCAGAGACAGAGCTTTGCCAAACCCCAGCCATTGGGAAGAGAGATGTCAATACCAGCAGGCAAGCAGTCAGCAATGAGCTTTGGGATTTGAGCCAAATTTTAAGTCAATTTACTTAAGAGGTAAGGTAGTTTTCCATCTTAGATTCCAGCATCTGTAAAGGGCTCAGAGTCATACCTGGAAACTAGCAATTATATAAATGGTCAGTATTAGCAGACATCTATACCTGGCCTGGCATGCCTGGGTGAGAGTAACAATGCAGTATCCACCAAGTGTTCTGTGAATGCTGCACTGTCCTATAACCAGTGTATCTGAATTTTTCAGTTCTTACCCACAGCTTCCAGTAAAGTAGAAACTCTAGCATCTGTACTTAGCTGATCAAGCCCACAAAGGCACAAACAACACCACACGCAGAACCACATTCTCTAAGTATTGCCTGGCTAAGATCCTGGGTTAAAGACCGAGCTTATCTCTGCTACAGAGACTCTGTTGGCCAAATCAAACAAACACCATGCTGAACCTGAACCACAAGGCCATAGTGTGCTCCCTCACTCTGGCTCACTGCTTCCTTCACTAGCCTGGATGAGTTTTAATTCTAGTTTTCCAATGGCCTAGAAGGGAGCATGTCTGATCCTAAGCCAAGTGCCTGGTTTGTTTATGGGGAGTTATGTGACCACCTTATTTAATCTGTCTCTCACCCTCACATTGTCTTTGAATAGGTATTGATGACACACCAAGTAAAGGACCAGCAGGTACTGTCTGTCAATACATCCACTCAGTTGCCAGGGCCCTTGTGAATGAGAATCCCAGCCACCATTCAAGTTCTGAGACTGAAGAGGATGGCCCAATCACTCTATTTCTAATTCCCAAAGGCACTAATGCCTATTATAGTTGTGGTGGGACTGAATGCTGCAGAGGGTGAGAAGATAAGAGAGAGTAAGGGAGGGGTTCAGATCCACCAGAGAGGAAATCTCTTGGCTACTGGTTCAGTAGAGAGAGGACGAACTGCTGGCAGTGTTGATCATGCCATGAGATTCTAGATGGAACAACGAACCAGAAATCCCAGGTTGTCTGCAATGGCCCCTGTCCATATTCTTGAGGTACAAATGTGCAAACTCCTAAGAGTCAGGGCCATCTCTGTTCACTGGGCACAGGAGAATGCGTGCTTCCGAGGGTCAATAGTCTATGGTATTTTAAGAAAAGAACTAAATATGGATACAAATTCTTGGTCATGATCTTTTTCTTTTGTGTATTTTTAGAGTCCACTGCTGACATCATGACAGGTACTGAAGTCTTTTTGTGTGTGCATCTCTTTCCACTTTAACTCATCCTATATCTGGCTGATGCCCTTTCTTCTTTTAATATACAAAAAGCTGCTACACAGGAGTCTATAGCTGATCACACACCAAAATCCAAGAGTTTGGCACTAACTGGATAATTAATCTAGGTCTTGATTTCAGATCCAATTAGTATGCGATAATTAAAAGATCAGCTTTGGCACATTAAAATTTTAATGAATTTAGTTTGAGCAGATAGCCCCTTTGAATTGAGCAGCTGCAAGCTGGGTTTATTTGGGGTTCACCTAGAGGACAGGCTTTGATAGGGCAAAGTTGGAGGCAAAGCCAATGTTTGCTTGGTGAAAGTGTGCCAATGAATTCCTTTGGACCACTAGAGTGGGAAGTTCCTAGTTAGAGGTGTGTTGGCAATTTCTAATTGGTTATGATCATCTATACTGAGTTGACTTTGGTTTGCTTATGTAGGAACTAAGATACTGGATCAGTTTAATAGCTTCCCAATTATTTCTTTTAATAAAGTCAACTCAGGATCTTCAACCTTCCCTTTAATACAGTTCTGCAGATTGTGGTGACCCCAATCATAAAATTATTTCATTGCTACCTCAAAACTGTAATATTCTTACTGTTATTAATCATAAATATCTGGTATGCAGAATATCTGAATTGTGACCCCCGTGGGAGTTGCAACCCACAGGTTGAGAACCACTGACCTAATATGAGCTGTTCTTCAGCTCAGCATACTGGGTTTGTACCTGTAAACCTACCTGGGCAGCCGGGTTCATGAAGTCTGTTCCATTCTAGGTGTTGTCATTTCCCTGTCACAAAGGGGACGCCCTTTACCTGTCAAAAGGTTGTTGATGAGGCTAGGGATGTAGCTCAGTTGGAAGCCAGTTTGTCTAGCACACAGGGGGCCCTGGGTTCAGCCCCTGGCTCAGCCTTCCTGGAGCTGGGGTTATAGGTGTGCACCCCATATTCTTATCTTATTTTCTTCTGTTGCTCTCATTGTGTCTCCTCTTGTCCTTTCGGGGAAAACAACAACAACAACAAACAAACAAAAAAAAAAACAGAGGAAAAAGCATTATATGTTAGAGTCTCCTCATGGGATTTCCTCACCTTTTTACAGATGAAATTTTCCAGTGTGGTGGTTTGCTCACAAACAGTTCAGGCTCCTTCTCCAGCCCTTGGTATCCTAAAAAATATCCCACCAATGTGGTATGTACCTGGGAAATACAAGTGGATACCAGTGCTCACATCAGACTCACCTTTGAAGTAGTCAAGTGAGTACATACTTTCTGCTTATACAGTTGCCATTGCTTGTCTATGTATACATCAGTTTTACTACCTCTTTGCCAGACACAATAGTGCAGTTGTACACGTGAACTCATAGCAGATGGAACTTCATGCACAAGACCTGCATAGTATCAAGCCAGCCAAAAATCCCAGTGTACATGAGGGAGGGGCTTGTGAAATCCCACACCTATCTGAGAAGCTATTGGCAATTTGTGGCTACTGGGAGAGTGAGAGGCATAATAAATAAATTATATATGTATAATTTATTATATATACATATAATATATTATTTATTTATTATGTATCCAGTGTTCTGCCCACATGTATTGCTGCAGGCCAGAAGGGGGCGCCACATCTCATTTCAGATGGTTGTGAGCCACCATTTGGTTCTGGGAAATGAACTCAGGACCTCTGGAAGACCAGCTAGTGTTCCTAACCACTGAGCCATGTGTCCAGTCCTAAGAGCTACTTTTCTTCAGGGGTTCAGGCACTGAGACACTGTTCAACTCCTATCAAAGGTCCTATATCTATGTGCATACAGAAAGCACTAAATGAATTCAATGGATAGAAATTTTAAAATAAAAATGGATGTGGTAGCATATGCCTTTTATCCCAGCATTCAACAGGTAAAGGTGGGCAGATCTCTGTGAGTTTCAGACCAGGCAGGGCTACACTGTAAGACCTGTCTCAAACAAATAGGCAAAACTCAAGTTTAAAAAGGAGAATGTGTGAAGTTGGGAGACAGAGAGGAGAGGGAGCTAGTGGAGGAATTGGAAAGGAAGGGATTGGGGAGGTCTGGGTGCACACCGAACTAGCATGTATAAATTTTATATAAAATATTAAGAAGCTATAATCCTCCCAAATGAGCTGTGCCTTGAAGTGCCTATAATATTAATCAAAAGTTTAAGTACACAAATCCCAGGGATCTTTCCTGTGAGTGCAAGGAGTGTGCAGTTTTCATGCAGTGACAGTAGATTGGGATTAATCTACTTGCCCATCAGCAGGAGGTCTACTAAACAGATTTTTGGTACAGCCACATGTTACTCTTACAAACTAAGTGACTATTACTACAGAATGAGATGCAAGAAAACAGTCAAATCTGTCAACTGTCAAATCTGTCACCATTCACGTGCAAGCTACCTGTGAAAGGAAAAAGGCCTGTTTCTGGGAAGAGGGAGAAAGTGGGGGATTAGTGGAAATGGGAGATTTTTCTTCTTGCCATAAACCATCATTATCGCATAAATTATATTCTGTGAGCTTACAGCACACATTAAAAAGATATTATTGAATTAAAACTTTAACAAATTAAAAGAAAATGAATTTAATTTTATTTTTTATAAAATTTTGTCTTAAATTGCTTTGTTTATTTTGGGGTTTTTGTCATATTGGTGTTTTGCTTGCATATTTTGAGTTCGTGTGTGTGTGTGTGTGTGTGTGTGTGTGTGTGTTTCTTGTTTGTTGCTTGCTTATTTGTCTTTTAAAAGGAGAAAGAAGAAGTAGCATGGAATTGGATGAGTGGGGAGGAGTCATGAGGGGAGAAAATGTGACCAGAACATCTTGTGTTGAAATAGTTTTTTCCATACAAAACTTAAAAAAATTAAGAAATAGAAAGGTACATTTACTCACATCAGTAGGCTTCCTTTCGACCTATGGGAAGAAGTATGGGTTTGCAGTTACTTTTCCTGATCCTTGCTGCAGCCATCTGGGAAGTCACTTCTGGAGGAAAGGGCCAAGGGAAGGAGCTTGAATGATGCCTTGTCGTCCACAGGATAGAAAACTTCTACGGCTGCCCTTACGACTTCATCGAGATTTTTGATGGCCCACAGAGTGAATCATTTTCACTAGGAAGATTCTGCTCAGAAGCAATCCCAGTATTTACCTCTTCTTCGAGCCACATGAGCGTGGTGTTCCACAGTGATGACATTGTCACCAACATGGGATTCTATGCATCTTATGAGTCTCTGTTGCAAGATGAGAAAGACACAGGTAGGTCCTTTCTTCATTTCAGCTGCCAGTCCTGCTTGGTAGTGACACTGAACTCAGACAACTGGGCGGGAGAGATCTGAGAGTGCTTCCCAAGCTTCTGTCACTTACAGCCCCTGAGATGTAAGTTGCTGAGCACATTTCTCTGGACTTAGATGCACACATCTTCTGAGATTAGAGGTCTAGGAACTGTTAGGAGAAATGGGACTCAGACAGCCCCATGTTAGAATTTGTTTTATTCAAATCTATGTTAATAATGAGTTCACAAATGGTAGAGCGACAGTGTTTACATGCTCATAATTATCACGTTATAGAAGGCGTTTGAGAGCTGTCTTTGAATTCTGTGAAATATAAAATTAACTCGGGGTGTGTGGGGGGTGTTAAAATCCTCCAGGTCAAATATCACATTTGCATCAACTCCAAGATGCTTAGCAACCAGCTTTAACCCATAAGATACCCTCCCCAGTGTGAGGGTCGAGCCCTCAATGCTAGCCAAGCCACAGAACACGTCCTCCTTACCTTCAAGTATTCATCAACAAGGGGAGCTTCAGGATGGTAACCCAGCTTGTCTGCTTTTCCAGATATGGCACTCAGACTAGCCAATGGCAGCCACCCATGTGAGGGCCGTGTGGAGCTTTACTACAATGGCAGCTGGGGCACAGTGTGTGATGACAGCTGGGACCTGAGAGACGCACAGGTGGTGTGCCGGCAGCTGGGCTGTGGTGGAGCTGTGGCAGCCATTGGCCGAGCACATTTTGAGCGAGGGCTAGGCCCCATTGTCCTGGATGATGTGGAGTGCATGGGAACGGAGGCTAGACTGTGGCAATGTCTGCACGGTGGCTGGTTTGCCCACAACTGTGGCCACCATGAGGATGCTAGTGTCATCTGCTCAGGTGGGCTGGGTTCTGAACGAGATAGGTTAACAACTGTCCAGTTCTGTGAGCTTTCTGCCCCACCATGCATAAAGCAGGAAGGTAATCTAGGACAGTCCCCAGGCCACTGTTCCCAGCACACCCATCTGCTACTCAGGCTGTGATTTTCACAATCATTCCCTTTAATGTGACTCTTTATGTGAGTTCCAACTTCATCAGCTTAAACAGAGAGCCATGGCCACATGCTGTGAATAGACCACACTTAAACACAAATACAGTGTCTTAGTTACTTTTCAATTGCTATGATAAAACACCAATGATCAAGATAACTTATAAAAAAGGCTTTTTTTGAGGATATTGGTTCCAGAGGGGTAGAGTCCATGGCCATTATGGGAGGAACATGGCAGCAGGCAGGCAGGCAGGCAGGCAGGCAGGCAGGCAGGCAGGCATGGTGCCGGTGCAGTAGCTGAGAGCTCACATCTGATCCACACATAGAAACAGATTGATCTAACTGGAAATTTCTTAGCCTTTTCAAACTTCTTCAAAAAGCTATACTTCCTCCCTTTATATAGGTGACAATGGTGCAGCTGGGACAATATACGAGGCCACTGGCAGTGGGTCCAAGACCTAACTCTAAGGCACTCCACTCTTAGTGGCGCTTGTTCTATATGGGCTTACTCAGCCTAGACACAGGCGTGTGAAGGGTCAAGAGGTGCCTTGGTCCCGCCTCAATGAGATGATGAGACTGACTTAGTAGACTTCCTAAGAGGGGCCTTACCCTCTCTGAGGAGCAGATAGGAGGTAGGAGGAAAAGGGGTGAGTGGGAGAAGAAGAGGGAGAGGGAACAGGGATTGGAATGCAAAAAAAATAAACTAATAAAATAAGCTATACTTCCTAATCTTTCCCAAACAGTTCCAGCAGCTGGGGATGAAGCATTCGTATATCTAAGCCTATAAGAGCTATTCTCACTCAAGCCACCACACACAGTAACAACGAAATCATTGTCAGCACCAACAATCCTTTTTTTAATATTTAGTGGGGCCTGGGGATGGCTAAATGCTTAAGAACACTCACTGTTCTCCAGAAGGATCAAGATTCAGTTCCCAGCACCTACATGACAGTTACACAGGCAGTTGACTGCAAAGTCAACATGGGATCTGTGTTTAATTGATCAACTGATCAATTCATTAAAAATAAGAATTATAAAACCAAACCAACCAGCAAGGCAGATACTTCATATAGGTGACTATCACTGTGGTCACGGTTATTAAGAAGGAAAGAAAATTATATTCTAGTATCCATTATCAGGACAGAATGGACATGGGAATACAGAAGCTTGGGTGGTGGCTTGGGATCACTCTTAGATGTGCAGGTGGGATATATCTGGCTTTCATATCTCCCCCAAACAAATAATTCAAATAATCAGGCTTACCTATGGGGTTTAAAATGATGAAAAGAGGTGACTTGGTGACACACACACCCCACTTTGCTTGTGTCTTTCATAGCCTCTCTGTCTCATCCAGCACCGTCGCTTCCTGGTGAGTGATATGATTTCAGGTAATGTCAGTTGTCCTTGATTGATTGGCTGTAACTTGCATTGGCAAAGTTACACTGGGAAGTAAGGTTATAGTTTAGGGGCCAAACACACACTGTCTTCATCATCACTAAATCTAGCAAATTTTCAAGAGTCTGTTTCCTCCTCTGATGATGTGGGTGGATGGTGGCATTTGCATCCTCATGTTATGTGGGATTGGGTGACGTTCCTAGTGCAGAGGGAGGGGTTGGCAGTGTTTGGCATGTGGCAGAACATGCTATGTAGGTACCAGCCATTATCTTTTGACTCCCAAGGCCAGAACACTGTGAGCATTTCCCTCTGTACACTGCTTTATCCCTGACAGAACTAAGAACAAAGAAGCCAAAGGCATTAACTTTTTCATTTTCTCCTGGCTCTTTGGGGTCCAGAGGTTGCCAGATTTCAAATTCAGCCAGATGCTCTTTAGGACAGGCCTTAAGAGCAATATTCAACATGCAGAGAAGAACTGGGAGAAAAAAGACCCCAAGCCTTTAGAGGAAGCACCAGCCTGGGTTATTCTGGAATCAGAGCTCCTCAAAGGATGCTTTATTATCTCTAAGATGTCTCTATTTTTTTTAAATCAATAAACCCTGGGCTATGGCTTTCTTGGACTTATAACGTAGTTTGTGTTCACTGTGTGCGTGTTGATTGAAGGATGGGAGGATTACAGAGAAATATACTGAAAGGGATGTGATTAGAAGCTGACTTGTGTAACTTTTTGTTTGTTTTCTATCCATTTTCAGCATTGTCAGTAAAGCAGCCAGAAATGTCCACATCAACAGGTAACCTTTTCTTCTCTCCTCTGTTGCCTTTCCTTTGTGGTGTTTGAGCCCAGCTCCCAGCATTGCTGGAGAAGGATCCCTCCTGAATACACTGCCTATTCCCACTACCACCCCAAGCTTAGGCTGGCCCTATTGATGGCTGCTGTTGGAAGGAGTACTGGAAATGCCTGGCCCATCTAGAAAATCTGGGACTAGAGAATACTACAAGAAGCAAGAATAATTTGCATGGGGTTGGTGTGGAAGCTGGCTTCTGTTAAGGCTCTGGGTGACTTGCCAATCCTCCCCAGCCCTACCTAGGAACTGACCTTGGCTGTCTTATGACCTTTTATTCTCTCTTGACACAACCACCTTTGAATATGGGCGTTGGGATGCAATGGGTGCCTTTCTCATTCCCCGAAGCAACTTGACACATGGAACACACTTCATACTGGTGTCTACTGCTATCATCCCTTAATCAGTGCATGTGGACACACACACACACTCACAGAGAGAGAGAGAGAGAGAGAGAGAGAGAGAGAGAGAGAGAGAGAGAGAGAGAGAGAGAGAGAGAGAGAGAACAGCACAGATCTTCATGAAAGAAAAAAAAAAAAAAAAGAAACTTCATGAGTACCAGAAACTGAGATTTGCAACTTGGAGTAAGAGAACCATAGGGCGAGTTACTGGTCCAACTAGCCAAGAAATAATCATTTCTTTACCAAACACAATCTTGAAAACACTTGAAGTGGTACCAAGGACACGGATTTAATTGATTTGAAATGAAATGATAGGGAAGTGTGTTTGCCATCCCTGACTCCCAGGAAATAACTGCTATTTCTGACAGTCTTTGAGAATGAATCCTCAAGGGGATTGTTCTTGGATTACCCACCAAGGTCTGGATCTGCGGCTGGTGAATGGAACAAACAGGTGTGAAGGGCGAGTTGAAGTGTACTATGCCAACACCTGGGGGACCGTGTGTGATGACAACTGGTCTATAGAAGATGCCCACGTGGTCTGCAGACAGCTTGGCTGTGGTCCAGCTTTATCTGCCTTGCCAGGCACCAGCTTTAGCCCTGGGTCAGGCAGCATCATCCTTGATGATGTCAACTGCACAGGAAGGGAGTCTTCCTTGACACAATGCCTTCATAGCAACTGGCTCACCCACAACTGTGGGCATCAGGAAGATGCTGGTGTCATCTGTGCAGGTGAGAGAAGGCCCATCTTAGACCAGTTATAGAACTTCCCATGCCAAACCTGAATGCTGGCACACCTTGAACCTGCCTCCATGGGCAGGATGGTGGGGTTTTTTGCCAACATGGAATGCTATGCTTGCAATGCTTGGGGTGGCTGTTTTCAAATTGAGGGTCTGAAGAGATTAATTGGCCATAAAATAAATGCAATAATAGTACTAGCCTCATAGAGTTGGCGGGCATTAGCAATACAACCCCTACACAATGTTTAGTTGAGCATCTACAACACCATAAATTATAAAAAAAACTGCTGGCTGTTGTAATTTTTGTTACTAAGATTAATGCTATCAAAATCAAGTGCCCGGATGTTAGTTGAGTGAAAGCCACAGCAGAGGAGGCAGCCTCAGATGCTTAAGAGAATTGCCCACACCCAGCTTCTTTCAATTACAATTAAACAAAGGTCATGTCCTTCAGGTCACTTCACCGTCGTAGTTTCTAATGTCGACCATCTCATATTTCTCTTCTTCTCTCTATAGATTCTGCAGCTGCCGGACATCCAGGTATCTATGAGTTCATGAACACTGTATTTCCTGCCCAGTGACTAGAGTTTACCAAAAGGGTTATCACAGTGGGTCTCTCTCTCTCTCTCTCTCTCTCTCTCTCTCTCTCTCTCTCTCTCTCTCTCTCTCTCTCTCTCAATGATTCTCGAAGATCTAGATGGCTCTTCCCTAGTCCCTTGGGGCCTGCCATGCCCCCAGAGGGAAAGCATTTTGGATGTTAACATATTGGTGTGCCATCCCTCCTCCACATGAATACCACATTTCAGCATTAAGCCATGATACCAGCTTTTGATCCAAGATGTTCAAGCAACAGAAGCCTTGAGAGTCCAGGGAGGGCAGGTGGTCCTCGAGGCAGATGAACCTGGGGGGCGGGGGCGGCGGGCAGGAGCTCCTTCTCAATCTGCAGCCTACATTCAGGACTTGGGATGAGGCTGATGCCCTGCTATGAGGCCACAGCTTCACAATCCCAACATAAGTGTAATGTCTCATTCTCATTTAGACTAACACACACAAATGCATGAGCTGTTGTCACATTTTAAATGGAAACAATCTGTTCAGCTACCCAGGGGGTTGCTTAAAGGAAGACTCACCTATATGATTTAGATGACACTTGAGGATATGAACTTGCATCTCACTTTGCTTAGGATGTATTTGTGGTGACTTTTCCTCCCATTCTTACCTGTACAGCCACTTCAGCTCCTGAGGAACATCCACATGGTTTCCGTCCAATAGGTACTTTGCTACTCTTACGGTCTGGGACTCTTTATTTCTGAGGCTGTTTGTGACTAACTGAAATGAAACACACAAGTCTGGCACATGCCTGTAATCTAAGTTTGGGACAAGTGGAGACAGACAGCTCCCTGGGGAATGCTGGCCAGCAAGTCAAGCCAAATCTACCAGTTCCGGATAAAAATAAGAGGCTTTAAGAGGCTTTATATTCTCAAAAGCACAAGGTAGAAGGCATCCTGAAGAATAAACTTGGGGTGATATATAATACAGGTGTGTGCAAGCACACACGGATGGTTGGACACAGAGAGAGAGAGAGAGACAGAGAGAGAGAGAGAGTCAGACAAACAGAGAGAGGGAGAGGTGGAGAGAGGGAGAGAGAAGCTCATTAAAGCCTGTAACATGTGGCCTCTCCTATGATGGGTTTTTTTCAAGGATAGAGCCAATTTACCCACCCATCTCAATTGCAGAATCTGATGTCAGAAGCCAGGCTCCACATTGTGTTCTACTCAGACCTTGAAAAGAGCCCACACCAGTTCTGAGGTTTCAGACTCTGAGAATCATTCATCAGTTTCAGTTCAGAGGGTCTTTTCCCTGCTTGATTCCCCACATTGCCTTAAGATGCTGTATCTCTGACAGACACACTTTATGTTTTCTAGATTTAAGTAAGGAACAATTAATTTTATTTTGTAAACTGCATCCTATCTGAGGAAAGCAGCTTAGAAATGCAGTCTGAACTCTCAGACTACAAATGAACTGTTTTCAGTTTTTGGAAAAGTGACTTTATGAAAAAACAACCCTAAAAATGTGAGCCCTGAACCTAGTGGCAAAGACCTGGAAACCCCAGCTGCTAGAGAGACTAAGGCAAGAGGATTGCATGTTCCAAGTCTGCCTGGCAGTGAGGTCTAGCCAGTCTAGGAAAACTAGTGAGAGTCTCTCTCTCTCTCTCTCTCTCTCTCTCTCTCTCTCTCTATATATATATATATATATATATATATATATATGGAAACAAAGCATGTCATTTTTAGATACTTCTTCCTCAATGCTAGCCTGTGGCCTCCATTCCCATGACAAAACTGCCCAGGGTGACAATCCAACATAGATAAAAACATTAAATTTCCAGGACAGAAAGTGGTCATATATGTTCTTTGTGTGTGTAGTCTCCTACGTCAGCACAGCCCTTTATAGTCTGGTGCTTGTTACCCCAGCCTAGCAGCCACAGCCCAGGCTAAGATTCTCTGTCTTGTTGCGCTGTTGCACTGTTCCCTCTGAGCACTGAAGGACCCTCAACTTACTTGGCCCTTGGCTCCTGCAGATCTGCAGCTGGTGAGACTGGTCAATGGGAGAAGTCAGTGTGAGGGCCGTGTAGAAGTATTCTTCAACGGGACCTGGGGGTCTGTGTGTGATGATCTTTGGGGCATACAGGCTGCCCAAGTGGTATGTCGACAACTCGGCTGTGGGGCGGCCCTGGCAGCCCCCAGGAGCAGCCTGTTTGGCGATGGCTCTGGTCCCATCTTCCTAGACGACGTGAGGTGTTTGGGCACAGAGACCAACCTAGGATACTGCTTCCATCTTGGCCTGTCTGTGCACAACTGTGACCACCATGAGGATGCAGGAGCCATCTGTTCAGGTACCCAATCTCTGCTGGACCTTTATTTTCCTACCAAGAAACAAACGGGGTAGAACCACTCAGGGTCCCTGCTGGGGAGAACTTGTCCTGGCCTTAGCACTAAGAGTCCCAAGCCTCCCAAGCACCCTTGGCACTCCAACAGCCAATAACATTTGTCACTCTAGTGTCAGGAAATGAGGGTCCATTATCTATTGTCACTGCCTGTTCTCCAGGCCTGATACACAGAAGTTCTCTAAGCAATAATATACCTGGAAGCCAGAGTGACGCCCTGCTGTGGGGCAGCTTTTAACTCCGGGATATGATTCTTCTATGTGCATCAGTCTCATAAGTCCTCATGATGAGATTTCAGGCAGCTTGACTGTACACAGATTTTCCTCATGGCCAATGACTCGTGTTGGGACTTTCAGACCACAAGGGACAAGTTTAGGTAAACACACACACACACACACACACACACCTCTAACCAAAAACTCTATAACTTTGTTTTGTTATTAATTGTCCTGCTGCCAGGCCTCAGTACTGCCCAGTACAACTCATTCTCTACCCCTAGAGGGCCAGGCAGAGGTGAGGGGAAGGTGATACGAAGATGGAGGTGAAGAGAGCCTGTCTCCTCCACTCTATGTGTTTGCTAATTGTCTTGTTTTGTTCAGATCTGAGGAGTTAGTTTCACAGCGCCAGGGCATAAAAACTTATCTCCTAGTTTGTGACCACAAGTCCCTTAAGTGCCACCTGCCTGTAAGGTCGAAAATTGATTGTGGGGACTTTTAGTAAGTCAGGTGAGGGGATGGTGGCTCAGGGGCATTGTCTGCATGGGCTGGCTCTTTAACAAATGCCAGATCACATGTGTGCCCCATTGCATGGACATAATGAGGGGTCCGCCCACTTGGCTTGTGGCATTTTATCAGATGAACTTCCCCCGCTAATGTGAATGCTTCCGGTTGTCTTTCAGCTGTTGGTGTTGCCTCGGCTTTGGCAGAAGTGGCCCCCACAGGTGGTAATATTCTTGTTGCTTCTCTCACTCCTTCCTGTTATTAGATTTCTCTAGGGACCCCTGCCCCAAGGTTAGAGCCTGCATTATCACTGGCCAGCTAGAGCTCAGCTTCCCTGGGATTTCAAAGGAGAACACTGAACAGGAGAGGAGGCTATTCATGTGGATGTTACTGCCTGTCTTCCCTCTGCTTCTTAGATGATCTTAACTTGGAAATCACACCAATAATCAAGAAAAGAAAAAGAAATGAAACTTGAGTTTGACATATTTAACACCAGTGTCTGTGAATCTGGTGGTTTGGATCCAAGGACATGATTGTCATTGTAATAGCTGTAGCATACTTTTAGTCCATAGATAAGAAATCAGAATTAGCTAGGGAAATCAAGTCATTGCACTTAGAATCATTAATTCAGTGTAGTTCTGTGGGGCCTAGAGGCAGGAGGTCAGAGTTCCTATGGTTCTGAAATTTAGAGGGATTGCATTCAGAACTAAGAAAAGCCCATCGTGATTCCCATGACACTTCAGGACTAACCTCTGAGTCTTCCCCAGACCATCTCATGATCAGATTGGTGGATGGAAAGAACCGGTGTGAAGGGAGAGTGGAAGTCCACCACAATGGCACATGGGGCACTGTTTGTGATGACCTTTGGGCAATTGAGGACGCCCATGTGGTATGCCGGCAGCTGGACTGTGGGGAGGGTGTCAGAGCCCTTGGGAGTAGCCACTTTGGAGAGGGCATGGGGAGCATCTTCCTGGACGATGTGCAGTGCCAAGGCAGTGAAACCTCACTAGGCCAGTGCCAGCACCAAGGCTTCTCTGTCCACAACTGTGGCCACCATGAAGACGCCAGTGTCATCTGCTCAGGTACCTGCTGCCAGCTTTGTCAGTGATTCTTGGTGAGAGTCCTGGAAATTAACATGGGGACATTTGGATCTTGTTGGGGTCTGCTTATCATGCCCAAGGCCCTGTTTCAATGTGCTAAGGCTTTCTGGGGCAATGGGATCCCCCACCCCATCACTCCTGGCCTCCTTCTGTATTCCCTGCTTGACTCAATACCCCCGAGCTCCCCTTAGAGCCTGCAGACCAGATTGTCTTTTAGGACCCTCCCAGTGCTCCATCCACTAACCACTACAGTAATGGCATTTTCCTTATGTTGTCTGCTTTGAGCTCTGGGGCTGGTTTTTAGTATTGGTCTTGAGAATTTTATGAACACAATCCAGTGCCTCTTGCTTAGTTTAAACTGTTCCCTTTTGTCCTCTCATTTGAAATGGTTTCCTGCTGCTTTCTTTCTCTGTTTAATTCAGCAAGGTTTATGCACTTCATTTTCTTTTGCTCCACCCCAACAGCGAGTAAAATAGAGAAGAAAATAAGATGAAATGAAAATAAACATGACCAAGCATCTTCTAAATAGAGCAGAGACTAGGATAAGAGAATTTAAGTCATTCATCTGCATGTTTAATATACTTCTTTATAGATTTTATTTATTCTTTGACAATTTCAATCAATGTATCTTGATCGTATCTATCCCCAATGTCATCTTCCTACTTCCCCTGGATACCTGGATCCCACCCACATATCCTTTTCCTTCCTTCATGTCCTTTCCTTTTTACTTTCTTTTTTTCTGTAATCCACTGAGTTCAATTAATGCTACAGACAGGTATGTTGACTGATCTTGCTGTGTTCATCTGTGCAGATAATCATAACTGCTGTTAGTCATGAGGGCAGCAGCCATATCATGCCCAGAAGACAAGGCATGCCTTCCATCTTCCAGCTCTTACATTCTTTCTCCCCCTCTGTCTTGGTGTTCCCTGAGCCTGGAGGGGGTTGTTATAGATGTCCAGGTTAGAGCTGAGCACATAATAATCACATATTCTCAGCACCTGAACCAGTTAAGAGTCTCTGTGTTGACTGCTTGTTTAATATGTATTCCTTGAGCACTCTCCGTGACCCAGGCAGGGCTCTCTTGGTGCCAAGGATGTGGTTACTGAACAAAAGAACATTCATTCCTATGTCCCAGAAGGAGAGCTGCAATGGCTTATACAGTAAACTATGCTAGAATATGAACAAATTTGAATGAAGAATGAATCTAGAGTGATAATATGCTTTATTGTTGTAAGGACGTTTTTCTTCCAGTGTTCAGATAACTTAGCATTTTGTTTTAATCCTAGTTTGGTGTAAATGAGAAGTCAGCATTATCGATCTAAGGGTTGAATGAGGAAGGCACCTAGTAATTTGCCACTGGGAAATACACATCCTCTTTATTGCACCAAAGAAGTGGCCCTTCTTCCCTATCCTGGAGGAGCAAATTGTACCCCAGCCAATGAACGTTCATAACTTCTTGTGTTCACACATCCCTATTTTTATTTTAGTTTTAGCCAAAGACAAACAACAAAGAACATAAAGATGAAAACAAAACAACAGCAGCAAGCTCTATCTTTTAATTTAGTTCCACATTCCAGAAGCTGTTTTATGGGATTTTTAATATATCTCACATATCAGCTTTTTATTTCTATTTATATAAGAAAATATTTTATCCAATTTTGATATATTTTATGCTTTGTAATAACTTAACCTTCCCATGTGATACTTTATGATATTTCATTATTTTATGACATTGACCTAATATTTCTTTTTTATTTATTTTTTTCTTATTTTACATATTGATCCCAGTTCCTTCTCCCTCCCTTCCTCCCTCTCTCTTTCCCTCCCTCCCATGTCCCCTGACCACTCTCCCATCCCATCCCCCCCCACTCCACAGGGAGGGTACTGTCTTCCAGGAGGTGTCAACAAAATCTGTCAAGTCATTTGGAGTAGGGACTAGGCCCTCCCTCCTGCCTCTAGGTTAAGGGAGTATCCCTCCATGGGGAATGTGCTCCCAAAGTCCTTTTGTGCACCAGGGATACATCCTGGTTCTGCTATCAGAGGTTCCTTAGACTGCCCAGGCCTTCTGAGACCCATGTTCAGGGGATCTGAGTCGGTCCAATGCTGGATTCCCAGCTATCAGTCTGGGGGCCCATCGGCTCCTCCTTGTTCAGGCCAATTGTCTCTGTGGGTTTCTGTAGCCTGGTCTTGTCCTCCCTCTCTGCATCTGGATTCCAGTTTGGCTCAGTGTTTAGCTATAGGTGTCTGCTTCTGTTTCCATCAGCTACTAGATGAGGGCTCCATGATGGTGGATAAGTTAGTCTTTGATCTCATTATCAGGGAAGGGCATTTAAGGTAGCCTTTCCTCTGTTGCTCAAATTGTTAGTTGGGGTCAATCTTATAGATCTCTGGACATTTCCCTCGTCAGTTTTCTCTTCAAACCTATAATGGCTCTGTCTTTTATTTTACCCCCCCCCCCCGGCTTTCTCTCTTTTCTCTCATCTATTCCTTCCTAGTCCCACATGCTTTCCTCTCCTCCCCCTCTCTTTCTCCTAGCTCCCACTCCACTCACTGCCCCCCACTCCCAATATGCTCAGGAGATCTTGTTTCTTTTCCCTTCTGTGAGGGACCTTGTATGAATCTCTTAGGTTCCTCCTTGTATCCTAGTTTCTCTGGTGGTGTGAATTGTAGGCTGGCGATCCTTTGATCTATGTCTAAAATCCATATATGAGTGAGTACATACTATGTTCCTCTTATTGTGACTGGGTTACCTCACTCAGGATGGTTTCTTCAAGTGCCATCCATTTGCCTGCAAATTTCAAGATTCTATTGTTCCCCCCCCCACACACACACAGAGTAATATCCTCCCAACACCCTTCCCTAGGAATTCCCTGAGGTATCAGCTTTTTAAATAAAAATGATCTCCCAAGTTTCTGTTTGCTTTGCCATTTCAGCATCAGCCATAGAAATAACAACTTCGCCTGGTAAGATTTCTTTCTTTACTGTTTTCTCTAAGTGCATAGATTGCCTTACCCGATTAAGGTTCCAGTTTGTATATCATATGAAATGACCCGCTGTGGCTGGGAGGTACTCTCTTGGCAAGGTGCTTGAATGACACATACAAAGTCCTGAATTTGATCCCAGCACAGTGCAGGGCTTGGAGTCAAACACCTGTAAGCCCAGCATGGTGGAGTTAAAGGCAGGAGGATCAAAAGATTCCTTGCTACAACTAAATTTGAGAATAAACTGATACATGAGACTTTGTCTCTCAAACAGTTATTTATGAAAAGGGAAAGTGTACCCTAAATCTGTGCCACAGAAACGTAAGATGTTTCCTTATTTATTAACTGAAGGAGTAAACTGAACTAGAGTGCTTTCCTCAATTGCAATACAGTATGTACACTTTGTTCCCTTTCTTTTGAGTGTAAACGCACATGTGCATGTGTGGATGTGTGCATATATGTATGTATGTATGCCTGTGCACGTGGAAGTTGGCATCAGATGTCTTCCTCAATCATTCTCTTTATTTTTTGAGGCAAGGTCTCTCACTGAACCAAGTTGGCTAGCCAGTGAGCTCCAAAAATCTGACAGCTTCAGCATTTCCAGAACCAGCTCTTGGATTTGGCTGGGATCCAAACCCAGGTCCTCATGCCTACATGGCAAACACTTTACCACCTGAGCCATCTCCCCAGCCTGCATTCCCTTGACACAGCATCTGTTTTTTGAGATAGAGTTCCCATTTTGTGGCTTTACTCACATTCTCATTAGAGTTGCTAATAGGCTCTTCAAACAATTCTTTTCTTTAATAATCTTCATTAGACTTCAGACATCTCATCCAGAACTCTAAGCTACATTTTCATAAAAAAAAATTGCATAGACACATACTTTGAGTGCATCTCACAGGGCCAGACACCAAGTTAGTGACATGATATTGAGGAGGAAGGAATGGCTTGGCTGAAAGAAGCTTCAGAGGCCACAGAGATCAGAAACTCCAAGTGGGAAATACATGAGCCCACTGATCTGCTTGAGAATTGAAATGCAGATCACCTGGCTTTGCCTATGCCTATAGTGTTGAAATCATCTTTAGTTCCACATTTTTCTCCTTTTCAAATCTGTGCACAGTTCTCATTATATATCTCCATTGTACATGATACTGTGCTAAAGATACTTCTACACATACCTACATTATGCATAAACACATCCGCTCTCACACTGTCCACCTTCCCTTTTCTAGTCCCCATTTTTTACTCCTGCCAATCCCTTTAATCCCTCAGACAGCATTGATCCTACTTTCATACCATAAAAACACACGACTTCATGCATTTATATAAAAACCCACAAACTACAAATGAAGAAAAACTTGATATTGTCTATCTTCTTGAAACTGGCGCCTTTCCACTTGCATCCCTTTTCCTGAAAATGGAGCTGCTTCATTCTTTACTAGCCCCACTTTTTAAAAACAGATGCTTTTTATATAAGAACCAACATATCCAGCTGTTTTTCCCCCATGCTAGGGGTCAAACACAGGGCCGCATACAAGTTATTTGCCCCCCAAGCTACACTCCCAGATTACGATTTCTAGCTTAAAGAGGAAAAACCCATTGGTAATGTGAATTTCATTGGGACAGCAATTGGCTAAGGCTGAGGCTTGCATATGAGCTCAGGCTTTCCCATTTGCTCCTGACCCTACCATGTGTGTCCAGGTCTGTAGTCATTTCCATTTTCATGTCTCTCAGAGTTTAATATGCACACAACTTGCTGGAGATTCAGTTAAAATGCAGATTTGCATCCAAGTGTTTGCATTTCTTTTTCATCTTTTTGCTTTATTTTATGTGCAAACATGTTTTGGATGCATGTACATATGTGCACCATGTTGTAGACAGAATTTCTGTTCCACCTGGTCCCACAGCTGTCTAGCCCCAAGGAAACACACAGAGACTTACATTAATTATAAACTGTTTGGCCAATGGCTCAGGCCTCTTATTGGCTAGCTCTCTCTTAATTATTAGCCCATTTTTATTAGTCTAAGTATTTCGGCATGATCTTATCATACAGAGAACGTTCCAGCATGTTACTGTTTCAGGACTATATGCCTCCCTGGCAGCTTCTCTCTGCCTTCCTTTACCCAGAATTCTCCTCATCTGGTAGCTCCACCTGTACTTCCTTCCTGGCTACTGGCCAACCAATGTTTTAATCATCAACCAATAAGAGAAATTTATTTAGAGAAGAACCCCCCCCATCACCATGTGTGTGCCTGGTGCTGGCAGAAGTCACAAGAGAACCTCAGGTTCCCCAGACATGGAGTTTCAGATATTTGTGAGCCACCATGTAGGTGCTTGGAGCCAAACCTAGGAAATCTTTGAGATCAGTATGTGCTCTTAACAATTGAATCACCTCTTCAGCCCCAGGAAACTGTATTTCTAAAAGCAGGACACAGGCACTGTTGATCCACAGGGTGGATCTTCCCATGCAGGGGCTGACGTTTGGAGATTCAGGATGTGTCCTGGGTCACATACTCTGTTACACAGACTCTAGGAGCCAGGTATCTTGGCTCCAACGCCCTGTACTACCTTGCTACTGTTTGTTTCCACTTTATGAAACAGAAACTGGGGGAATCCAATAGGAACAAAGTAGAACTGAATATATTAAGTCACATTTGTGTATGGGGTCATTTACTTTGACAGATAAACTTGATTGACAAGGATGGTGCTTAACTACAATTTTCTCACCCTGCTTGTTTCAACAGTTCATACCTCAAGCCCAGCTGCGACTTTGGTCCTTGTAACTGGTAAGCTTTCTGCTCATTTTCCCACTCACTTTCTATCAAGGATGAAATGATGTTGAAATTCTACCAAGCTAGTTCAGTTTTACTCCTGGTTCTCCAAGAGTCACTTGCCTGAATTAATATCTCAAGAAGTAGATAAGATCCCAGAAGTAGACCAAGAGGGCCTCTCTGCAGCTAAGTTAAGACCAAGTTCAAGTCCAAGTCAAGTGCTTGCATACATGTATGTGTGAGTGAGCCTCTCTCACAGCCTGCTAATATGTTGTTGCTTTTTTTGCATACCCTTAGCTTTGAGCTCTCTGGCTATCCAACATTAGAGAAAAATAGGTTGGAGGTGGGGATATAAGGACTGGGAGAGCTAGCCCCATATTGGCAATGGCAGGGATGCTAGTAGATGCTACAATAGTCATATGGAGCAAAAAGGCCCACTTGCCCCAATGTCCTTTGAGATACCTCTGTGCCATATCCCAATACAAACAGAGATATTCTTCCTAATGAGTCCGGATCATGCAAGTAGCAGGTTTCATCTCAGGATTATACTATCTTGGGGTGTGTTTTGGATCTGGATGTTTAAACTCTTACTCAGAAAGGCATGAAATAACCACCCCTCACAACAGTTTTCCCAACAACAAAGGCAGACTGTAGTAAATGGTGGGATGGACTGTAACCAGAAAATGAATGAAAACTTCTGATCAGTTGACTAGCATTCCCACTTGTGCTTTGTATCCGGCATCCCTCCCACTTCAGTAACTCCTTCCCCTGATAATGGTCTCTGCCCACCACACTGCACAGGTAGGAGGGCAGGGTGTTTGCCATGACAGGGGCTAAAATGAGCACACAGCTTGAGAGTGGTTGTCACTGTCTTTGAGCAGACTGCCTCATCAAACCAGACCCAGGACTGGGAATAAGGGAGGATTAGTAGAGAGAGGGGAGCTCCTTGGCTTCGTAAGAGTTTCTGACAACACATACACAACACACACATACAGACACACATACCACACACACACACACACACACACACTGCACACAAAACACACACACAACAAACATACACACCACATACAACACACAATATACACATAGACATACACATATCATACATACACAACACACCACCACACCACATACCATACAGCACACGCCCCATACCACACCATACCACATACACACTAGACACGTACACACAAACATATACCCACAAAACACACACACAGAGTCGCCCTCATAGCACTCCATATCACTGCAATTTTCCAGCTCCTTGTGAAATGTTTGGTCTTGTCTGTCTTCCCATGAGACCGGCCTCTTTCCGAGGACTCAAATCATAACAGTTTTGTTGACATTCTCTCCAGTGCTGCCACACAGGAGCAGGCAATCAAGATAAGTTAATTAAATAAATGAAAGTCAGGTGTCAATGACTTTATAGGGTTTGACCATCTACCTTTCCTTATTTACAGGCTCTTTGGCAACTACTCCGTTTATAACCACTCCAACTGGTAATTTGAATGTTCTTTTTTGTTCCAGTTGCTCAAACAACTATTTACATCACTGAGTCTCCTTGACATTCATCCAGTGTCAGTGGGGCACCCAGTCTCCATTGTGCTGTTTAATCTAGTGAGATGGGCTGCTCATTTGTTGTGTAGCATTTAGAAAGAGAACCTCTTCAATGATCATACTGACAATAACATAAAGATCAATTAAAGGGCATTTATTTCATATGTCTATCCAAGCAAGCATATGTTATTCAAGTGTATGCAAATGTTCACGTGTGTATAAACCATAGAACAGTCTCAGATGTCTTCCTTAGTAATGTCAACCACTTCCTTACAAACAGGGTCTCTTCTTGACCTGGAGTTCACCAATTAGACTACCCTGGCTGGCTGGGGAGCCCTAGAGATCCTCCTATTTTTGCCTCCCTAGCACTGGGCTTGTTAGTGTATACCAGCATACCTGGCATTTTATGTGGGTTCTAGGAATCAAATTCCAGTTCTTATGCTTGCAAGGCAACTGCTTTACCTACTGAGTCACCTCCCCAGCCCAAACACTCAGAATACAACCTCCTGCTCACTGTATTTATATACAGACAGGTCTTTAACCTCAGCAGAATAGGAGGCTTCTTCTGGTGATGTTTTCTGATTGTCGTGGGTTTTTTTTTTCCCTGTAAAACTTTCCCCTCTTTCTATTAAGCAAATGAACTGAGCATGCCTCTTCTTTGTGTACAGACAGATCTTCAACCTCAACAGAATCAAGCCCTTCAAATGGTAAAGTCCCCCACTGTGCTGTTTCTCATTTGTCATGTTGCATTTAGATGACCCTACTTGATCATATCAGATACAAAGTAAGACCAATGAAAAGACAGAGCTAGCATTGTCCTGCTCTTTTTAAAGCCCCCTGTCCTCTGGGTTTCTACACAGATGCATCTCCAGCCTCAGCAGAAGAGGAGACACCCTCTGGTAACATTCTCAGCTTATACTTCTGAAATTAAATCTACTCAGTGCTTTTAATCTTTCTGTTTGGAGGGTGGCTCCAAGTGCATTTTTTCTTGTGTTTGTTCATTGACACTACTTCAGTGCCAGCACAAGTAACCTCTTCAACAGGAAAAGTCCCCCCCAAATGTTGCTTAGCTAAAGAGATATGCTTGTTCTCAAAGGTGTTTTTCAGCATGTTAAATTATATATAATAATGGGCTTCATCTTGACCTTTAGCATATTGTACATACTTATTTTACCATATTTATTCCACTACCCTCTCTTGTACCCCCCCATTCCAGCTGATCTCCCCCTCTACTTCCATGTGGTTTTTTGTGTGAACTAGTGAATATGAATTGGGCTGCTTACAGAAGCATAGAGAGGGGGTTATTTGTAGGAGCAGTAGTCAGACCACTGAAGAAAATGTCTCTCCATCCCCTAACCATCAGTTACTGACTAAAACTTAGAGAGGGGAAGGGACACATAAGTGTGCACTCTCCATGGCAGAATAATAGCAGGATCAGTATTGGGCATGTCTTGGGGCAGGTAGTCATACTTGCTGAAGTTGTGAGAGAGCCATAGGCATACCATGCCCAGAAGACGGTATGCCAGAATCACTGTGAGCCTTTCCCTGACACATTCTGTTTAGGCTTTGAAGTTTCTCATTTCCTTCTTATGTGAAATGTGAGTTTTTATAACTAACCACAGACTTAAATGAAACTCAAGATGATCCACCTCTTCTTCAACAGTGTTCCCTGATCTTGGAGGGGATGACATTTAAGTCAGTTGATATTAACACTTTGAGCAGTTATGAGTCTCTGAAGTCACTACTACCAACTGCAAAAAGAATCTTCCTGACCAAAGCAGAAACCAGCACCAATTTATGGGCACAAAGACAATAACTTAGATATCATCTTGACAGCCATTATCAATTCCATTTAGCAAAACAACACCTATCACACCCTATACCATCGGCTTTGACCAGGGTTACAGGACTGGGTTCCCAGAGAGCAGCCTCAAATCCAAACAGAAAAAAGTTGGGTATACCCACACAGTCATGCCACTCTTACACCAAGGGTACATTTCTCCTGGGAAATGAATAGTGTAACATGCAGAATTCACAGTGGAGTAAGACTGTTGATGACAGTGCTTCCCCAACAGTCTGAATAACACTGCCGAAAAGGAAGAAAGCTTACAGCTCAGTTCCACCTCAATTCCTGTATACCCAGCAAGCAAAGCGTGTGGTGTCGTCAGCTATAGAGATGGATTCTTTATTTGTCAAGTCATATTTAGAAAGTAATCCACTTAATGGTCATATTGGCTACAAAGCAAGGATCAATGAAAAGACACTCATTTCAGAGCATCCTATCTCTGGGTTTATACACAGATGCATCTTCATCCTCAGAAGAAGTGGAAACATCCTCAGGTAATGTTTTTGACTGTCACATTTCTTTAATACAACCAGAGATTTTTTTTCTTTCCATTTGGCAACTGACCCTAGATACATTTCTTCTACTTTTCATTCATATACATGTCTTCAAGTTCAGCAAAAATGACTTCTTCAGCTTGTAAAGTCTCCTATGATGCTATTTAACTAATGAGATAGTATTCTTACTTGTCATGTATTTAGAAAAATGAGCCTACTTATGACCACACTGACTACAAAGTAAAGATCAATGAAAGCCACTCATTTCTTCTCAGTATATGTATGTGTGTTCACGGGTGAAGGTGCATGTGTACGCATAGATGCTCTTGAGTACGGAGACTAGAGAAGGACCTCATGTGTCATTCTTAGGAATATCATCCACTTCCTTTAAGACAGGGTCTTTCACTAGCCTGCAGCTCACTAGTTAGACTGAATGGCTGGCCAGTAAGCCATATGGGTCCCCAGCGCTGAGCTTACAAGCACACACCAGCACTCCCAGCAATTTTACATAACCCCTGGGAATTGAGCTCAGATTCTCCTGCTGAGCTATCCTTCCAGCCCAAGACATTTATTTTAAAGCCTCCCATTTTTTTTTTTCCGGATTTATATACAGATGTATCTTCATCAGCGGGAGTGGCCTCCTCTGGTAATGTTTTCTACGTGTCATGTTTCTTAATTTAAATAAAATGAGAGCTTTCTTCCTCCAAATTTGTAAATTATCTGGCTGTGCCTTTTCCTCTCTTTGTCTGTAGGTACTTCTTCAACCTCTGCAGAAACAAGCTCTTCCAATGGTAAACACATAGCTGTGCTTAACTAATGAGAGGTGTTTCTTATTTGTCATGTTGTACTTAGACACTGAACCTACTTAATGGTAACACTAACCACAAAGTAAAGATAGTGAAAACACCTCAAAGTACTGTCTTATTCATGTTTTTTTATTTATTTTATATAACCAAGTCCATTTAAATGAAAACAAACATTTATAGACAATATTTGGGAATTTGGATGTCATTCTTTCCAAATTACTTCTTGCTGGTTAGGGGTGCTATCATGAGGATTCTAAGAAGATGCAGAAATCCTAGCTGTAGTCTGTAAGGCTGCTTTGTCCAGCTGTTTTGAATGTAGGATGTCTTATTCATGTTTGAGCATCTTCTTCTCTTGGCTTACCCACAGATGCATCTTCAGCTTCCACAGAAGATACCTCCTCTGGTAATTTTTTTTTTTTTTTGTCGTTGTTTGTCTTTTGTTTTGTTTTGACTGTCAAATTTCTTATTAAACCCAGTAAGAGATTCTCCTCTTTCTGTTTGGAAAGTGACCACACATACATTTCTTCTCCTCTTGGCTCATAGATATAACTTCAACCTCAGTGGAAATGGAGAGTGGAGAGTCAACAGGTAAAGTCCTTCACTGTGCTGTTGTATTTTAACTAACAGAATGTGGGTTTTGTCTTTGAGGTTTTTTATTATCATGTATTAATTACACATAAAAGGATTAGTTATGGCATTTTCATACATGTGTATACTGTATTAACCCTCATCATTATCTCCTGCCCCCCCCCACACACACACACACTCTAGTCTTTGTTTCTTTTCCAGTGTGGCCTCTACTCTCACATCTTTATTTCATAAACTTATCAGTTTAATTAGGTTATTAGAAGATCCCCAGTAGGGAGTCATTTGCAAGATTATTGACAATTTACCAGGGACTACACCACTAAAACTGTCTCCTTCTTCCAGCAACTGTTCACTGCCTATAAATCATCAGGGAGGGGTGAGTTCTCACAAGCGCCTCCCTCCTCTTTGGTGGAGTGATGATGAGCCTGATGTTGTGCTTGTCTTATGCAGATAAGCACTGCTACTGAGTGTTTAAGAGCCCAACAGCCATAGCCACAACACTCCACCCTTTCCTCATACAGTCTCTTCTTGCCACCCTACCCCCATGATATTTCCTGACACTTGGAAGGGGTGATACAGATGCCCCATTCAATGGAGACTTACTGTTAGAACTTGAGCAGTTATGAGTCTGCACAGTAACCACCAGCCACTGCAAAAAGAAACTTCTCTGGTCAAAGCTGATACTATACTAATCCAAGGGCATAATTGTAAATGTTTCAAAGAAAATTTGATAGGCACACAATGTTCACTTAACAATACAACAGATATAGCTTCACCACTAAGATTTATCACATCTCCAGGTTAGGTTTACAGTGCCAGATATAATTCCACCACCCACAATGAGTACAAGCTTGAGTTCAACCAGAAAGGAGTTGGTTGCTCCCCTATCAGATCTGTCACTCTTGTGCCAGCAGGAATATCTTGCCTGGAAGGTCAGTATTGTAGCCTGCAGGTTTCACAGCTGAGAAATGCTACTAATGACCGCTCTTCCCCAGAACTCTGCAATGTATTTCCCAATACTGTGAAAGCTAGCCAGTAGAGAGAAAGCTTGCAGCTGAGTTCCAGCTTTATTTCTGAATGCTCTATGTAAGGAGTAGGGTTTTTCCACCCGTCGCCTAGTCTTGTCCAGCCGCCGCACCAGCCCCAAATAATACACAGAGACTCTGTATTTGATACAATGCTGTTGGACCGGTTACTAGTTTCTTATCCGCTAGCTCTGTCTTAATTATTAGCCCATTTCTATGTATTTCCACATGGTCTTACCAGGGAGAGGCGGCTGACTGTTCTTCCTTCTCCAGACTCTCCATCTTGGCTCCTCCTTTCTACTTCCTCTTTCCTCCTTGTCTCCTAGTCCCTCCTATCTTTCTTTCCTATTGACCAACAGTGCTTTATTCATTAACCAGTACGAGAGACATATATACATAATGGCATCTCCCATCAGCCCTGCAAGCAAAATGTGTGGCATTTCAGCAATGGAGATAGCTTTCATATTTGTCATGTCATATTTAGGAGATGCACCTATTTAATGATTATAGTGACCACAAAATAAACAAACCAATGAAAGCCACTCATTTTAAAGTACTTTGTCCTCTGGATTTATACACAGATGCATCTTCAGCCTCAGCAAAAGACACCTCCTCTGGTAATGTTTTTGACTGTCAATTTTCTCATTAAACAGTTTTTCCTTTTTCTGTTTGGCAAAAGGATCAAGGTATATCTCCTCCTCTTTATCCACAGCTGTTTCTTCAAACTCACTAATTAGATGGTTCAATAATTTTTGGTCATGTTGTGTTTAGAAAATAAGTCTACACATGGTCCCATTGATCACAAAGCAATGACCAAAGGATACACATGTGCACGCATGCATGGCACGTGTGTTGCTCATGTACATATGTGTTGTTCAGACGATGTTGCACCAGTGTGCACAAATACATGGAGGTTGGAGGACAATGTAGGGTGCCAGTTTCAGGATCACATTCCATCTCCTTTGGGACAGGGTCTCATTGGCCTGGAGCTCACTAATTGACCACAGGCACATGGTTCCTCTCGTACGTCTGTCTCCCCAGTGCTGGGATTAAAAGCACATATCACTCCAAACATTTTTTTACATGGCTCCTGGGAACTGATCTCAGAGTCACAAGTTTTCAAGGCAAGTGCCTCTTACCTACTGAGCCATCTTCTTGGCCCAAGACATTAATTTTTACAACTCCCTATTTTCTGGATTTCTACACAGATGCATCTTCTGTCTCTGCAGAAGACACCTCCTCTGTTATGTTTTCTGCCTGTCATGCTTTCACATTAAACAAATGACAGACTTTTCGTTTTTATTTGCTAAATTATCTAAATATTTATTTCTCTTTGTCTGTAGATACTTCTTCAGCCTCAGCAGAATCAGGCTCTCCAACTGGTAATGCTGTTCCCAAATATTCTGTTTAGATAAATGAAGTGAATTTCTTATCAGTCATGTTGTAATTAGAACATGAGCCCATTTAATAGTCACACTAACCACAAAATAAAGCCCAGTGACAAGAAACACATCTTTCACATGCTTGTGAATGATGTTTGTATGGAGACTATGAGCACTATTCTACATTTGTGTGTGAGGCTGGAGGAGGACCTCGATGCCATCCTTGGGAACGTTTGTTCACCTCCTTTGAGGCAGGGTCTCTCATTGACCTGGATGGAGCTCAATAATTAGGCTAGAGCTACTGGACACAGAGCTATGGGTATCCTCCTTTCTCTGTCTTGCTTGTGCAGGGAAGATAGGGCAAACAACCACTCCCAGCATTTGTATGTGGATGACCTGAATTGATCGCAGGTTCCCATGTTTGTAAGATAAGTGCTTTACCTACTGAGCCATGCTCCCAGTCCAGTATACTCATTTTAATGCATCTTACATTCTGGGTTTATAGATATAGATGCATCTTCATCAACAGAAGATCCCTCCTCTGGTAAATTTTATACCTGTCATAGTTCTTAAATACAGTGAAAGCTTTTACTCTTCATATTGGATAAAGGACCTAGCCCTGGCTCTTCTTTCTTTGTCTACAGGCATTTCGTCAACCTCAGCTGAATCAAGCTCTCTGAATGGTAAAGTACTCCATTGTGCTGCTTACCTAGTGAAGAAATCCCTTATTTGATATTGTATATTTAGACAGTAAATTTATTTAATAACCACATTGTCTACAAAGTAAAGCTAATAAAAACCAACACAAGTACAATTTTATTCATTTTAAAGCATCCTGTTCTCTGTCTTTCTACACAGATGCATCTTCAGTCTCTGCCAAAGACACCTCCTCTGGTAATTTTTCTGCCTGTGTTGTTTTTACATTAAACAAATGATAGCCTTTTCTCTTTCTGTTTAGCAAATTATCTAAATATTTCTCTTTGTCTGTAGATACTTCTTCAGCCTCCGCAGAATCAGGCTCTCCAAGTGGTAATATCCCCAATATTAAGCTAAATGAAACAAATATCTTATCAGTCACAACAGAGATCTCCTCTTGTAATCTTTTCAGTCCATCACAGTTCTTAAGTGAAACAGAACCATAGTTTTTCCTCTATCTGTTTGGAAAGTGATCACACATACATTTCTTCTTCTCTTTGCTCATAGATATGTCTTCAACCTCAGCAGAAGGAAAAAAAGGAGAGCCAACTGGTAAAGTCCTTCACTGTGTTGCCTAAACAATGCCATGCTTCTTTTAATCCTTAATTATGTGTAGTGGGTAGTACATACATATGTACATATGAGTGTGGTGCTCATGGAGACCAGAGATTGGGATCCAATTGGAGCTGGAGTTACAGACAGCTGTGAGCCACCAATGTGAGTTATGGGGAATGAACTTGAGACTTCTGGAAGAACAGTTAGCAGTCTTAACCCCAGAGAAATCTCTCCATCCTGCCTTTTTAAAAATAATATTTAGATCTACATAATCATGAATTTCATTATGATATTTTCATGTGTACATAGCGTACTTAGTGATACTCACATAGAGTGCTCCGTCCAGTCCTGTTCCTCTTCCCAGTGAGAATCTCTTCTACTTTGTTACCTTTTCATTTTATATGCCAAGGAGCTGATTTGGGTTACTGGAGAAGCATAGTTTAGGGTTATTTCTGGAAGCATTGGCAACTCTAGCAGTGGTTCTGCCACTAAAGCAGATGTCTGTCCTTCACATAGCAATCAGTAATTGTATAGACCCTTAAGGAGTGCCAGGCCTCATGAGTCTCCCACTTCCATGACAAGGATTACAGCTTCAACCTTGGGCAAGTCATGTGCAAGTAATTACATTGGTGGAGAGTTCAAGTGGGCAATTGTACCACTCCATCCCCAGAAAATAATGATCCACAGCTCTCCATCACTTCCTCCAGCTTTTACACTAGCTTTGTTTTAAAGTATTTTAATGTGTTCTTCGTGATGAAGTATGTGTCATTAGAGCTAACTACAATAAAACCAAGATAAACCTGTCTACTATTACATGCTACACCCTGATCCTGGAGAGGAAACAGATGTGCCCAAACTAAGGCTGAGCATTCAAGTTACTTGTTATCATCATTTTGATCAGTTATGAGTCTCTACAGTAACTACCAGCCATTGCAAAAAAGAAGCTTCTTTGACCAAAGCTAAAACCAGCACTCATCACAACACAATTACTTAGATGTCAGCTTGACAGCAATGTCACACCCATTAGCAAAGCAACAATCGCAGCTTTGGCACTAAAGCCTATCATCTCTGGTACCATGGACTTTTGACTAGGTTTCAATACAGAACTCCTATAGAGTAGCCTCATATCCAGTAAGAAAATAGTTGCTTACATCTACAACAATTATGCCACTCTTACACTGGTAGACATACCTTGCCTGGAAAGTCAGTAAGGTAGCCTGGGAGGTTCACAGTTGAGAGATGCTACTGCCGACCCATCTTCCCCAGCATCTTCCTTACCATCTTCAGACACTATGGAAGCTAGCCCCTGGGGGAAAAGCTTCTAGCTCAGTTGCAGCTTTATTTCTGTGTGTTCTTCCAGCAAAGTGTATGGTAACTTCACCAATGAACATGTTTTTCCTATTTGCTATTCATATTCAGAAAATTAACCTACTTAAATCATATTGACCATAAGGCAACGATTAATGAAAGACTGTCACTTTTTAAGAAATCATCCTGTTCTCTGGATTTACACACAGATTCATCTTCAGCCTCAACAGAAGAAACCTCTTCTGGTAATGTTTTGAACCTGTCACATCTATTAATTTAAACAAGCAGAGCTTCCCCTTTTCATTACAAAAATAATCTAAGGGTGCCTTTTTCCTATGGGTCTATTGCTGTTTCTTTAACTTCAAGTAAAGCAAGCTCTTCACCTCATAGACTCCCTCATTGTGCTGCTTAAATATTCAGATAGTTTTCATGTCATATTTTTAAAATACTCCCAGTTAATGATTCTTATGTGATAATGCATGCACATGATAGTGTTCTTGCACCTGTATACAAATGTATGTGGAGGTTGGACGACACTGTAGGGTGCCAGTTTCAGGAGGGTCTCATTGGCCTGGAGCTCACTAATTGGGCTAGAGTGACTTTGACCACAGGCACAGGGTTCCTCTCGTACCTCTGTCTCCCCAGTGCTGGGATTAAAAGCACATATCACTCTAAACATTTTTTACATGGCTCCTGGGAACTGATCTCAGAGTCACAAGTTTTCAAGGCAAGTGCCTCTTACCTACTGAGCCATCTTCTTGGCCCAAGACATTAATTTTACAACTCCCTATTTTCTGGATTTCTACACAGATGCATCTTCTGTCTCTGCAGAAGACACCTCCTCTGTTATGTTTTCTGCCTGTCATGCTTTCACATTAAACAAATGACAGACTTTTCGTTTTTATTTGCTAAATTATCTAAATATTTATTTCTCTTTGTCTGTAGATACTTCTTCAGCCTCAGCAGAATCAGGCTCTCCAACTGGTAATGCTGTCCCCAAATATTCTGTTTAGATAAATGAAGTGAATTTCTTATCAGTCATGTTGTAATTAGAACATGAGCCCATTTAATAGTCACACTAACCACAAAATAAAGCCCAGTGACAAGAAACACATCTTTCACATGCTTGTGAATGATGTTTGTATGGAGACTATGAGCACTGTTCTACATTTGTGTGTGAGGCTGGAGGAGGACCTCAATGCCATCCTTGGGAACGTTTGTTCACCTCCTTTGAGGCAGGGTCTCTCATTGACCTGGATGGAGCTCAATAATTAGGCTAGAGCTACTGGACACAGAGCTATGGGTATCCTCCTTTCTCTGTCTTGCTTGTGCAGGGAAGATAGGGCACACAGCTACTCCCAGCATTTGTATGTGGATGACCTGAATTGATCTCAGGTCCACGTGTTTGTAGGATAAGTGCTTTACCTACTGAGCCATGCTCCCAGTCCAGTATACTCATTTTAAAGCATCCTATTTTCTGGGTTTATAGATATAGATGCATCTTCATCAGCAGAAGATCCACCCTCTGGTAAATTTTTCTGCCTATCATGTTTCTTAAATACAGTGAAAACTTTTACTCTTCTTATTGGGCAAAGGACCTAGCCCTGGCTCTTCTTTCTTTGTCTACAGGCATTTCGTCAACCTCAGCTGAATCAAGCTCTCTGAATGGTAAAGTACTCCATTGTGCTGCTTACCTAGTAAAGAAATCCCTTATTTGTTAGCCAGTAAACTTATTTAATGACCACATAGACTACAAAGCAAAGCTAATAGAAACCAACCCGGGCATAATTTTATTCATTTCAGAGCATCCTGTTCTCTGCGTTTCCACACACAGGAATCTTTAACCACAGCAGAAAGCTCCCCTGGTGATATTTTCACCCCATCACAGCTCTTAAGTGAAACACAATCATAGTTTTACCTCTTTCTGTTTGGAAAGTGATCACACATATGTTTCTTCTTCTCTTTGCTCATAGATAAGTCTCCGACCTCTGCAGAAGAAAAAAGTGGAGAGCTAAGTGGTAACGTCTTTTCGTGAGTTGTTTTAACTAGTGACAAGTGCTTGTTGTGACCATTTCCCACTTGTGTATAGTGTGCTGTGATTATATTCACCTCCATCACTCTCCTCCGTGTCCCTCAGACTCTTAATAATTCTGTTTCTCTTCCCAGCTAGACCATCTTCTACTTCATGGCTTTGTTTTATGAACTACACAGTTTAGTTAAGGTTCCTAGCAAAGAGTATGTGAGGAGTCACTGAAGAGAGCACAGACAACTTATCAGTGCCTACAACACCAAAGAAAGCCACCCAGCTCCCCTTCACTCTCCCTCAGCAGCCATCAACTGCCTATAGAGCCTCAGGGAGGGATTAGGACTCAGGAGCTCCTCCTCTTTCCACAATGGGATGATGATGAACTCAGTCTTGTGCAAGTCTTGTGTAAATAATCACAGCTGCTGAGAATCAAGAGGGCAACATCTGTCATGCTCAGAAGACAGTGTTCTAGAACACCCTAGGACTTCCTCCTGCTGTTATGTTCTTTCCACTCCCTCTTCTATACAGTTTCCTGAGACCTAGAGGAGGCAATATTGGGGTCTTCTTTGGGGCTAAACATAAAATCACTTATTCTCAGCACTTTAGAAAGTTGTGAATCTCTGCAAGAACCACAAACCCTTGCAAAAGCAAACTTCTCTGGCCAAAGCCAGAAGTAACACTAACCTATGAGCATGCCTATGAGTATTTAGAAATCAATTTGACAGTCACATTGTACCCACTTAGCAAGACACCTACAGTACCTTCCCCACTGTGGCATATCACCTACCCAGACCCGGTTTATAATACTAGATATAAATTTCCTTCTTTGGAGAGGGCTTCAAATCCAGTCAGAAAGTGTTTGGTTACTCCTATAAGACTCATGCCCTCTTATACCTGCATATTAGTAGTACAGCATTAAAGATTAACAGCTCAGTAAGACTTTATGACATTTATCCCCCAGCAGCTTGATTAGAACCTCCCAGCACTGTGAAAACTAGCCAGCAGAGAGAAAACTTCCAGTTCAGTCCCAGTTTTATTTCTTTCTTTAATTTTGATAGTATTATTTTTATTAAAATTTGCAACAAGCTTGTTTTACATGTCAATCCTAGTTCCTCATTCTCCCCCTCTCCTTTGTCTCCCTCCCAATGCTCATCCCATCTCCTTTCTGCTCCCCAGGAAAGGTAAGGCCTTCCATGGGGAATCTTCAAAGTCTGTCACATCATTTTGAGCAGGCCCCAGGCCCTTCTCCATGTGTCTAGGCTGAGAGAGTATCCCTCTATGTGGGATAGGCTCCCAACATCTGTTTTTATACTAGGGATAAATACTGATCCACTACCAGAGGCCCCATAGACTGCCCAGTCCTCCTAACTGACGCCCATGTTCAGGGGGTCTGGGTCAGTCCGGTGCTGGTTTCCCAGCTATCAGACTGGGGTCCATGAGCTCCCCCTTGTTCAGGTCAGCTGTTCCAGTTTTATTTCTCCATGTCCTGCACCCCAAGAATTTGTGCCTTCATTAACATTAACATACATGTGTTTCTTATCTGTCGTATTGTATTTAGAAAATGAACCTACTTAATGATTCTATTGATCACAAACCAAAGATCAATAAAAAGACACTTTCTAAGCACCATGCTTTCTGTATTTTTACACAGATGCATCTTCATCCTCTGCAGAAGAGACATCCTCTGGTAATACTCTCTATCACATTAAGTTAAACCCAATTTCAGTCTTCCTCCTTTTTGCCAAATGGAAACAGTTGTGCATCTCCTGTTGATCTCTAGATGTGTCTTCAACCTCAGCAGAATCAAGTTCTACAACTGGTAAGTCCCCCTGTTCTGCTGCTTAATACTGAGCTGAGTTTCTCATTTGTCATGTTAAACTTAGGAAGTGCGTATTTAATAATCACTTTGGCATCAAATACCAATCAGTGAAAGAAGGTTCATTTTAAAGCACCTTCTTCTCTGGATTCCTACACAGATACATCTTCATCCTCAGCAGGAGAGACGAGCTCCTCTGGTAATGTTTTCTGCTGTCACATTTCTTTTTTATTAAATTTTTTCATTTATTTTACATATCAACCAGTTTCCCTCCCTCATCTCTTCCCATTCTCTCCCCCAACTTCCTGTCTACCCCCTCCTCCATCCACTCCTCCTCTATTCAGAAAGAAGCAGGACTCCCATGGGAATCAACAAAGCATGGTTTATCAAGTTGAGGCAGGACCAAGCCCCTCCTCCTACATCAAGGGTGCATCCCAGCATGAGCAATAGGTTAGACAGTTCATGCATCAGGGACATGTCCTAATCCCATGGCTAGAGACCCTGCATCAAAGCTACACAGCTGTCACCCACATGCTGAGGGCCTATGTCAGTCCCATGAAGGCTCCCTAGCTGTTGATCTAGAGTGGGTGAACTTCCACTAGCTCAGGTAAGCTGTCTCTGTGGGTGCTCCCCCGTTCCTGCCTGTCAGGATCTTGACCTCTTCTTTCTTGTACAATCCCTCCTCCCTCTCTTCAGCTGGACCCCCAGAGCTAAGCCTGGTGCTTGGCTGTGGATCTCTACATCTGCTTCCATCAGTTACTGGTTGAAGGTTCTCTAATGATAATTAGGGTAGTCACCAATCGGATTACAGGGAAGACAAGTTCAAACACCCTCTCCACTACTGCTAGGACTCTTAGCTGGGGTCATCCTTGTGGATTTCTGGGACTTTTCCTGGCACCATGTTCTCCCTAACCCCAAAATTGCCCCTTATATCAAGATATCTCTTTCCACTCTCCCCTTTCATCCTGCCCCCAACTCGACCAGCCAACCCGATCCCTCATGTCATTTTATGCACATTTTGTTTTTGTCTTCTCCACACATGGCATACATGTAATATTCCATTCTAGTAAGCCCCTTTCTATTTTGTCACATGGGTTCTATTAACCCTCTTCTTTCTTAAAACTTTCTCTTCTCCTCCCACAGCCCCCTTCTGTTAATTGACCAATATCTGTACTCATATACTTATATATGCATGTCTAGAAAGATTTAAAACTAGGATCTTAAGATGAGAGAGAATGTGGTATTTCTCTTTCTGAGTTTGTTACCTCACATAATATAATAACCTTCAGTTCAATAAATTCTCTTTTGGAGTTCATCATTTCATTTTTCTTTATAGCTGAATAAAGTTCTGTTGTGTGTGTGTATCACATTTTCGTTATCCACCCATCTGGTGATGAACATCTAGTTACTGTGAATGCTGTAGCAATAAACATGGACATGCAAGTGTCTCTGTGTTAGGGCTTAGACGCCTTGGGTATACACTCTGCAGTAGCGTGGTTGGGTCATATCGGAGTTGTAGTTTTGGTTTTCTGAGAAACACTCATGTGGATTTTCATAGTGGTTCTCTCTCTACCTGTTTATACTTCCACCAGTATTGAATAAGTTCTCCATATCTTCACCAGCATTTGACCATTTAATTTCTTGATTGCAGCCATTCTGAATGAGCCAAGAATTCTTTTAAATTATGTGTATGAGTTTGTGTAAAGATGTGAAGGCAGGTGCTCTTTGAGTCCTCTGTAAGAGAAGTACTAGCTCTTAACCACTGAGCTAACTCCCCAGCCCTAGAAGTAGTCTTACCTTCCATTTCCCTGATGGGCTAAGGATGTACTTGTTCATTGTTTGCATTTCTTTCTTTTTGAATTGTATATTCCATTGTCAGCCTCTCTATTGACTGACAGTTTAGGGTTTAGGGATTTCTTTTTTGCAGTCCTTTATGGATTCTAGATGACAGCCACCTGTCTGAATTTTCTATTTTGTGGGCTGTGTGTTCACTCTGCTGATGGTTTCCTTTGCTGTACAGAAGATTTTAAGTTCATGTAGTCCCATTTTTCAATTATTTGATTTATTTACTCTGTTAATAGAGGCCTATTCAAAAAGCTTTTGCCTATTTCTGCGTCTTTAAGGGTTTTCCCCCATGTTGTCTTCTAGCTGTTTCAGCATTTTGTGTTTTACATTAAGGCCTCTGGTCTATCTTGAATTGATTTTGTGCAGAGTGAAAGATCTAGACCTAATTTCATTCTTCCATAGCCACCCAACTTATTGACCAGGCCTTTTCTCCCCTTCATATGTTATTTTCTGTCCCCAAGGGTTAAAATCTCATTACCAAGCCTTTCCTTGTTGCTGAACATAAAATAAAAGTGTTGTTACAATCTGAAAGTTACACAGTTGACTTAATAATCATAGCTATCCATACTTTAGCAAGAGACTTACATGAAAAACCAACAACCTTTACAATTCTGTTAGAGCAGGGCTCCCAAGATTGGTGTTGGAGATTACCACTATCAATGGGAGAGTAAGTGAGGGAAAGCAGAGTCCCACAGGAACTACTCTTTGGCTCTCTGAGTGGGTGGGTCCCCTGAAATTTGTATCACAGCTTTTGTAAACACCTATCAAAGCTACAAGCAATCCCATTAATACCCATTGACTGATTGATGCTGTTTTTGCAAGTCATTTGGGGTATTAATAGTTTTCTCCTTCATCATCTGTTCCTCTCTCTCTCTCTCTCTCTCTCTCTCTCCCTTTCCTGCTTTCTTCCTCATCTTCACCTTCATCAGCTTCTCCATCATGTCCATATTCTTTTCCTTCACCAATGACTTCATCTTTGCCATCTTCTCCTTCTATACCTTCATCTTCTTCTTCATCAAACTCTTCTTCCTCACCATCCTCATCTTCTTCATCCTCCTCATCATCATAGCATCAACCTTTGTATCTGAATGAGGCTTCCTGATTCTCTTGGTGATAATCAATTGGGGCAGGAGTTTGAGGACACACTCTTGGTAATTATTCAGGTTAGTGACCTCACAGTCAACAGATCCAAATTTTTTTAGATCATCCAAGGTTTTCAGAAGTCTTAAGGTCCTGATATCTTTCCATATATTTCCACTTAGACCTCGTTGTGTAAGACTTTTCTCAATATGTCCAGACCTCTAGATATTCTATCTCTGAGCTCAAGATTTTTTTATTTGAACCTGAAATCAAGCCTACACTAATTAAAATGAGGAACTCTAAGTTCACAAATATTGCTGTTGACCTCTAGAGTTTTCCATAATTTGATTTTCAGTTATCCAACACAAACCCTCTAACAGCTGGTTCCTCAGCTCTTGGTAGATACAATTCCTCATGTCCATGGTCCCTTTGTGCCTTGTATTTAAATTTAACTTCCTATGGTGGGAGTAAAGAAGGAAGTTGTGTTCTTGGCTGTGGGAGGAGTTGACTGGCAGTCCAGTCTGGCCCCCCTGCAGATGAGCATGGCCCCTGGGGCTCCCTCTATCCCATGGCTTCTTAGGCTTGATCTCTTGCAAGTTGAGTCGTATTTGCTGATTTTTCTTCTTTATGTATTCCAGGCTGTATTATTTTTTCAGCTTGTGGTAGAACGCTGAAATTCATTCTTCTGCTTGGTCTTGTCCAATGGTGACACTTCCTGCTGTGCTTTTACTTAAGTGACCCTTTCAGTTCCAGAATTTCTGTTGACTTTTCCAGTGCCAGTCCTGTGAACCGGCCATGGTTAATACTAGCCAGGAAGTTAGCAGTGGTGGCAGTGTCCCTACTAGGTGCCAGCAACAGGACAACTTGCTTCAGTCCACACTCCATTCACATTTAACCTAGCCTCTCATAGTACCATTTGAGGGAGATGTTCTCTGGAAAATACAGCTAACAGTGGATATTAGGTTAGAGGGTTGTCTGGAACACTGTAGTAGCACAATAAGTCCCTCTCAATTATGTTCATGTTTACACAACACAGCTTCTAAGTCCCCATCTAACTCAGAAGTTCACATTTATGAAACACAAGGGGAGCCTTTCCCTTTCTATTTGGCAAATAACATCGTGATGTCTCATCTTTTTGTCCATAGATACTTCTTCAAGCTCAGCAGAAGCAAGTTCTCCAAATGGTAAGTTCCCATTGTGCTATTTAAAGAGATGTGTTTCTTAATCCAGCGCCTTAGACCACCCAGCCATGCTAACAAGAGGTGTGTTTTTATTCATTAGTTTTGTTTCAAAACTTATTCTGCTTAATGATTATATTGACCACCAAGTAAAGACAGTGAAAAATGCCCTCAGTGTCTTTCAGTAGAATTTAAAGCATCCTGTTCTTTTGGGTTTAGTCACAGATGAGTCTTCAGTTGCAGCACAGAAGATGTCTGGTAATCTTCTCAGCCTGTCACATTTCTTAAGTCACGCCTATTCAGGGCTTTCCTGCTTTCTTTTGGCAACTGAAACTAGCTATGTCTCTTCCACTCTTCATAGATTCTTCTTCAACCTCAGCACAACTGACCTCTCCAAGTGGTAAGCCCCCATCGTGGTCCTTAAGCTTACATAATGGGTTTCTAGTTTGTCATATCATATTTATAAAAAATAGCCTGTTTCATGATCCCCTTGCCATTAAATCAAGATTAATGCAAAGACATTCATTCAAAGCACAGTCTCCTCTGCTTCACACACAGATGCTGCCAAGATCTCCTGCAATCTTTTCAGTTTCTTAACTGAAACACAACTATAGCGTTTGCTCTTTCCATTTGGGCGTGAACCCTCAGTGTGCAGAACTTTGTCTATGACATAAGCCCACTATACATAGAAACCCCACATCCTCTCCACAAAGAGGATTTCCTTCACATAGACACTGAAGTGGTCCTTCCATGGCAGACACCTTCTGCCTTTGCCCTAATGTTGGTCAGATGGACCTGAGAGAAGCTGGGCAGAAGGTACATATCTCATTTCATTAGTTCCGTTGTTTCAGGTCATACTTTGACCTAGCCAACACAACAAAAAAGCACACACACATGCGCGCATGCACATACACACACACACACACACACACACACACACACACACACACACCAAATAGGTTGTGACAGAAAGTATATTTATTTGTTCTTTTTACACCACACTGTTGGTTTTACACCATGCTGCTGGTCAAACCAAAGCATTCTTCTCCATTTTCCACTTCAGACAAGCCCCCCCCCCTTCCCTGGCCATGCTCCTTGCTCCAGGGAGCCACTCTCTGAGAATCTTCACCAAACAAAAACAGGCCCAGAATAACGGGTCTGGTTTCCCCAGGAGTCAGAAGAGAGGAAAATGGTGCCAAGAGAGGCCAGTCAGATCCCAGAGAACACACAGACCTCCACTGCTTTTAACTCTACACTGTGATGGCAGGTAGATGCTGGGGACAGGATGAACAGCTAACATGCCTCAGATGCAGAGCCAGGAGGAGAATGTAGAAATGATCTCTTAATTTCAGAGGAAAGTAAGTTACAAAGAAGAAACACATTTGTTTAAGATCACAGAGCTATGGCAAGACAAAACCAGGTGTTGCAACACTCATCCAAGGCCCTTCCAATGTCCTGGGTTTGCTAGAGAATCCTGTGATCCCTGTGACATTTCTGTCTTCAGTAATAAGCCCTCTGCTGCTCTGTCTGTCACTAATGTGACCTTTAACCCTTACTTTCCTTCTTTTCCAGATCACCGCCCTGAGCTGCACAGCTTATGCTCCCAGAACACGGAATAGTTAGAAAGAACATGGGCCCTGGGGCTTGAGGGTTTAAGCTGAGAATGACCTGCTCCTGTTATACAGGAGACTTGCTCTGGAGTCTCCATTTTTTCAATGTTAAAGCAGTGATAAAATCCCCTAGATTAGCTTTTGTAGGGGATTAGATTATCTGGCACACTGGAGATGTGCACAATAACAGTGTTCTTAAGTCGTGTTCCACAACACCATCTTCCCATACACCCTTCTGTACTGACATGTGCAAACACACACACAATACATGCATACTGCTCTGGAGCAGGCTTACTATTGTAGACCCTTAGTCTAATGTAGAATTTCAATGAAGCCACATTTTAATCCCTTCTTTTCACCAATTTCTTTTTCAGCCACAGTTCCAACTTTGACAAAAGTGACTCTACCACCTGGTAATGATCACCGTGCTTGTTGCCAGAGTAAAACTCTGTTCTCTACTCTATGCTACCACATTTCATCTCATCATGTGTTGATAACTTTTCTACCTGACTTCCCTCTGTGTAGTTAATACAGTGTTCCATCTCCCTCACCTAAAAGTGCACCTGAGGAATATGGTCTTCCCCTTTATTCCCAGCCCTTATAAAAAATATTGCCTAATGCCAGATATGGTGGCACATACCTTCAGTTGCCAATACTCAGGAGGCAGAGGCATGTGAGTTTCTATGAGTTTGAATCGACTTTTTTATATAAGAAGTTCCAGGGGCTAGCCATGACTAAGTAATGAGATCAAAAAAACAACAACAAAAAAAAAGTTGCCTATAAAATTGAACTACTTTGTTTTTTTTCCTTAAAAAGTCGGCAGATAAAGTTCTTTAGATTTTTTTTTTTTGAGCATTTAACAAATTGTTTTACTCTTGACGAAAAAAACAAAACAACATTTGTCACATTTTGATGCCAAGAAAGTAAAACATCATGGATAGCATTCCTGTGCTCAATTGATTGGGGTCTGAAATGACAGAGAGGATTTTTCCCCTTCAGCTTGAAGCTGAAATTCGTGCCTGTGAGAGTGCACATTTGTAAACCTCTAATATTTTACACTCATGAGGCAATTATCCCTTCACCTGGTAGATTTTGCATCTTTCTACTCACTAAAATGATAAGGTGTCTATTGATACTGTTATGATCCTTCTTTTTCACTTTTTCACATTTCTTTTTCACTTAGATTTCTTTCCCCTTACAGGAAAGAGTTACAAGCCTGTAGGTACATTACATGCTGACATTTGCACAGTGTGGGTCATGCATGCCTTCAAGACCTGGCTCAAAAGATCCCCTCATGTATTCATGAGTCACACTTTTTCCTCCCTGTTGCTCAATGCAAGCCAGGACCTCGCCAGGGGAATACTCTCTCCACTGATCTGCAAACTCAGCCCATTCTTCTAGCTATACAAGTATCTTGCTTTTGGTGTTTTAATACCAATTAGGCCAAGAGAGGGCAGCGACACTAGACCATCACTGCCAGGGTTTCGGCACCAAAATGTTGTTCTTTCTTTACAGTTATAAGAATAAAAGCTAGAGAAGGGGGGAGGGGTGGTCCCGAGTGAGGGTCCCAAGTGAGTGGGGGTCCCAAGGTAAGGGATCACGTGGGAGAGCATAACAGGTTCCATAGCAGGTGAAGGTGACCAAGGTGGCAAGGCAGAGGGAGTAACACTCCAGGCAGATAGAGCTTGAATGAGGAGTTTATTTAGAAAGGGGAATGAGGGGGAAGGGAAGAGACATAGAGGCACCCGGAACAGAAGAGTGGGGGGAGAGAAAAAGAGGGGGTAGTTGGCCAACTGAAAACGTGCGCGCGTTTCAGAGAGAGAGAGAGAGAGAGAGAGAGAGAGAGAGAGAGAGAGAGAGAGAGAGAGAGAGAGAGAGAGAAGGAGGGAGGGAGGGAGAGAGAGAGAGAGAAAGCAAAAGAAGAGAGAGCAAAAGAGAGTGTTAAATGATCAGGGGTCTGACTTTTAGGGGTCCTTTACAGCTGCCTGCAGACTAGTACTCATGGAACCCTAGGCTGACCAGAGTACTGCCTGAGTGCATTCTGCCAGGTGATGGGGCAGGCCAGCGTAATGCCTGAATCCTTACAATCACACTATAGTCAGAACTAATGTCTATGGATTTAATATCAGTAAGGCTTTTCTTTGGGCCAAGCAGTGCAGGGCTGACTGTTACAGAGACAAATCACTTGGTACCTGTCTGTGAGCGAGACACCTCACAGTTACAGTCATGTGTACTGCATAAATACAGCCATGCCTCCCACAAGGATGATTCAGTCAACAATGGAGCACTATGTATCCATATACAGAAGTGGCTCCATAGACCATGTTGCCTAGTGACCCCACAGCCGGCTCTTTGTGTATAATAACAGTATCCTAACCGCACATTTCTTAGAATGTATCCTCATGATTAAGCAACATAGTTGTACAGGTTTTGCTTTTTATTGTTTTCTATTCAAAATTAAATCTTTTTTTTTTTTTTTGGAAGTATTTATATGTGGTAGTGCCCTCTGGATGAACACCGAGGTTGTTGCCAGTGTTAAGACTCCTGAAGAATTCTGTGGCGCTCAGATCTGTGTAGAAGGATAGAATGGCTAAATTATATAACAGCGTTTTGTTGTTAAAGTGTTGCCTCTAAAAAGAGTAAGGGTAGTTTAGGGTCTTAGAGAAGGATCCCGCTGCAAGTGTCATCCTGAGATAGTGTCTACTATAGAAACCTGACCCAAACCTCTGACTTCTGCAGACTTGCCTCTGCGCCTGGTAGGCGGGCGAAACCGCTGTGAGGGCCGCCTGGAGATGCGGCACCAGGGAGTGTGGGGCACCGTATGCGATGACCGCTGGAACATCAAGAATGCCCGAGTTGTGTGCCGCCTCCTGGGCTGTGGCCACGCGCTGGGCGCTCCCGGCAGAAGCCACTTTGGGGCAGGCACAGGCCCCATCCTGATGAATGAAGTGCGCTGCTCAGGCAAGGAGGACTCTCTGGAGAGCTGTGCCCACGCTGGCTGGATAAGACACAACTGCCACCACTATGAGGATGCCAGTGTGGTGTGCGCAGGTAGGGGATCCTAGCAGGCAGGAGCAGGCTCCTCTGCACGTACGGGCCTAGGCCTGTAAAAGTCCCCAGGCTTGGCTGGGACTTGGTGACAGGCCTTTAATCCCAGCATTTAGGAGGCAGAGGCAGCTGGATCTCTGTGAGTTCAAAGCCAACCTGGTCTACAGAACCAGGTCCAGGATAGACTCCAAACCAAAACAGAGAAACCCGTCTTGAAAAACGAAACAAACAAACAAACAAAAAAATGTTCCCAGGCTCTGCCTCAGCACCACCACCCTTAAGGCATTCATCATTTGTCCAAGACATCACATTTTAGTACAAAGAGCTAGTGGTGATGACATTCTTATCACTGGCTTGACTTTGTTAATGAGCTTACTCTAATTCCAGCTCTGTGAAATATTTGTCAGAAATATGGCTGAAAAATTATGAGTTCCAAAGAACTCATAGAACCATTAAGAGCATAGCAATTGCTGTGGCCAGGCACAGCTTATCCTGTTACTCTCTCAGTCTGTGAGTTCATCAAGGGTCCCATCCTGGAGACACTATGTAACACAGGCCTAACTAACCCTCAGAGTCTAAAATATACTCTGCAGTGTCCCAGTTTCTCTGTGTCCTTTGCATCAAAGATTTTGCCTCTATCTTCCCTGAAAGATATTTTATCGTCAGCTTTGTCTGTCTTGGAACTCTGACGACCACCTGTACAGCACAGTGCCTCCTTCTAATCATTCTAAGTTAGCCCCAAATTGGCCCATGCAGATTTCAGAGAGCTGGAGAGTTCTAAGACTTGGAGAAACCTGAGTTCACCTCATCTATTATGTTGTTATTTTGACTGCAAACTATGGCCATTACTTTTACCTTGTATAAACCCTGTTCGGATAGACATGGAACCCAGACAGAAACACCATCACAGCCCCCCGAAGCCAAGCACTACCCATGAAATGGAAGCTTCACCTGTCTGTTCTGGTGTCTGTACCTTCCAGACTTTGACTGTTATTGTGCCTCTTCACCATTCAGCCTTCCCTCTCAGAAGCCCACTTTTAATAAGGACCCACATTCTGTTCTTGGACCGTACACCAATGTGGCCATGTCCCAAGTCCAATGGGATCTATTGTGTCTAAAAGGCTTGAGAGAATCTGACTGCACATTTACTGGGCTGAACCACCTTGGCCCTGGGATACTGTGCTGTCTTGATGCTAAGCCAGAGAAGTCCCTGATAGCCTCAGAATTCATTTTTCCCAACCTGGGTCCCCGAGCACACTTGTATGAAGAAAGAGACAGAAACCAAGAGCTGGTTCATGCAGCAGTGTTTATATTCATCATTCTTTTGCTCCCACAAAGCTGTTGTTGATAACACCTGTGTTCTCAGTGCTTCTTCGCGTGTGTCAGAATCATCTCTGACAGGAGACACAGGCCCTCTTCACATGTTCTGGAATGTTCTCATGCCATTACGCTCCAGCTGCTATCTAATAATAGCTTACTGTCCTCCTTTGGTGTTTCAGACCAGTGAATCCACTTTTCATCTCCCCTCAACAGGTCCAGCTGACTCTCTTGTGCCCAAGGATAATGGTAAAGTCATCTTCCCTCCTGGGGCCTGATGCTGACTGGGGAAGGAACCGAGAGTAGCCGATTGGGGAGAAAAGGCAGGCAGGCCATGAGGGAGGCCACTTGCCTAGATAGTAGAAGGTCGGGAAAGGAGTCCCTCTGTACTCGGGTGCTGTCCATTTCAAACAGATATATGTTCTGACTGAGTATGTCGTGAGTTGTCCTTTAATCCCCTGGGCAAGGCTCTGATCTGTGGCCTATGGGGTATGGAGGATTGTAAGCAGAATTCCCTATGGATGTGGCCCAACTTCAAAGCCTTTTTTTTTTTTTTTTTTTTTTTTTTTTTTGAGAAAGTCAGGACTTGGGAGATGTTTCTGTTGGCAAAGTATTTGTCATGCAAGTGTGAGGACTTGTTTGATCCCGAGCACCCACATAATAGCCAGACACAGTTGTGCACATCTGTAATCACAGCCCTGGGAAGGTGAGGACAGGAGGATCCTGGGGACTTACTGTCCAGCAAGTCTAACCAAACAAGCAAGCTCCGGGTTAAATGAGAGACCTTGTCACAAAACTAGACAGTCATCAAGGAAGATATCCAACACTCACCTATGGCCTTCTCCACAAGCATGTGTGTGAGCACACACACACACATCAGTGGAAGTCAAGTCAAGGTCATAGATTAAATCATTGGCTCTCAACCTTCCCTAATGCTCAGACCCTTTAATACAGTTTCTCATGTTGTGGTGACCCCCCAAACATAAAATTATTTTGTTGCTATTTCATAGCTATACTTTTGATGCTGTTACAAATTTTGATGTAAATATTAGATATGCAACCCACTCAGGGATTGAAACCCACAGGTTAAGAACTGCTGGAGTAAGGGATGCTGAGGCAGGCCCAACCCACCCCAGACCATTATCTGTGGTACTTCGGTAACATACAGACAGTGCCTAAGCCACACACCATTGTACCAGCTTCTCTCTCTCCTTCAGCTCAGCTGTCCTGTTTGCCTCACCTCTTCCAAGCCGTCATTGACCGAGGCTATCTCCGGAGATTAGGCTACTCCTCCTGGGACATCCATTTAAATGATAAGATGTGTCGCCCCCAAGTCACCGGGCGTTACCTCGTCTTCAATATTCCTTATGGCCACTGTGGCACCGTTAGGCAGGTAAGAGGCCGACAGCAAAGCAATGACCTTCCATGGATGGAGTCCAAGAAGAGAGGCTTAGAAAAATTAAACTTCCTGTGTACATAGAATAAGAACTTCATTCCTGAAGCAGCTCACTGATTTGTCTGAAATGTTCCATTTGGAGATTTTCAGACTCACTCATCCTGTGATAATGTATGACAAATGTTGAATGCAATGGCATGGGTAGTGTGTTGGGTGTGATGGATAGATGAATGGTGAGTGGGCTTGATAATATTCTCCCGGTTTCAAAGCCAGTATTTGTTATAACATGCTTCTTGACTGAACATTAGGACATATCTACCATGGGCAAGTTATGGTACTGGGTATGAGGGGGGAAAGGTTGTCTGTCTGTCTGTCTGTCTGTCTGCTATGTCCCTAACTAAGCAGCTAGTCATATTCCACACTATGGAAAGCACACATTTAGGATATTCAGGACTCATTAAGTATATGTATCTATTTAATTCTCTGCAAATACCGTCTCATCTCATGAAATAATGGCATTGAAATTAAGGAAACTCATGTATATATGAAGGAACTGTTCCGCCCTGACACCCTTTTCAGTATATTTGGCAGTGACATAGTCCAAAACATGGTCCTGGCACTGTTTTCTTGTTTCCCTGTTGTACATATACAAAAGGCTCAGCTGACACCATGAAGGTCACATTCATTCAAACTGACCATGTGATGCAACCGACATAAGCCACAAATACCACACTTGCATTTTGCCTGCTGTTTGGACATTTTTATCCTTTTTGCTATGAAAATTTTCTTCTTACCTGAGAGGTTTCTGCCCCTAAAGCCAAGCTAGAAGCTCCCCCTTTCAAGGAGGAAGGTGACCCCTGGCAGAGAATCTCTGGATCTGAGGCACACATGGTTCAGAAATGTTTCTGGCCTGGCTGTGCCTCTGGGCATCCACACAGGGCATTTGAAAAGGTACAGGTGGTAGCTCCTACCCATCATGCTGCCCATTCCATTTCTGCTGGAAGTGATATGTGCTTGATATCAGCAAGAAGCAAGGCTAGGAGCCAAGGCTGACAGGGTCAGGTCTGCAGTTCAACTACAGCCAAAGCTAGGTTGGGGTCAAGGGCAGAGACTGTACAAGACACAAGTTAGGTATGGTCAGAGCAGTGGGAATTGAATGTATAGAGGAATTCAAGAGTGGGAGCTCCAGGCAGCCATAGTGGACTTGCCACCCAGCTCAAAGTTCTTCTGATTGGCTGTTACAAGAAGGAAGGAGCAGTCCTCACTCAAGGGACAACCCCCCACCACACACCTTCCTGCTGTTACCACAATGGTCCAGCCAGGGACTCCAGCCCTCGGGTACATCATGAATCTGGGACCTGGCCCATATTAGAAGGAAGGAGCTCTGCTGTAGAAAGGGTAGTACCAAGGCACCAGGTACACAACCTACCAATTCTCTCATTTTCACAGGAGCAGAAAGGCTCTCTCAGCTACTCCAATTCCATCAGAGGCAGAGCACAAGGCCACCCTGGCCGAGTCATTGTGAGGCACAAGGTGCCCCAGGTGAAGTTCACCTGCAAAGTGGATGGCCAATCTGCAGTTGAGATTGTGCACGGGAGTGACACTCAGAAGGACGACGTCAGCTATGATGTATCGATTTCATTCCTCCAATCACCCGAATCTCAGAATATGGGGGTTGGAGCTCCTTCTTATACCCATCAGAGGGAAGAGGTCTTCCTCCAGGCCACCCTCCACAGCCACAATCCCAATCTGAGGCTCATCGTGGATACCTGTGTGGCTTCTCCTGACCCCAGTGATTTCACAACAGTCAAGCATGATTTGATCCAGGAAGGGTAAGGAACATGGAAACTCTCCCTAGTTGATGTTAAATGTATTTGGTGTTTCTCTGGGGAACCTGCAATTTCTGACACTGGAGTTCTAAGTCGGAGGGTTTTGGGTGCCCCTTCCTGACCTCTGTCCACAGTGGGGAATACAAAACCCTAGACAACATCCCTTGACCCCTCAAAGACCCAATCCAGTACTTTGGTTCCCTACCCCGCCCTTTCTAGCCTAATCCTTCCTTCCTTTCTAGTTTCCATCTCCTAGGACAAATCTTTGGGACTTTGGCTCACACCAATAGGTTGATGTGTTTTCCCAAACTAAGCTCTTAGTTAAACTAGCCAGATGCCTTCTAGCAGGTTTGTTTCACCAAGTGATTTGCCAAGTGAGAACCTTGGCAAGTTTGTTTGCCTCTGCAGCTCCTTCATTCCTTATCGGGTGCTATTGCATTGGTTTCTTTGGGGAACATACACAAATGTCTATTTGTTCCAGATAGCATGAAGGACACCACCTCTCCTCCCAGTTAATAACTTCTCCCAAGTCCAGCTTGGTGAACCAATAAGTTCTCTGGACTTATTTGCAGAAGCATGAGTAAGGTGTTGCATAGGTGACCCCAAATGTGCCGCCTCAGCACACATCCATCCCGCTGAATGCTGCTGAACAGATGGAGGGCCCTTCAGTTAACCTTCTACCTCTTACATGCTCCAGAGCTCCTGAGATCACATGTAGCAGGGGTTGGGTAGGAGGAAGTGGCTAGAATGGCCTTTCCATGCCCTTCATGCATGAATTAATGTTAACATCCTGGTGTGGGAGTCTCCTGGGTATGGATGATCCCGTCAGTTCTGATTTCGAGTTGGTCTTCATATCTGAAGACAGGTGATAAATGTTCATGAAGAGGTAACCAGCAACTAGTTAAGAAATGCATTATTTATTCGGTGACAGTTTTAGAGCCACAGCAGCCTTAAGCCCATGGGGAACAGTAAGACATCTGCTACCAAAGATCAAGAGAGGAACAAGCCAGCACCTGCCACAGGTTTCTGTGAGCTGTGGCATGAGATACTTAGACTAGAGGGAGTTCTAGAGGGAAAAGGTTCTTCCCCTCTGACCCTGCTTATCATATTAGTAAGGTGAGAAGTTAAGTTAGGAATCAAGATTTCACATCTAGCACACTGTTCTTACTTTAGGCTAATTTTCTCCCCTTTCTCTAGCCTTTAAATCTTAGACTGATTGGACATCTTTATAAATAATATGCATTTTAATACTATAAATCCTTCCCAGTGTTGCCTTAGCTGCATCCCACAAATAAGTTGGGTATCATGTTATTTACTTTTCTATTGCTGTGACAAAACACCATGACCAAGGAAACTTGTAAAGAAAGTGTTTAATTTGGCTTGTGGCTTTAGTGGGTTAGGATCCATGATGGCAGAGTGAAGGGACAGTGGCAGGAAAAATGAAGAGCTCACATCTTGAGAAAGAGTACTCTGGGAACGGCACTAGTCTTTTGAAACCTCAAAGCCCACCCCAGTGACACACATTCTCCAAGGCTTCCCAAACAGTTCCACCAAAGGGGAACCAAGTATTCAAAACTGAGCCTCTCTGGGATATTGCCATCCAAACCACCATGGGTATCATTTTCTCTTCATTCAAAATAGTCTTAAATTTCTCTTAGCACATTTTTGATTCAACAGTTACCTGGAAGTATGCTGTTTACTTTCAAATATTTGAGAATTTTCCAGAAAGATCATTGCCATTCATTTCAAGTTTAATCCCATTGCCACCTGAAAATGCATTTCTATCCTTTTAAGACTATTAAAGAATGTCTTTTGGCCCAGAATGTGGTCTGTTCTAATGAATGTTCTACTTGGACGTGAGAGGAATATATGTATTCTGCTGTTGTTGAATAGACTGTCTAATCAATGTCAACAAGATCTAGTAGGTTAATAGTGTTCCTTAGGTCATTTTTACCTTTTCTGGTACTTTTACATTTACTGACCTTTTCTTCCAATAGACCTACCAATTGATAGAGGAATAGTGAAACATCCAATTATAATAGTAACCCACTATGGTTCTCTCTGCCTCCCACATTTTCATGCTCTGCTTGCAGGTGCATTAGCGATTATTATATTTGGATAAAGACTATTCCTTGCTGTGATTATTTTGGTTAAGGCTCTCTTCTTAGAGGATTGACATTTTCTTTTGTTGTTATAAAACACCCATCTTGTTCCTGCCAATTCTGCTCTCTCTGGAGTTTGTTCTGAATAAGATGAACAGCTGCTGACCTGTTCTCCACTCCATTCCAGTTTATTGATGTCTTTATAGATAAAGCAACTGTCTCATAAGAACATACAGTCAGATGTTTTGTGTATTCTTTTGTAGTCTGTTCTTCTGTCTTTACATTGGTGTAAATATGAAACATTCATATTTAACATTCTTATTCAAGCAGTTAGACTCCTCCACCATTCATCGCATTTGTCTTCTGTCTTGCTCTGCCCTGTGTCGACCCCTTTTTCTGACTTCTCTGATTCTTTTTAATAGCACATTTTATATAACTTTATCTCCTCTTGATGTACCTACCACTTATACCACCCTATGGTTTATAATAATATACTTTCTTTGGGTAGTGTTGGGAATTGAACTCAGAGCAGTGGGGATACTAGGGGGGGGTCAAGCATTCATACCCTGGCCTGCATCTAAGTACATTTTAAAATATAATGTCTGCTTCATAACCTTCCCTTTAGACAAAGTAGGGTAAACCTAGAAGGCAAAGATTGCAGCTAAAACCTTGACTTGTTTTCACTGTATTTAACAGTTCCTTTCTGTTTATGATCAGGTATAGGGTTTCCATTAGCAATGGTGTTAAAGCCATAGTAGTAGTTGCTTCATAAAAGGGAAGGAAGTAGGAAGAACTCCATTTGGGATTCAGAACCTTAGAACTAAGTTTGGTTATATGGGTTGGAGAAAATTCATATTGTACACTGTTTAACCTTTTAAGTCTGAGTTTTTCTTCCTGTCAGGTGCATCAAAGACAATTCTTACTCCAACCTCCATAGCCCTGGGAAGAATGTGGCCCAATTCAAGTTCAACGCCTTCAGCTTCCTCAAAAACTACGATGTGGTTTATCTACAGTGTAAGGTTGCTGTTTGCCGACTCGGGGACTACTCTTCCAGATGCTCACAAAGTTGTGCAAGGCGAGGAAGGAGAGGCACAGGCTCTGCAGAGGTCAGGGAAGAGCAAACTGAGTATTTACAAATAGTGGGGCCACTGAAGATCCACAAAGCAGATAATCAAAGCAAGACCCTGGTGTGATCTCTTTTTTTTTTTTTTTTTTTTTTAACCAGGAAGCAGTGATTGGCCACTTGAAAGCCACACATTGACCACACTGTCTATACTATCCATTTAGATGGGTGGAAGAACCCAAGAGATTGCTTCTCTGGGGTTTGTCACTAAAAATCCTGAGCACTAACTTCTAAGGCAGTTGCTCTATTTGTAGACAAAAAAGAAAAGAAAAAAGAAAGCTGATTTTGTTGTTCTTCACTCTTAAGAACTTGATCATTGTCTTAAAATGTACAAAACATTAGAAAAAGCAGGGTTCTCATTCCCTGTAGGCAATTAAAGATTGCTTTTTAAATGTCTACTTTGGATGCTGATGGGTGGATGGGCCTCTCTCTGTTCTTCTGGAAAGATGAGAATTAATTTCCGGATCTTGTCAGTAATCTTGTAAAAAATAAATCGTTTCCCGGGAAGCCACTGTTCATTTTCTTTCAATTCTTTTAGGCAGAACAACTGAACAACACAACTCATTGATGACAGCTCTCAAAATGTTTCCTTCAGTTGTTTTGAAGGGAACAAATCAGGGCCTTGCTTCTGGGGGTCTGGTTTTTAGCTTGCAAATGGGAGGGCTGAAACAGAGTCATAAGCAGCCAGGGGCTTTTGTGAGCTCCATGAGTGCGCACAATCACGTTCTCAAAACATCTGCAATCCCTGAAAATCACCCAAGAAAGTGAGGACTGCCCTCTATGACTCTCCGTTTCCTGGAAGGAGAAGCAGGCTATGCTGTAACAGTACCTTCAAAGTTGTCACTTTGTTTTGTTTTACCTTTTGAGACAAGGTCTCACTGCCTAGCCCAGGTTGGCTTTGAACATGTGATCCTGCACAGTGTATTCTTGTTAAGAGCATGGATTTGAACAGAGTCAATGGTTTTTTTGTTCTTTCTGCTGCCCAGAAATACTCAGTAGAAATATTTAAAATGATGCCAGGTGGTGGTGACACACGCCTTTAATCCCAGTACTCAGGAGGCAGAGGAAGGTGGATCGCTAGGAGTTTGAGGCCAGCCTGGTCTACACAACGAATTCCAGGACAGCCTCCAGAGAAACTCTGTCTCGAAAAAAAAATTTTTTTTTTTTAAATGAGTCCTCATATTTATCCAAGAAAGTGTTTGGGACTCTGCTGATAAATAGCATGTGAGAAAGATGACAATAGTCTTGTCTTTTGAAGGGAGGAAGGCAGTGTCTAGTGGGACCTGGGGGTTAACTCTGCGGTACTGAGGTGGAAAATTGATAAACAACTCACATTACCTTGGGGACCATTTCAGTTTGGTTACAAAAAATGTCCTTCACCAGTTATTACCTTGGTGAGACTAGGAGCCTTACCTCCATCCCCTACCAGGACAGGGTAATTTCAGAGAAGGCAGAATGGAGTCTGAGGTGCTCATCACCTGTAGGCTGCAGTGAGGCCCCATCTGTACCTATTAGAGCTGACCAGGTGAGAACTTGGATTTCCACTCCCACTCCTATTTAGACAGGAACTGGAATCCTTTCATTCTGGGCATGCCCAGTGGAGAGCCAGGAGTGAGGTGATTACCTCAGGAGAACAGAGAAAACCAGGGAGGCTAAACCACCCCTGCCCCTCTGATTGGCATGTGCCTGGTGTGTGTTCCATGCCTATCCGTTTGCGTTTAGCCTTTCTGAAAAGCTTGGGGGAGTCTCCTGATAAATCTTGGAAGGGAATTTTGCTTTGGGAGACATTCTGAAAGCCATGTTTTTGGAAGAAAACTTAGTGGGTTCCCAGAGGTGACATCAAATGCCCCTCAAATACAGGCACTTATTCACTAGGCTTTTGGGAGTTCCACTTGCTAGGGGCTCAGCATCACTGTTCCTTAGGAATTTCCTTAAAGACAGCTGCCCTGTCCTAGTTCACAGCTCCATTTGAGCAGCCCTTATCCAAAGATGACTCTTCCCCACTGGGGAGTGGAGCATGGATGTCCCTGGTTGCTAGGAAATTCTCTCCTTCATTTACCATATCCCCAGATGATGCTAACTCCTAACAGCCACTCTGGCAAATTGTAGAGACAGAAGGTGAAGGTAGCCTGGACAGTAGATCTAAATGGGAAAGAGGTAAGGACCCTTCCTAGGACACCAACTCCAGGCCTAGAACCTTTGAGCACTTTACTATAGTAACCAAGACTATAATCTCTACAGAGTTTCAATACAGGATAATTTTTCTAGAATGGCATATTTATGCCTGGAGTGTCTCTGAATATCTGTCATGGTGGCCAGCACAGAACTTATAACCAATTCTTGATAGTGAAAAGGCTGGCAGGTAGTTGTGTTGTCTTAAGAACTTAATGTGAGGCTGGGGAGATGGCTCAACAGTTTAGAGCACTTGCTGCTCTTGCAGAGGACCCAAGTTCAGCTTCCAGCTCCCATGTGGCAGCCATCTCACAACTGTCTGGCTCCAGTTCCAGGAGACGCAATACCCTCTTCTCAGCCTTCCCAGGCACCAACACACACATATGGTACACATACATAAACACACTTACATGTGAAATAAATTTTCTAAAAATGCAACATGATCTGCCTGTGACTAGTGAAACATTTAGGTGTTTCTATGTTATATTGAAAAGGAGTTTGTAATAGTGAGATTGAAAAGGAGATAGGCAAAGAGGAGAATTGTTCCATGAATATTTGGGAAACCTTTCAAAGATCATCACTGAGATGTTAAAAAGTAAGTGAGAAGTATCTGCTTTGATTTAGGGCAGGAAAATCAGCAGGCCTGTAAGGACTGTAGTGGTGTCTTTTATATCCATTGTATACCAGTGGATTCCCTATAATACATGATGTACATGATATATATTTATAGAATAAAATGTAACAAAACATAGAAAGAAGCAAAAGCCAAAAATCCTTTGGCATTCTGGGATGCAGCTACCTGCTGAGATCTATCTGGAACATGAAAATATATGTTGTTGGCTGGAAAGATGGGGATATATAGTCTAACATAATTAGCTTTGGTGTTGGCAGGTATAAAGTAGTTCATTTTAGGCCTTCAATAACAAATGCTCAGACCCACAGGAAATAGGAGAGGAATGTTTCATTTCATAACTCAGAAAGCAGTCTGAAGTTTCATTTTACCATTAAGTTCTTCCCATCAAAACTCCCTTGGACTGCACAAGGGTGAGGTATGCAGACTGCGCATCACCAATGGATAGAAGAGCTCACTTCTTCAGTTTCAAATTATATAACATTTTGTCATTCAAAGGGTAGCATATTTGCATTTATTCTTTAACTTTTATACATGACACATTTTACTTTGCATCTCAAAAACAATCTGAGTTATATATAGTGGCTCACACCTTTAGACCTTTAGTCCCAGCACTGGGGAGGCAGAGGCAGGGCCTCTGAGAATTCAAGGCCAGCCTGGTCTACACAGCAAGTTCCAGGCCAGTCAGTGTTCCATAGTGAGACTGCATCCAGAAAAGGTGACCAGATACAATAGTTGTTTATTTCAGTCATCCAATAATAAAATACACTGTCACTATGATATGAACATAAAGGTGTGTGTGTGTGTTGACCATTCAGGCCTTCCTGGTTTATCCCTAACCCTTGTAGCCACATGGATCTGTTTCATCCAGCACTCTCGAGAACACAAGGGCCTTCTTAGGGTCAACAGCTAGTAGACCTGCAACTTCTGGTATCTGTGGTCCATCCGTTGATTTACAAAATGCCTCACTGTCACTGCAGCCACAATCACCACATTGAGAGCAAGAACCATGAAGGAAAAGAGGTGCAGGTGGCTGAGAGGTTGGTTTGGAGTTTCTGGTGCACGTGTTTGAGGCAGAAGTTCTGGAATTGGAAATAGTTTTAGTATTATTATTACAAAATTTTGGCAATATTCATGTTATGCCCTATGAATCTTATGCATGAATTAATAATATATAATTTCAACTTCCTAGAGGGAGATAATTCTCCAACAATCCAAATTCATTATATTTATGTTTTATCTTAGGCCATTTGACTGTGGACTGTCTTTGAGTCTTTCCTATGCAGCCTATCAGGTTTCAATATGCCCAGAAGTAAGTAGGTTGCCCTATGATACTATGACATTGTCTACTGTGAAAAGATAACTTTTTCCCCAAGTAGGCTGTGATGTGGGCACTGGTTAACTTTGTTCCTCATTCCTCATTCAGAAAAATAGGTGTTTTTCTAGTTTGCTTATCCGCTTAATAAGGAACTGGGAAGCTAAAGGAAGTCTCTTTTTAGAAACAGTGCATGTACACTCTTAAAGGCTGCACAAATGGTATAATACAGTGTGCTATGCATTTATATATGCTTATATGATGAAAGCATTCATCTTGTGTACTTAATCATTTGCTTGCTAGAATTTCTACTTCAAGCCTCTAAACTGTACGTCTCAGGAACAACAGATTTGACCCATATCCTATGAGCCACCAAGTGTCCTTAGACCATGAATAGTGTGCTCTTGCCTGAGTTTCCACTTGCACTTCGGTCCCTCTTCAGGCGAATTGGTCCTATGACAGAATCAGCCTTCCATTTGTATGAAGAAATATCTCGTTTCCTTCTTGAGATACAGCCTTGATTGCAGCGAGACGTCTGGTCATTGGTATCACAGATCAACATCTTACACTTCAGATACACAGAGCTCAGATGTCTCAAGAATTTAAAGGCATTAAACTGGAATCTCCCATAGTGTCCAGATAAGGGATACACTTGACAAGTCTCATCTTGACTGCAACTGGAACACAATTTAGGGACAGTCAGAAAGTGCATGGAGGCTTTTCCGTACAAAAGTGAGATAATACAAGCTTTGTACAATGTGTGACTCTAGGAACTGCTCTAGAAAGATATCAGTGTTCAGAGTGTGGTGAGCTTGAGTGGTGGCACTGGTTCTGGGAAAGCTAATAAAGTCCTGCTCTGAGATTCCTGGCCCTGTGCACTAGGCCTCAAACACCAAAGTGCTTGATATCGATTCGTAAGTACAGCTGATTGATTGCCCATCAACTTTTAATGGAAA